GCTTAATATTGCATAAAGATTTATCTAATGCCAAATATCTGACACTTCTTTCAATCTAGAGTATGTGTTTAAAAGCCTCATGCATAAAATTTTGTTGGCAAGAAATTTATCTTTGTATCTTAAGTTACTGACTACGACTTCTGGTTCTAAAGCCACAGAGGAGTCCTGGTCAGTTTTGACCTGTCCAGTGGCAGGTACTCAAGGGATTTACTTATTTCAGTAAGAAAGTAGGATTCACGTGGCACTCTTTAGCAATAAATTTCCATTTGCTCCACAAAATAATCACAAAGGGGCAGAGATACACACTTAATGGCAAGTTGGCACAAGCATTGTTCTATTTATATGTTATTAGCCTTTTACATATCTCCGTAAATATAGCTGTAAGTTACGTGGTACAGTAGCAAGTATTATAGTAAACATTTTGGTAAACATCACATGGTGTTTTCTGTGTGGGTAGTTGGTGGAACTGATGATAAATTGAAAATGTTTTGAATAAGGATGAACCTTTAATGAAAGAGGATAACATTGGGGGAATAGTACACTTGTGATAAGGGCTAAAAGGTAAATATTGATGATGGACCAGCTTGTACTTGACAATTTGGTGGAACATCCTGTAATTGCCTTCATCAATGTAACTTAGAAAAATTAGGCCGTGTTTTTGTTATTTGAAATTATTCTAATCCTTTGATTCATGTGGTTGTGAGAAAATAAGTAATATGATAGTATAGTCCATTTACAAAAGAAAATTCATATCTTACATTTGTTGTCTCGTGCCACACAGGTGGATTTAGGTGGTGGACTGAAGCCCCCTGGGTACTATGTACAGCGTTCCTGTGGGCTATTCGTTGCTCCCTACCCCCAGGATAGTGAGGAATTGGACAGAGTGACAAGACTTTGCCATTTCCTTGGGATCTTCTTGGCAAAGTGTATCCAAGACAACAGACTTGTGGACCTCCCCATTTCCAAGCCTTTCTTTAGGCTTATGTGCATGGGGGACATCAAAAGCAACATGAGTAAGTTGTTGTATGCTTCTCGAGGAGATGAAAGTGAACATTGCACAGAAAGCCAATCTGAAGCGTCCACGGAGGACGGGCATGATGCTCTTTCTGTTGGGAGCTTTGAGGAGGACTCTAAGTCAGAGTTTATCTTGGACCCACCCAAACCAAAGCCACCAGCCTGGTTCCAGGGTATCTTGACTTGGGAGGACTTTGAGCTAGTAAACCCACATCGTGCCCGGTTTCTCAGAGACATAAAGGAGCTGGCAGTGAAAAGGCGACACATTCTAGGTAATCGCAGCTTGTCTGAGGATGAGAAGAATACACAGTTGCAGGAATTGATGCTGAAGAATCCCACTGGTTCTGGATCACCGGTCAGCATTGAAGACCTGGGGTAAGTCCTATTAAAGGAGGAACATTTGGTTCACTGCTGTAATCTTTCAGATTTGTAGATACTTTGCTTCTAGATCAGTTTTCCTCACAGTTGGAGTTAATATTGCCAAGATGTATACACCGTCTGGTTTGCCTATAAGTTAGCCAATGGATGAAATGGAAACACATTAATTACCATTACCTAATGGGAAGCAATGTATGTGGCATTTTGGGGGACAAGAGGAATGGAGAGAAGTTTTTGTTACAGAAAAGTAGCAAAACCGTGACATCAACTGTACAAGGAACTATACAAATGACACAGATCATTAATAGCCAGTAATACACCAACAGATGAACACAGACACACAATACAGGGACAAATGTTTTTAATGCTTTGTGCCATTAAAACCCCTTAAGGGCCACTATGAGATTCCTCACACTGTGCTGATACGGCTTGGTAAATTAACCATGTTGTCTGTTATAATTATCAACCTATGGGTCATTGTACTCAGTGTCTCTTCTGTTTCCCTGCCAGGCTCAACTTCCAGTTCTGTCCATCGTCTCGAGTTTATGGCTTCAGTTCGGTGGATCTAAAGCCAAATGGCGAGGATGAGGTATGCAGGCATGAAACAGTTTGTGTTTACATTTATTGGTCTAATAATAGACCAGCTTATAACCTTGATATAGTTACTATGGCAACTGTCAATAGGTGGGATAAGTAAGGCAGCAAGTGAACAGTCAGTTCCTTAAAAAAAATGGGCATATGAAAATTTTAACAAGGGCTAAATGGTGATGGCTAAACAAATGGGTCAGAGCATCTCCAAGGCAACAAGTCTTGTTTGGTGTTCCAGGTATGCAGTGGTTAGTAACTACCAAAAGTGGTGCAAGGAAAGAAAACCGGTGAACTAGCGCCAGGGTCATGGATGCCCAAATCTCATTGATGATCTCTTCTCTCTGGTTTGATCACACAGAAAAGCTATTGCAGCTAAAATTGTAGAAAAACTTAATGCTGGACAGGATAGAAAGGTGTGAGAACACAGTGCATCGCAGTTTAACACACAGCCTCAGGCTGGTCAGAGTGCCCATGATGACCCCCTGTCCACCGGTAAAAGTGACGGGACCATTGAGCAATGGAATAAGGTTGCCAGATCTGATTGCCCTTCTTGGGTATGTGTGGCAATCACCAAGCTCAGGGGCTTCTCCTAAAGAAAAGGAAGTAATTCTAGTGACTGTCTAGCACAGGCTTCCCAAAACTCTGGCCCTCCAGATGTTGCTGAACTACAACTCCCATGATTTTCAGCCTATCTATTTTATTCATAGAACCATGGGAGTTGTAGTTCAGCAACATCTGGAGGGCCAGAGTTTGGGGAAGCCTGGTCTAGCAGATAAATGTAAACCTTCTTTGTATCACCCCAAACCACCATATTTGTTCTTTTATTAAGATCTGATTTGTGTGGTTGTGTCCTGTGGCACTTTCCTGAAGTGGAACCTTCCACTCAAAGAAGAAATTTGTGAAAGATTCAAAAATTGAAATACTTGACTGCTGCTTCGCACCCTGTGGCACTGTAGATTGTGAAAAGAATCTCCATGTACATTTCCTGACCTTGTGATTTCTTCCAGGTGGTGTCTATAGACAATGCAGAGGAATATGTAGATTTGATGTTCGATTTTTGCATGCAGACAGGCGTGCAGAAGCAAATGGAGGCATTCAGAAGTAAGTTTTAGTGGTGTTGGCACCTCTGGCACAGAAATATGAAAACAAGTAAATAAAGACCATAAACTGGATCGATCAGTGAACATTGTTTTATGTAAATGAGTTTTGATGAATCCTTGATGTTTCAAAATTTGGGCCAAAAAACTGTTGAATAGTAAAACTTTTCAAAATCTCATGTTTTGACTTAAACTTTATAAATTAGTGGTCATTTATCTGGATCTCACGATTTAGTGCATAAACCCTGAAAGCAAAACAAAATATAAAGGAAAATATAAAACTGTCCAAAAAATGTATATATTATAATATATAACCCCTCCCCCCCCCACTCACAAAGTATTTGTCCAACAGTTTTGTAGCATTTAGAGAAAAACAGAGTCTCTTGTGGTTCAGCTACCATACGTGTCCTTCTAACTTTGGATAGCAGCAGTGATAGGCTGAGACATCTAGGGCCAGATTAGATCACTATTAATCATCCGTGTGCAGATTCATTATCCTCTGTAAACAAGGTGAGGGGCTGCATAAGGCACATTTTAAGAAGTGATTAACCAGAAAACCAGCCACTCTCAATTAGATTTCCAATTAAATCCTGGTGATTCAGTGGTTTCAAGTCTCCTTAAATTTGTTGTTCATATTGCTTAATACAAGAACTTAAATGTTGTTTAAGTGAGTAAGGATGATTGGTCGCTTTGTTAAATCTAATACTTATAGGCTTATGGTCATATACTATAAATGCAAAGCATAAATTATAGTATTCTTTCATGATTAAGGTCGACAAAAGGGGTTCATGGGGCATGATTTAAGTGTTCTGCTTGTGTTTTGTTCCCCTTTCCTTTAGGTGGTTTTAATAAGGTATTCCCTATGGAGAAGTTGGGTTCATTTAGTCATGAAGAAGTTCAGATGATACTTTGTGGAAATCAGTCTCCTTCTTGGTCAGCGGAAGACATCATTAATTACACAGAGCCCAAACTAGGATACACACGGGAAAGGTAAGTGTTAAATCTGAGCATTGCCAAAGTGATCTATGTGAACAGTATGCTATGTCTTGTATTGAATGCATGAAATACTCCCTGCTGGAATTAAGCTTAAGAACATGGAATGCAGTGAAACCGAGAAATAAATGTATTAATAATGGGTAAGTTCCTGGGATGTAAATTGGCAAATTGTATGCTTATAACCAAAGGGGAAGAGTAAATCGGATATATATGGGAAAGCAGTGTTGCGACGCTCATGTTTTCATTTTAGACTATAACATACTTGTAGGAAGGCAGAAAGTTAACACTTCAAAAAAATACTGTACCTTATGGTGTAGTGATCTGTTTGAGCACGAGACTTATAATTGAACATCCTTTGCAGCCCTGGCTTCCTGCGGTTTGTTCGGGTTCTATGTGGAATGTCCTCAGACGAGAGGAAGGCATTCCTACAGTTCACAACTGGCTGTTCCACGTTACCACCTGGAGGTCTGGCCAACCTACATCCCCGTCTCACAGTTGTGCGAAAGGTGAGTCTTCTTTATATTAGATGTATTCAAATCTTGTCATTTTTACAGTGCACTATAGGGAGTATGGCATCAAGAGTTCTGGCTCAGTCCCATGATCAGCTGTCAAACTACTTACAAATGGTTTAACACTTACCTAGCTCTGCTGGGCAGTACTTCCTGTCTGAACTGATATACCAAATCATACGTTCAAACTTCTGCAATAGGATACCAACCGTGGACATTATTAATTGGCCTGTCTTTTCAGCTGACACTCTCCAAATAATGTTCAAAGTTTGTATGTTAATGCAGACATTTGGATAACATCTTTGGAATCTCGATGCACCCTGGAAGAAAACAGGCACCTGACAAATCCATATAAGTGTACGCTGTAGTGGTTATGGTGCCCACAGTAGTCTGTGTTTTTTTTAAATCCTGTGCTTATCTTCTTTTCCAGGTTGATGCTACTGATGCCAGCTATCCATCTGTAAATACATGCGTGCATTACCTAAAGTTACCAGAGTATTCTTCCGAGGAGATAATGAGAGACCGCCTGCTTGCTGCTACCATGGAGAAAGGATTCCATCTTAATTGAGTGCTGTGCCTAGTTGGACATTGCCTTTTGTTACTAGCGCACTCCCTCTCTCTCTCTCTCGTGTTTTTGTGTGCTGAGAAAAGACATGGCCTTCCTTCCTCTCGCTGTGTGTCTCTTACAACCCCCTCTGCGAGGCTTTAAAGGAGATAATGGGTGTAACGCCTTTTTACTTTATAATTTGTTAGCTGCTAACGATGAAATTTGTCTTCAGGCATGACGGACTTTAAAAGAATACTTTTTACTGCTAGCAGCCGTAAAAAGGTTAAGAGGAGAGGAACACCTCGAAACTATGTCTGTTAGGGTCACTGCTTATCTGCATTCAGACATTTTGTAAAAGTGTAACGGTTTCTGTATACACATAATACACTACATCGTCGGCATTCCCCAGTCACCCACCTCCTGCGTCAGATCTTCGCTAGCTTTAACCCAACCCACCTGAAAGCTGCTTTCTTGAAACGTAGATCGTTAATGAACATTTGAAGCTGTTTTTTTTTTTCCCCCCTGTCTTTTTCTTTTATCTTCCCTGCATCCCTTACAATGGTGCCTGCACTATTTAAATGAATTGCCTACAGCCCTCTTGTTTTCTCTTTGTTTTGTTACCTGATCCCACAAATATAATCTTGCACCTTTATTATTTTAGGTTTGTCCTCATGTGGGAAAATGCTGTCTTTTTTTCCTTTTTTCCAGTTTTTCTTTTTTTGAAATACCCCTGCTATGCAGATCAAACTAAAGTGTTTGTGCAAAATGAAAGATTACGGAAACCCCCTAAAAATGAGATACCAGTGCAAAGTAACCTAACCTTTGACTGTCTAGGGTAACCTGTAGCCCTGTGTTTTGAGGGTGTTCCTCGCACTTATGGGGTATAAAAAAAGAAAAAAGAAAATAAGCAAGTTTTTGCTATCTCGTTGTATTTTCTTTGTATATTACAAACCTTTATTTAACTTGTTGCAGTTTGAAGTAAAAATATTAAAAAATAAAAGACATTTAAAAACACACTTCCAGTATGCGTGCTAAAAAGATAACCATTAAAATTATGTTTGCAACACAGAATAGAAAATGTTTTTGAATCCTTTATCTGCATCAGAAAATCAAGAAAACCTTTATATTATTTTTATTATTTGTGGATCCAGATCAAGTGTGCATCATTTCCTTAGTCTAAAATGAAAATACTATCAAAAACATACAGATAATACATTTTTTTCCCCTTCACAATTTTAGCTTATAACTACAATAAATTGCCAACAATGTGGATGCCTCCGCTATTAACGTAATGCTTTTTGCTTTAAGGATAGCAAGTTGTATATGAAGCTACGTTTTGACCACCCCTGCTTCAAGCCATAAACATAATTGCATGGGCTGCACATGTTTCTGTATTCATTATAGGGTTGTAGGTGGGAAAATACAGCTCCATGCAGCGGACTAGATTTAAAGTCCGGTAAGTATATAGTTGAAGCTTTATAAATATCTTGCATTTTGCTTACATAATGTAGAGACTATTTTACAACTTACTGAGTATGGACATTATTAATATACTGGTGAAAGAAAGGCCTACTTATATCGTAGTTGATCCATCTTCATATCTAGTCTTTTTTTATTTTATTTAGCATTTTGTGCATTATGCTGCACTTTAACTGATCGACCATTCTAACTAGACCCATAACTTGAGCTCTTGCAAAGGTCAGTAACTATGAGCAGCTGTTGAATTCCATTTGTGGTTCTAGCAAACGCCGTCAACTGCTGCCTACTTTGTCCAGCACAAGCAGAGGAGCGAGTATGCGGGTCTTGTTTGTTTCCACCGCACAGCCGTTTAACACCATCTCGTCCAAAATGATGTGCACCTTGTCCAGGTTAAACATTATCTGTGTGACCCCTTAGTCAAGAATAGTTGATTGCAGAAATGGTAAACAAAGTCAGCAGTCTGTGATGCAGTAGATGGACATATACTGAACCCATTCATTTTCAGTAAGGGTCGTATAGGCAGATATTTATTGGGTAGGCAAGTTTAATCCATATATACACAAGCTAGACAATGTTTTGAATAGTAATTCCTCCCTCACTTAACCTTGGTTCTTAATCAGACCAAGAAACACATTACTCTTCCAGGGTTGTCCTCTTTTATCAGAGAACATGTAAAGTCCCACCTCCAATACTTATTGCTTAAAGGACCACTATAGGCACCCAGACCACTTCAGCTCAATGAAGTGGTCTGGGTGCCAGGTCCATCTAGGATTAACCCTTTCTGCTGTAAACATAGTTTTAGAGAAACTGCTATGTTTATATTAGGGTTAATCAAGCCTCTAGTGGCTGTCTCATTGACAGCCGCTAGACACGCTTCTCACGGTGATTTTCACAGTGAGAAGACGCCAGCGTCCATAGAAAAGCATTGAGAATGCTTTCCTATGGGCTGGCTGCGCGTGGCTCGTGCCGCGCATGCACATTCAGCCGATGACGAGGAAAGGAGGAGGAGAGTCCCCAGCGCCAGGTGCTGGAAAAAGGTAAGGGATTAACCCCTTCCTCTCCATTCAGCCCAGCCGGAGTGGGACCCTGAGGGTGGGGGCACCCTCATGGCACTATAGTGCCAGGAAAGTGTTTCCTGGCACTATAGTGGTCCTTTAACTACCAGCAAGCAGAATATGTAAACACTTAAGTCTTAATTTGGTATATCTACTGTATTTAAAATTGTATGTTTGTGGCACAGGGATACTGTATATACATTTTTATTCTCAGTATTTTTTTTTTACACAGTATACCCAAATGGAAAAATAGTAATTTTAAACTGGATAAGATGAGTAGGCACTGTTTGAGTAGAAACCAGTGCACTACCTAGTACTGTGTGTTAAAGGTTCTCAGAGTACTAGTATCAAATAGAGAATCCACAAGTTTAACAGGTAAGTTGCATCATGAACACAAAAAATATCCTTATCATACATGGTTAAGGCCTATAGGCCAAAACATTGTTTTATTTTTGTGCATTCCTATCTTCAAATAAACCTTCATGATGTACATTACCTGTTGAACCAGTGGATTCTGTACTAGAAAGGCTGCTTAATTCATTGAATAGACTTACAGGCTACAGACTAAAAAAAAATGCAATAATCCAAAAAAACTAACCTTTTTATAATTATAACACTAGGTCTCTTCCACTTTGAATAATGAGTTATGCAGTATATTGGTGTTACTGATGGGATTTATACAAAAAAGTCACTTTTACAAAACAAAGCAGAGGGGTAAACAGGCAGTTAACCCTTTAATATCCTTGCACCAGGGCCGGTGTGTTGGGGTTACAGTAAACCCCTCTCCCTGAGCAGGTAATGGGCTGCAGAGGGAGCCCAGCAGGTGACTGGCTGCGCTGGGGGGGTGGCTAAGGAGCAGCTTGTCCAGCAAACCAGCAGCAGGGCAGCCCAGCAGGAGGTTTCCCTTGCAGGTCGGCACCCCAGGTGAATGCAGCCCTGCAAAGCACCAATGCTCATTATGCAACATAGAATGTGAAAAAGTGACATTGAAAATAACTTCTGCAGAAGGGTGTTTCTTAACCTCAAAGTACCATTTAGCTAATCATTACTATTGGAATGTCTCCATTACTCAACATGCTTGCAATAACACATACACTGATCAGCCACCTTAAAATCACCTGCTTAATACCATGTAGGTCCTCCTGCTGCTGCCAAAACAGCTTTGATGCATTGAGGCATGTACTTCACAATATCTGACTGTCCTGTGGTATATTGCAACAACAAGCCAGCAGCAGGTCCTGTAAGTTGTGAGGTGGAGCCCTCCAGTCTGAAAATGCTCTACCCACCCTCCTGCGCCTCACCTACTTTTAATGATCGGACCATAAAGGTCTTTTTATTTGAGGTATATATATGTTGGTTTGTACATTTGTTTTGGTCTGTGAAACCTGTAAATGCTATCCTGGTTGACTTGAAGATTTCCCTGTCCACTTTTTCACAAGCTCAACTGGCCTAATTACACAGTCCATGGAACTCTTTCATCTCTGAATCTTTTATCCGTTTATTTACCTGCCACCCTTGTGTGCCTGAACACACCCTTCATTTCATGACATCAGTTAAATAGGAATGTACATTGTATTTACAAAAGGATACATCAAGTTCACTCTGTAAGAAAGGAGAATAGTTTAAACAGATTCATATCACCCAGTTGTTTGTTGGAACAGTTTAAGTTTTTTTTTAATCTTTTAACTACATTATGTATGGAATTCGCTCAGTGACCCATTCTACTACACACGTTCCTCAAAGTGTGATAGAAAAATGATTAACATTATGTAAAACCCCTCCCAATATCATCTGAATGTGCTTTACATATGCAATATACAGGGTGGTATTTTGGTTAAAAGTGTGATTCTGTACGTTTATTAGCTTGAGTAGTTTTATTTTGTGTTAGTGTTTATGTACTCACCACTCTGCTAAAATACTTGTCCAGTACTTCTACAAAATTATGGATGAGTTCAAACACTGCCATTTCATTCTGTAATTATCAAGAAACACTATGATGCACAGATTATTCAAATTGGCACTCACTGCTCCTCGGCTACGAATAACTCGAGTGATTTACGTTTAGCAAAAGAATCAATGAGATTTTACTGGTTCAACAGGCATATCCTTAGTCAAATCTGTTACACCCACAGAGCCGGTAATAACTCTTTGATTGCGCAGTTAAGTGTGTCTCACAATTTATATATTCATACCTCACCCTACCACCTACTCTTTTATTACTGGGTATCTTTATACAGTTTACACAAATATGCACGTAAAGATCAAAGGGCATATCTTAAGAATCATTTGGTTGTCTTCTGCACTCTGGCAACATGTAGATTTCCATAGACAGGACCATCTTAAAAAGGAGACACGCACTTACACACTCTCTTTCTACTACTACGTAACAAGTTGCATCTAAGATTGAAAAAAAAAAAAGGTAATACGTAAGCATTACCGAATACACAAAAACCATAATACATATAATGGTTTTCCTTTAATTATATCATGGTTTTGGATGAGATGCCTCTTTAATTCAAGCTTTGCAACATTTTTATTTATTTTTTTCCTTGCTCTTGGCACAGGAGCTTCCTTTTGTTTAAGGGGAACGCCATTCTGCATACTTAAAAGATGGACTCTTATACCAGCTTCAGAATGCTGACCTTACACCAGAAGTCTCATTTTTATGTTGCACCACTTGGATATTGCTCTAGTTTCTTCTGGAGGGAAAATACCCTCCCACGTTTCAGTTCTCTCAAGATTCTGACTCCTGTCTCTTTTTGGCTGTTTTATACGGCCATAAACTCTCAGAAGTAAAGATTTGCAAAAAAAAAAGGGGGAAATACAATGTAGACCCTGGAGCTACAATTTAAGGTTTGGCACTAGTTCTTTATTTTCATGGGAGGATTGTTATATGGCTCTTACCGCAAACTCATCAATGCCCACTACGATGAAAAGTGCTGCATACTGCCGATATACCAGTTTGAAATCTTTGTATTCAATAAAGGAGCACTGAAAGGAACAAAGAAAGAATTTAGGGTGCATTAAGATTATTTTTCTTCAAAAATCACCCATTACAGATAAACCATGCTAAGGAAGGGTCCGAGGACATGTGGTAGCAGTACTCCATTCCATCTGTGACAGAGATGGAATGGAGTACCAAGTACTGGGCTCAGTCCTGCACACGGATTGGTGCATTTTGTCTCTAAGGGAAATGCCCCAATCCCGGCTAACGCTGAGAGTTGGTGGGAGGTCGGTGATGGGTGTGGCCTGAATAGGCGCTCTCTTCAAAAGCACAAAATGACTCAAGCAAGTTGTTCAGTCATTCTGTGCTCTCAGTGTGTTTGTTGGTGTTTCTGCATATAATCATGTTTTGACCCTTGACTTATGCACTCCCACCTTCAGGATTTATCCCACGTTTCTATATTTGATATAGAGTTATAAGTAGAAAATATGTATCTGTACGTGTTGCGTTGCACTTTTAACATTTTGCTCTACTTTCACTTGAATAATAACTTGATGAGGCCTTAAGATATAAGCTTACCTGGTCTTTGGAGCGTGACAGGCACAATTTAATGACTTCGGATTCCAGCAGCGTCCTTTTCTGGATGTCTTGTTGCTCGTAATACCGTGACAGTCTGGTTTGTCCTTGCTTGTTAACGATCAGCACAAATTTTATCATCTCAATGGGTTTTACAAGGCTTTGGTAGCATACAAGCTGGAAATAATATAATGAATATGACTGTTAAATCATCTGCATGACTTCCTACATTTAAATGGCTACTGAGAAACACTTTTGTCATTAAAGTGCGTGGATAGTTATTTTTTTATATAATAATTATTTTAAAAAAAATGCCAGCATGTTTCACAGTGGTGTACCACAGTTGGACCAACAAAACGAGTGGGGTAAAATGACAGATGCATGAGAATTGGCACATTTCTGATAATCGGTACTGTTCCATTGACATTTAAATTGTTGTTTTATTCTAAATACTGTATTCAGAGTATTTTTGGTTTGCATCAATCACCCCAAATGAATTTTTTATTTAAGCTATTCCTCTTTTCTTCCTTATTCCCCTTCCTGACAAATCTTGACGATAGGCGGAGCTAACGCTGTCACATTTTGTCACTTCCCCAGCAATCATTAGTGACGGCTGTGGGAACAGGCATTGTCACACTTTACAAGGTTATTCACTAAACTTAAAATTACAAATAATGGTCAATAACTCTCTGAGAAGCATTGCATCCAATATATTTGAAAAGCACTGTGTTTCACTTTGTGCTTTGGTACAAAGCAGTCAGGAAGAGCCTTCCTAGCTCTATGAGTGACAGCTGAGAGGGTATGTCCCTTTCTAAGTGATTTCTCTTGAAATGGCACTTTTACGAAGTGATGGCATACTCTATAAACCCCCACAGCGCTTCAGCTTTTTTGAAACATTTCAGGGGTTTACAGGATGTTCATTGAATAAATGACTACTAGAGAAGTCAATGAAAAGTCACAGAGTCCAGGTTTCAGAAAGAGAAACACACTCTTATGGGGTAGGCAACATTGGGCACTCCGGGTTTAGTGGACTACATCTCCCATAATGCTCTTACAGCCATAATACTTGTAAACCCCTCACCCTGTATAAGTTGTGGTGAGAATGAAGGCATTTACTCCTCGCTGATTTAACATGGTTCTGGTTTTTGTCCTCTGCATATGTCAGGTAGGACTTTGGGGAACCTCCCTGTTGGGCTCAGTAATTCCAAGAAATCATGTTTACACAATTCTCCCAGAATCCCCCTCTCTGTATGCAAATGAGCCCGAGCCCTGTGAGTTACCATGTCACAGGTCAGGTTAGGAGAAGTCACTGGTGCCTTATTACTCACGGTGCTGGGATCGCTGTCAGCAGACGGTCACAGTCATGGGTAAGCAATAGAGCCTTAATGCCTGGATCACTAAAATGTCGCTGGCAGGCACTCCGTCTCTGGTGTTGAGCTCTGCCGCCCAGAGGCTTTCGGGAAGACGGTTTGCGAGCGTGCGTGCGTGCGCGCGCGCGCTCGCGGACCTGCGTCACCTGGAACGCCTCGGAGAGTGGATCCTGGAGTGTCCCCGAGGAGGGGCGTGGTCACGTGACGCGAGGCGCTCTCTCTTTTTTTTTTTTGCCTTTGTGACGTCTGGAAGAGCGAGCCGCGCGCATGCGCAGTGACGCCGTCAAGCGGGAGGCGGCGAGCGGAGGCCGGCTACCCAGAGTTCCCCGCGCGGAGCTTACCGGACCCCCGGGGGGCGTGAAAAGATGGCGGCCGTCAGGAGTGTAGAGAGGAGGCGGTTATAGGCTCGGTTTGCGGGGCTCCCTCAGATAGCGGTAACCGGATACGTCACGTGACCCCCCGCCGCCCCCCCCCAGTCCCGGTTACCCGGTGGCGGAGCGCGGAGCCCGCTGGGATGGACGATCTGGCCGTGGCCGCGGGGATGGCCTCTCCTAGGCCGCAGGCCCAGCCCCAGGGAGTCCCCCCGGACACGGCGTGCGACCTGCCGGCCCGGCCTCCTCAGTACACCATCCCCGGCATCCTGCACTACATCCAGCACGAGTGGGCCCGCTTCGAGATGGAGAGAGCGCACTGGGAGGTGGAGAGAGCCGAGCTGCAGGTAATATGGGGGGGAGGCTGACTGCCTGGGGGTAATATGGGGGGGGCTGGCTGACTGCCTGGGGGTAATATGGGGGGCTGGCTGACTGCCTGGGGTAATATGGGGGGCTGACTGACTGGGGTAATGGGGGAGGCCGACTGCTGACGGGGAGGCTGACCGCCTGGGGTAATGGGGCTGGCTGACTGCCTGGCCTGGGGTAATGGCGGCTGAAATGGGGGCTGATTGGCCCGGGGTAATGGGGCCTGGCTGACTGCCTGGGGTAATGGGGCTGGCTGACCGCTGGGGTAATGGGGCTGGCTGACTGCCTGGGGGGTAATGGGGGCTGGCTGCCTCACCTGCCGGGGGTAATGGGGGCTGCCCGGGGTGCGCCGGGGGTAATGGGGGCTGGCTGCCTGCCCGCCGGGGGTAATGGGGGGCTGGCTGGCTGACCGCCTGGGGTAATGGGGGGCTGGCTGGCTGACTGCCTGGGGTAATGGGGGCTGGCTGACTGCCTGGGGGCTGGCTGGCTGACTGCCTGGGGTAATGGGGGCTGGCTGACTGACTGCCTGCCTGGGGTAATATGGGGGCTGACTGCCCGCCTGGAGGTATATAGGGGGGAGGCTGACTGCCTGGGGTAATGGGGCTGGCTGACTGCCTGGGGCTTGACTGCCTGCCTGGGGTAATGGGGACGGCTGGCTGACTGCCTGGGGTAATGGGGGACTCACTCTCTGGGATGGAGAGCTTGGAGGGGGGCACTGGGCCTGGATTGGTAACTGTCATGCAGCCATGTCTGGTGGGCTGGCTTGACTGCCTGGGGTAATGGGGGGTTCACTCTCTGGGATGGAAAGCTGTAAGGGGGGCACTGGGCCGGTCACTGTCAGGCAGCCATGTCTGGGGGGCGAGCTGCAGGTAATGGGGAGCTTGCTGACTGCCTGGGGTAATGGGGGGGGGCTCACTCTTAAGGAATGGAGAGCTGTAGGGGGGGCACTGGGTCAGTCACTGTCAGGCAGCCATGTCTGGGGGGGCGAGCTGCATTGGGTAATTGGGGGCTCACTCTCTGGGATGGAGAACTGTGATGGGGCACTGGGTTTAAGTTCGTAACTGTCAGGGAGCTATGTCTGGGGGACGAGCTGCGGGTAATGGGGGCTCACTCTCCGGGATGGAGGGCTGTGAGGGGGACAGTGGGCATGGGCTGGTAGCTGTCAGCCAGGGGGTATTATCATGGACACGCATATCCTCCCTAACCCAGCTCCTTCTTTCCCTGGGGGAGACAGTGACCCACTGTGCCCAGGAGCTCATACTATGGGCCAGGCCTGCTGCCATATGGCTGTAAACTCACCCAGGATTAGCTCTTTGTGACCTTGTACTGCTCAACCTCTTAAAGGACCAGTGACAAGTTGTGCACTCCAACAATGTGTTATTTAAAGGCGATTCTGTAAGTAACATGACCATTATTGCTTGCTGTACTGATTAGGTTGCCCTGGTACCAAAGTTATGTTTGTCAAACCATAAACTGAGACTATTGTTGGTGCGCAGAAAACACCTCCTCCTCTGCTACATTGATAACATGGAATAATAACTTCCCTATAAACAGTATCAATTTTGTCCAACCTGGACTGAGCTGATTAGCAGGGAATGGGCTAATCCAGTGCTTTTTAGCCTATCAGTGCCATCCAGGTTAGATAAAAACTATTAACACAGACGTGTTTGTTTTTTTTTTTTCTGTGTTATTAAGGTAGGCAATGAGGAGGTGTCATGCAGAGTCTTGGTCTATGTCAGGCCAAAGGCAGTCTGACATTAAACTGAGGGACGAAACCAGGAAGTTGTAAGCAACCTACATACTATAGCTTGCTGTAGTGGTTTTATTGCTTAGAGTGCCCTTTAACCCCTTAAGGACATATGACATGTGTGACATGTCATGATTCCCATTTATTCCAGAAGTTTGGTCCTTAAGGGGTTAAAGGATCCTGTTACAAAAGGAATAAAACACTTTGTGAAAGGAGGTCTACATGGAACTGCCATAGCCCAATTAGCAGGCCGATCCATACTGGTGCTTAAGAAGCAGATTGTGTTGATGGAAAAACAATAACATATTGTCTTTAATGGGTTAATAGCCATATCCCTGTGTCCAAAGCAAAATCATCGTGATCAGAGGCACTGTTATATCTAATGCAATAAGTGTTCCTTTACATTGTGTGTATCAATTCTTAGACCTGGTTTACTTCCTTGACGTGTCTATCAATTCTTAGATTGGGTTTCCCTAAAGGATTCACCTAATGCAATGAAATTCATCTTACGCTTTGCCAAACTTATGGACATTGTAGTTGTACATCTGGGTATCTACCTTTTTGTGGTCACCCATGTCATAGATGGTGTTTGCTTTCGTTATGACAGCCGTGTCCCACTGTGGGTGTACTCTGCTCATGTTTGACATCTATTGTTCTATTTACTAACATTCTTTTTATGAGCTACTGTGGTCACTTCCTCTCACAGCTAGGGAATGTCACAATTGACATCATTAAATTCTGTGTTACAATGGCAAGCTAAAAGGTTCTTATGCAGTGATGGTCGTAGATAATATTTTGGCTAATTGAAAATAAAGCTTGTTTGTTGAAAAGAGAATTGTATAGATTTGTATGTATACAAAGTTATACCTATACACTGTGGAGTAGGATCAGTATAATGCAAAATAAATTGTCACAAAGTATGAAGCACTCAAGTATTTAAAGAGACACTTTTTAAAAGTCGTCACTTTTTTTTGTCTCCTGTGTTCCTTAATCATTTTACTGTCCTCCTCCATTTTCAAACAAAAAACAAACTTTAAGATTACTGTTAAACTTGCCTTTTTTTCCAAGCACCAATAAAGACCCTTTGACTGCAGCGTGGTCCACCCTCACTGACTTCAACAAACTTGATGACTTCTGTCCATTCAAAAGATTCTCATAGAAAAAACCCATTATGGACATACATAGCAATGCAGTGCCCAACAACTTCATACTCTACATGCTGATACCGGACTTCAAATAGGTTCAGTAACTTAATCTGTTTTAGTCCAAAGCCCCAAGAGCTGATGTCTGATTGACAGCTGCTAGAGGCATTACAATTGAACTATGTAAGCAATTGTGTATTTGCATCGATAGGACTGCATTTTCACTTCATTAAGAATGACTGTCCCTTTAAAAACAACAAAAAACCCTGATTGAGAGGTTTTCTGTTGGATTTTATGGCTGGGACGCTACATCCACCAGTCAGACTCCATCAGTTACTGGCTCAAAACTTCGCCAGATCTAGTACAACATTTATACCTATGTATGTTTGATAAAAGGTAGTATGTGATCGTAACAAACCAATTTTATTTATTTTTTCCTCTCCTAGAAATGACAGCCTTTAGATTGACAATTATTCATTTCTGATTTGTTTTTACATATAAATGTGTAAATGCATCTTTTGTGATGTACCTATTATGGATAATGTATTTTTAACCTTAAAGCCCATGTGGCTTTGGCATGTTTGAGGATCGATTTGGTTTAATCAACTAACAAGGTTATAGACTAAAATTCATAGGTGATAGTCAATGGTGTAATTTCCACAGAAGTGAGATTTCATCTTTAAACCAAATGGTAAAATTCATGCCTGCTAATTCTTAAAGTAACACTCCAATCACCATAACCACTGCAAGCTTCTTTAGTGATTATGATGCGAGGATTTCCCAGGCACACCCTCGATGTAAGTAGTTTAGCAGTTTGACTTTCTACTTGGGGTCTGTCAGGTGCTGCATACGTCATCTATGGAGAGCTGGAAGTTCCTGCTAGGAGTTTCCATTGGCTGTCCTGAGCTAATCCCTAAAGTGCATGGCTAGTATATTGGCTGAGAGAATCGGCTAATCACTTTCAGCCAGTGAGTTAAGCCTTGTACCATTTGGCTTAGTACACCGAAGCTTTCTTCTGCCACTGAGCAGTACTGGAGGTGGGGAGTGATGCCTAGCAGAGCCTAATGTTAGAAGTTAACCGTTCTATACAGGCTCGTCTACTAACATTTGGCGCGGGGGGCGTCAGGGAACTCCTGGCACCATAACCATTACAGCACTTTGTATTGGTTATCGTGATTGGAGTGTTACTTTAACATACATTGTATATGAACAATATATTTGCCAAAAACACACCTATAGTTGCTATTTCATGTTCTGTCATCACACACATATATTGTGTGTCTCTCTTTATCATTCCTCTTTACAAGGGTTTAGTGGTAAAGTTCAAGCACGCATTCCTTTTGTAGACATTTTTGTCAAGTTTTTATTTTGGGGACATGATTTAGGAAAAGTGTGTCACACTCACTTCCTCTAAATAAATATGATCTCACCTCCTGATGTCACTTGCAAGAATGTAATTAGAGCTGATAAGCAGTGCCCAGTATAATTTTACTTTCCTGTTCTAATAAAGAGCACAAATATAAGGTGATCAAATCCAAAATGTATGCCAAAAATGTCTGGAATGCCAATCCATTAATGTTAACCTTGTGCTTTTTACTGCCAGCTGGTGGCAAATTGTTTCGCTGCAAGGTAGATATGTAACTATTACCTGATAGAAGTGGTTTTGCTATAAGTCTGATATTGAGCTTTGAAAATCAACTACCAAGTACACACCTTTTCAATGTTTTTATTCTTCCTATGCTTTGCTGCTGTGATAATGGAATAAATTGAATATTCACTGTCTATTTCTTTTTTACTTAGGAATGACTCATAAAAATGTAAAAGTTCTAAATGTCTGGTGATCAATATTTACTGTAAGATTTATAATCTAGTTGACTTCTTTCTCATGGTGTTTCCACTCAGTATGACTGAGTGCAATGAGTCTGTATAAAATCTGAAAGATGAGCTTAGTCAACTAATGTATTTATGTAGTTTTAGACAAAGGTGTGAATGCAATATGTATTCCCCATCTTAACATGGGGTACATCTGACAGAGCCAAGGGGTTTAAAAAAATAAATTAAATAAAGTTTAAAAGGAAACTGCATTTCAAAATGCATATTTTCCCTCTATATAATTAATTGTTGCAAAAATGCACTTACTAAAATTTGCAAGAATAAAAATGTAGCTTTTCATTTAAGGACCACTAAAGTCACTTAATCTTGATGAAGTGGTTTGTGTGCAGTGGTTCTGTCATTTTAACCCTGCAATGTAAAACGTAGCGTTGTTGTTGTTATTTTTGAAACTGCAATGTTTACATTTCATGGTTACATCCACCTCTAGTGGTTGATGTCCAGGCACAGTGCATGTATTACGATCTCGGAGTGTATTATCATTATATCCGCTTTGGTCAGAAGTACAGCTTATTTGACCAAAAACGTTGCAGGAAATGAAGTTCGTTTGCTTCCAAATTCTCAACAACCTTCATATTGTTGATTTTGACCAAAGAGGGCTAGAAATGACCATCCTTGTGTAGTAAAGTAAGCAAAGAGATGCACTAAGTTATTAACTTTAGAAAATTGTGCTTTATTGGATTTTATATGGTAGATTTTATTAGACAATGTTAAATAATAAAAAAAAAAGCCTATATCCATGATTTAAAAAGTTTTAGCATGCCAGTGAAATTAGTAGTTCTGCCCAAACCATATGCATAGCACGAGTACTCAATGTTCTGTAGTTCCAGAGGGTTAGGTCAGTTCTTGCATGCTCTTTCCTGTTACCCACTTCCCTTACTTGTTCCCCACTTTTCTCCCATCATTCCATATGTGTATCCCTAATAACCCCCTAGCACACATCTTATTGCTGCCCAGTGTCTTTAAGGTTGCAGAGGTAACTGTAGCCAACTGGAGATACAGGAAGTCACACAAGGTTATAGTGCGAATGTCCTCTCCATGCGCTCTCTTGTAATAACTACCGCTGCTTACCAGGTAAAGAGGATCTGCAGATGCTGGGCAAGAAGGAGAAAGGAAATTCCCCTTCTCCTACGAGCACATCATTAATTCTAACTATACCATCGACTATGCTGTAATCTTGGAGTGCTGCCCGATGAAACCTGACCCCACACAGAGTAACTTGGTTTCACTCCCGCGTTGCTGGGTGAACTTTGGAATATGGACAAGCAGTACTTGACCCCATGTTTTGGGGTAAAAAACTGATTCCTATATTACCAAAAAAAATTGTATTCATATTTTCCAAGTTATACTTTAGTAAAAGTAGCGACAAAAGTTGATAGTGGAGCTTTAATCAGGCTTCACAGTCTCTTTCAACTTTGTCATTGACAATCTCCTTCTGTACCCCCTCCCATGGCACGTCACTGGTTCTTATTGGTAACTCTCATGCCATTTTGAGAGTAAACACGGAGGTCAGTGGAAGCTGCTAGATCCCCTGTGTATATGTGATTGTATGCACATGCCCAGGAAAGGGCAGAAGAATTTATTTCCGGGTGCCTTCATCTTACAATATTTAAGATGGCAGCGCAAAGATAGATGTCCCAGTGGGACCAGAACAACTTCTAGAGGCGTAGGTTGCTTAAAGGGACACTATAGTCACCAGAACCACTACAGCTTAATGGGATGGTTCTGGTGTCTGTCTATAGCAATGCTCAGCAATGTAAACACAGTGTTTACATGGCTACTTAGTAACACTTCTAGGTGCTTTCATCTGAGACAGCCACTAGAGGTGCTTCCTGTTGGTATTTTGCACCTCTTCAATATATCACTAAGCGGAGATGCTTATTGATACAACGCAGTGTTTTGACGCACTTACGCAATAGCATCCTAATGCTTTCCTATGGGAAAGCATTGGATTGGCTGCGATCTTTAGGATTGAGCTCAGCCACAGCGAACCCACCACAGCAATAGAGAAAAGGTAAGCAAGCTGCCTTTTAAAGGACCACTCTAGGCACCCAGACCACTTCAGCTTAATGAAGTGGTCTGGGTGCCAGGTCCTTCTAGGGTTAACCCATTTTTTTAATAAACATAGCAGTTTCAGAGAAACTGCTATGTTTATGAATGGGTTAAGCCTTCCCCCAAAGCCTCTAGTGGCTGTCTCATTGACAGCCACTAGAGGCGCTTGCGTGCTTCTCACTGTGATTTTCACAGTGAGAGCACGCCAGCGTCCATAGGAGAGCATTGTAAATGCTTTCCTATGCGACCGGCTGAATGCGCGCGCAGCTCTTGCCGCGCGTGCGCATTCAGCCCAGGAGGAGGAGAGGAGGAGGAGAGCTCTCCGCCCAGCGCTGGAAAAAGGTAAGTTTAAACACCTTTCCCCCTTCCAGAGCCGGGCGGGAGGGGGACCCTGAGGGTGGGGGCACCCTCAGGGCACTATAGTGCCAGGAAAACGAGTATGTTTTCCTGGCACTATAGTGGTCCTTTAACTCTTTACTGAGGGTGGCCCGACACCTAATTTGGTAGTCCAGCACTACAGTGTTAGTATTTGTAACACTATAATGCTCCTTTTAAGGAAGAGATCCTAGTGACAGCAGCTTTAACTAATACCTTGTGCTATAGTGGTTTTGGTGCCAGGAGTTCCCTTGCCTTGAATGTAACATTGTGTAGAGAAATGTTGGCACAAAAAAATTAACAAAAACATATTATGTATTCAAATAAAAAAAAATTGAAATTGAGCCCCTCTCCCCCACCCCAGTAAATAGTTACCTAGTCTGCCAGACGCCAGTCACTTCTACTGTGGGCAGCTAAAGGTCCTGCTTAGAACTTCTGTTGGCTTTCCTGAGCTAACCAGGCCATGCAGAGCGGCCAGCTAATTGGCTGAGAACGTCAGGTGGTTGTTTTCAACCAATAACCTAAAAGAAGCTTAAGCAGCGAAATTACAGCTGTTAGTGCCCAGTTCTCGGCTGACACCAGGAAATAGGTCAAACTGTTAGTGGTTTGACTCCTTACATGAGGGGGAGGTTGCCAGAGAATGTCTGGCACTATAACTACTTCAGTGTGTTATAGTGGTTATGGATCTTGGAGTATTCCTTTTAAAACAGCTCTTTCACATCCAGAGGTCTTTGCATGTTTTTACCTGGGTCTTCCCCCTGACAAGTTATTGTGTACAGTTTTGGTACAGTTACTAAAGAGCTGGTATGTGTGGTTTCTAATTCTGGACCTTCCTTCCGGAGTCACACTCTTTACATTTAAATTAATCATATAGGTATTTTGAAGTGCATCTGACAAATCTGACTGTCACTGGTGTAAGCGCATTGTATTGGCAAATATGTGAACCCAGAATACCGTGTTCATTGGTGACTGGCCGTATATTTGTCCACAGCACTAAGCTGAGCAGAGGAAACCATTAGATTGAAATATCTGTTCTATACATCTATTTAGCTGTTTACTAAGGGAGATTGGAGACTAAAAATTAGAGGTTAGAAGGGTGTGTTTTAGGGATAGGCAACCTTCGGCACTCCAGATGTTGTGGACTACATCCCCTTTAATGCTCTTACACACATAATGCTGGCAAAGCATCATGGGAGGTGTAGTCCAAAACATGCAGTGCTGAAGGTTGCCTGTGCCTGATGTAGATAGACAGGAGGTGGTCTATACACAGTTGAGTAAAATGCTCAGGAAGTAGGAGGCTTGTTATTGGTTTCTGTTAAGTTCTAGTGTAGAATTGTTCTTTACTCGGTTGACCTTCACATACTGATGAATGAATCACTGGTCAACTTTACAGATAATGTCCAGACAGGGCAAATTTGCTTAATTTTAAATTCTTCCAGTTTGTTCTAAATCGATATTGTCTTGCTGAGGTCCCCTGGTATTCTGCACTTCTCCCATTACTAATTTAATATTATGCAGTGCTGCATATATTTATCATTTCTTTTGTTTGTATCGAATCAGCTTCTTTTGAATTCTTCTTTTATTCTCCAACACTGCACATACAGATTACTTCCTCCATGACCACTTCAGAAAGCAGAAGTGGGCAAGGAGTCTGGAGTAACCCTTTAAATACATACTTTCTTACTATATAGCATCTCTATAGTTGTTGTCTCCCCCCCTTTCTTCTGCTCTTCCTTTTTCCCCTTTATGGATCACTTCTCACAATAAAATTAACATTAAGTGGCTGTCCCCTAGCTATCAGTCATCTGTGTCCTATACATCGTCACTCATTTGGGCTCCACGGCCGAACTCTGTATCCCGAACATTCGGCCATGGCACTAGTTGTTTGCTTATAAAGATGTCCATGGGACTCGCCGGGAATTTGGAATTTGAACAATCAGCCAATCAGCCCAGATTCAGTGAAATCACAATTTGTCTGAATCCAAATGCACAAGTATAGTTGATATATTGAGGTTAGAATAGAATCGATAAAAGTAACAAAAAAAGGAATTTATTCAAAAATCTGGAGTGTGCGTAAGTTGTATTTAGTTATTTTTCTTCCACACAAAGGTATTTGTATCTTAATGTGAACACATATATTTGTATGATACTTCTGTATGTGACCTTTTTAAAAGGTCTAACATTTTACATGTAATTGAGGTGATAGATATTGGATAGTGCACTCGTTATGAAATGTAATATTTGTGCAAATATTTAATCCTGGGTAATATGGTGGAGAGGAACTTTACTCGGGTTTACACGCTGCTGTGTTTTTAGTTGGAGAAATTGTTGGCTTGCTTGAGGACCTGTTGATTCTACGAAATATCATGTGACCGTTTCACACCTTAAGCAATAATCAAGTAAAACATGCTGCATATTGTTAACAGATGAGAATCGTTGGACAAAATTGTTTTGTAACTAGTGAGTCAATGGGAGATGCTATCAGACATTGGTTTTCTATTGGTAAAGGGAATCTGTTATCTAGGTTTCTTTGTTGCTAAGAGCTTATGTATTCACTCAAACTCTGCTCAAGTAATTGCTGTACTGCTTCCTACGATGTCATCATTCAGTTTTTAAGACCATTTTTTTTATTTAGACAGGGCTTTCTATTCTCCACTTCTCTATCCTGCGGTGTTATCCTTTTCAGAAGCTCATTTCGGCTCTTTGGCCATGCAAGCAATTCTTGGCACATATATTCTTTATTTATAATTATGAAATGTAAATGGAATGCTTGCCGGGTTTATTTTTTTTTTCAGTACTGGTAGATACGTTTTAATTATATAAATGTTTTCTATAGATCTATTGGCAGAGCATCTCTTCAGGCTTCCACGCCACAAATATTAAAGGAACATTATAGTGTTAGGAATACAAAGCCATATTCCTAACATTGTAGTGTCCCTCTGCCCCCCCGGAACCTTTTAAACACTTCTCTGATTCCAGAGCTGATGAACGCATGTGAGGAGAGTGTCACTAGAGGCAATCTAAACACTGCAATGTAAACATTGAAGATTCCAGCTTTCCAGCTGAAGTGGTAGAGGTTAACACAGTGAGGGAGTTTAAGCATGCATGGGATAGGCATAAGGCTATCCTAGACTTAAGATAAGGCCAGGGACTAATTAAAAGTATTTTGAAATATTGGGCATACTAGATGGGCCGAATGGTTCTTATCTGCCGTCCCTTTCTATGTTTCTCTAAAACTGCAATGTTCTACATTGCAAGGTTAATGGAACAGAGACACTGCATTCAGAGAATTTCATGAGTTGAAGTGGTCTGGATACCTATAGTGTCCATTTAAGGCTTTTTAATTATGGCTTGCAAAGGGTCTCAGTCCGTTTTACAATCAAAGTACACATGTTGGCTGTTCTTCACTGTCAAGAACAAAGGGTTGCAGCCTAATGATTTTCAGGTTCACCAGAACTGTATAACTAATCGGACCCAGAATATGAGAACTTAATTAACTGTGATCTGAGGTTGGCCTTAAAATATATATATATATTTTTTTTACCTCTGAAAGCCCGTCTAGTGACTTTCTTTTTCTTCTGGAAAACATCATGTCTCATAGCCATCACATCTGCAAACTAAGTAGGAGAACGTGCAGCTCATTCTCTGTGCCTTATTTGTCATGATATAAAGTTGTATCATTCCAAAATAACCTTTCATTCATATCAATGGACAGTCAAAAGGACTTCTTTAAAAAGCATCTCTGGTAAGATGGACCAGAGAAACAAATGAGCTTGCATACTCTTAGTCTGAGAATTCCCTACTTAAAAAATATCCAACCACCTAAAAATGACAAATGACAGGTTTGGTGTCTTCTTTGTGAGGACCTGTGTGATTGCAAGTGATTTTGTAGCGTAACAAGAGGAGTAAGATTTTAAGAGTCTGTAAATTTCACTTGGAGAAACTGTTATTGTACTTCCTGCTAAATGAGGTGCTTGGAGTGTTTAAATATGTGTGTATCATATATATTGTTTTCTCCTGTCTTATTAATGTTGTGGCTATTTGAGAAGCCACTCCAGGCTCATGCTTTGAAATAGGCCCCAAAGGAGCCACACTATAAACGTCGTCTTTTTATTTATTAATTATGAAATAGATTGCTGTCACTACAGCAGCTCTCTACGCATTATGTATGGGAACTGTCTTATTTATTAATAGCTTCTCAATTGCCGTTTAGTACTCTGCCTGTACTGTGCGTGGTGGTCAGGTTTCTTGTTGCGTGCTCACACTTAAAGCCAGATCTGCAACATTGCGTTTGCAAAGGAGGGAGATTCCAAAGGGCACGTGTATTTGTAGTAGGTTTGCTGTATGTCACTTGTGTAGTCCATAACAGCCAGTGATAATGTCACAGTGACTTCTGTCATTATATCCATCAACATATTCAGCATCAGGCAGTGGCAGTCTAAATTTAGGTTGTTGCTAGTTTGTGTGTGAGCGTAAGTTGTATTTAGTTCTTTTTCTTCCACACAAAGGTATTTGTATCTTAATGTGAACACATATATGTGTATGATACTTATGTATGTGTTTATTATTTAGAAAATTAGTAGTAAATATAGTTCTTTGGATTTTATTCAAACATTTTAAAGGGTTTATTTACTAAACAATGAATTGTGATCTGAACTTCAGGCTCGCAAATTTGAAAAACTTGTCCAACTCTGCTAGAGTCTCAGGTTGACAAATATTTCCTAAAGTGGACTTCAGTTTTCAACTCACTAGTTTATTGAAAATGTTAGAGTTGTGGATTGGACATGGGGTGGGATGTTGAGTTTGGATGAAAGGAACACTATAGGCACCCAGACTCTTTGAAGTGGTCTGGGTGCAGTTTCCCAGGCCCCTTAACCCTGCAATAGTGTATATATTGCAGTTTTTAATAAATTGCAATCATTACCTGGCAGGTAATGATTGACAACCACCTCTAGTGGTTGTTTACCAGACCCCCACTACAGGAACTTCCAGGTCGTCAGGCGACTTTTAATTACTTAACTGACGGTGGGTGTCCTCGTGCTATGCATTTTTGTATAATGCTTTTCTTTGAGGGAAGTCCTAATGCGAATGCGGCCATCGTTGCACATGTGCATTATGTCTAACCTGCCGGCTGATGTCGGTAGGGGAGGAGTAGAGGCAGAGCCTGAACAAGTACCGAGGGACATCAACACTGGAATCAGGTAAGTGACAGAAGGTGGTGGTGTGTTTTTTTTTCTTTCTTATAACCCCTTCTGCACTGTGGGGGTGGGAAGGTGTGACAGAGGGGAGCAGTATAGGGAGCTATAGTGCTAGCAAAAAAACTTTGCTTTTCTGGCACTATAGTTTAACTTCAAGTCAATATATGAGGAAGAAGCTCTTAAATTTACCCTGGGCTAAAGGTGCTACCTAGCATTGCACCTGGTGCATTGCTGTGGCACTTTACAATTTGACTATAAAAATGAATATAGCATTGACAAGATTTATTAAAGGACCACTATAGTGCCCTGAGGGTGCCCCCACCCTCAGGGCCCCCCTCCCGCCCGGCTCTGGGGAGAGGAAAGGGGTAAAAACTTACCTTTTTCCAGCGCTGGGCGGGGAGCTCTCCTCCTCCGATCCTCCTCCGTTCCTCCCATCCGGCTGAATGCGCGCGCGCGCATTCAGCCGGTCGCATAGGAAAGCATTCACAGATTTTCACAGTGAGAATCACGCAAGCGCCTCTAGCTGCTGTCAATGAGACAGCCGCTAGAGGAATTGGAGGAAGGATTAACCCATTTGTAAACATAGCAGTTTCTCTGAAACTGCTATGTTTATAAAAAAAAAGGGTTAATCCTAGCTGGACCTGGCACCCAGACCACTTCATTAAGCTGAAGTGGTCTGGGTGCCTAGAGTGGTCCTTTTAAAGCAACACTATAGCGTTGGGAATACAAATTTGTAATCCTAACATCATAGTGTTCCTGTCCCTTTAAAAGAAAATCTACGTTTTACTTTTTTCCAGCTTTGAAGCTCCGTGGGTGCTGTCCTTTACTCCCCTGCCGACGTCATGGAGGAGGGCCCATTGGGGTTCTAACGCCTGACAAGTGTTGCTTGTGCATTTAAACTTTCCCATGGAAAAAAAGGGAAAATGGGAAATGATTTTCTATGGGGCTTCTGCATCACATGACCAAGTTTTTACTGTGCCGTGGAAGCGCCTCTAATGGTTGTCTATATGACCACCGCTAGAGGAGGCGTTAACCCTGTATTGTAAACATTGCAACTTCTCAAAGACTGCAGTGTTTTACATTTCAGGATGAAAGGGACAGACACACTGTACCCAGGCATCTTTATTGAGATGAAGTGGTCTGGGTGAATATAGTGTTCCTTTAAAGTGCATATAGGACAAAAAAGCCAAACTGAGAACATAGCTTAGTTTAACATTTTTCCAGCTCAGCAGTTTTAGACTAAAATTTGAATAAGACTGACTGCATTGCTTATTGCAGTACATGCAACACATCGGGAGGAAACAAAGAGAAGTGAAACAGAATTGTTGGAAATAAAGGTGAAAGGATTGAAATATGTGTTGTAGTGCTGAAAAAAATGGCATATCTTCAAACAAAATGGTTAATTATTATTAGTATTCATATTGCGCCAACTAATTCCACAGCGCTTTACAATATTATGGGGGGGGAGACTTACAATACATGAGACAATTACACAGTGACACAGGAACAATAGGTACATGAGGTGCTCAAACGAGCTTACAGATTGCAGTAGAAACCGATGGGAACAAAAACAAAGTTCAAAAAATGTGCCAAATGTTTATCATGAATTAGATGTAAAAGTGTCCGCAACTGATTATTGGTAACCTAGTTCTAACAGGGGATGTAGCAGAACAAAATGTATTCATTTCTCTTGAAATCAACACTGGAATAAAATATGCATAAAATATGCCTGTATGTACAGGCAGTTAATATCTAAAGACCTTTAGCAAGCTAAAGTGCTTTTAGTTGTGTGGAGTGTTCTTTAATCCTCTACCTTTCAAAAGTGACGTGATCACTGTTATTGAATTAGCTTTTTCCCTCAGTGTTCTATACAAACAGTGGATGAGTTTATTGGGGTCACCCTAACCAGTGTTTAACAATCAAAATGTATAGGTTAAAGCAATGTGAATATTGTGCTTTATAAAGGTCAAGAAAAAAGGTTTGTACTGCATGGTATTCTTACAATGCAGGGTGAAATCTCTGTTTTGTCCGCTACCTTTGTTTGCAATTTTACACTGTTTGTGTTCTTTCTGGCGTTTTAGTTGAGTTGGAGCTTTATCTCTGCTTCTCATTGTACCGGCAGTATAAGAGAATTGTTCAGAGGTACAATATGTATGTTTAAATATCAGCTTGTTTTTCTTTGTGGTGGAATTTGATTTATATAAATGCAATGTGTTTTTTGTTTTGTTTACTCAGTTAGGTAGTTAAAGGTAGGGGAAAAAAACCTTTTCTTCTAATGGTACTGTTACGTATGTCTCGCGTATTGTGCCAAGGTATGATATGACTCATTGCAAACTGAATGAAGTTTGTCTCCGGTTTCCATTTAGATCGATCCTGTTCAGACTAGTGCCGGCATATGTTTTCGCCATACCATACTTATACTAGAAGCGGTGTGCAATAGATTGTTTCCTACAATTGTTTAACATTCGGTAAAATGTGATGAGAGGTAAATTGACATTTTAAAGGATTAGCCTATTCAAACTTTGACTACATTATTTATATAGCTGTATACCAGGCCTTGACAAATGTGTTTGGAAGCTAGGAGCCAGTTCTTTTTAAACAAGTTTAATTTTCCACAAGAAAAATGCAATTTTTTAAAAGACACTGTGAAGTGGTCTGGGTGCCTATAGTGGTCCTTTAATGTAGTAGTTCTGGTGTCTATAGACTGTCCCTGCAGGCTTTTCAATGTAAACACTGCCTTTTCAGAGGTGATTTCTAGTCCAGTGCTGCACGCTATGCAAGGAGGCGCTGAATGTTCCCCATAGATAGACTTTGATTCGATGCATCTCTATTATGATTGTTATTATTTATATAGCGCCAACAAATTCCGCAGCGCTTTACAGTGGGTGGACGAACAAACATGTAGTTGTAACCAGACAAGTTGGACACACAGGAACAGAGGGGTTGAGGGCCCTGCTCAATGAACTTACATGCTAGAGGGAGTGGGGTAAAGCATGTACCCCACTTTCACTCTTTGAGGAGATGCTGATTGGTGCAGCATTTTGCTGCTCATGCACAATATCCTCTCAGTGATTTCCTATGGGAAAGCATTTGCTTAGCTGAGATCATAAAGATTTGGTTGTGTCAAAACAGGCATGGCATGGAGAAAAGGGGTGAGTAAAAAAGGAAAAGCTGAGTAGATCCTTTTCCCTGAGGTCCAGTGTGGCTGCTCTCTAATCTTCCTGCAGTTCCTCTTTGCTCCCCTGCACGCTCTGTAGTGATGCAGGGGCTGGAGTTAAGTCATATTCTGGCTACTGGCATTGCTAAACAGCATGCGAAAGAGCAGAGAAGAATTGCAGGAAGATTATTGCTCCCTTGCGCTGCGCCTTAGCCAGCTGGCTCCGGTGGCCCCCAGGGCTCTAAAGTGCTGACAAATCTCAGGTGTCGGGATGAAATTTGTAGGCTATCTGGCACAAATACTAGGAGAGGCACGATCCCCAAAGGCAGAGAAACACTAAACTTAAGTGGATTGCCAGATCTTCTCCATTATTAAGAAGAATAGATAAATAATCTTTATTCAAAAGTGAACTTAGTAAGGACACAAAGGGGAGAATGAAGATGACCACTGACGCGTTTTGTGCCTCACCAGTATTTCATCTGTCTCTCCTAACTGTTCACTTTGGAGTAAACAATATTTATCCTTGTCTGTGGATCGAGGCGGTTTTTTATTTTCTTTATGATGGAGAAGATACGTCAATCCACTTAAGCCTAGTATTTGACCCAATATAACTTTTGAAAAATGTTTTTATACTAATGCATTAAATAAAATAGACTTATTAAAAAAAATAAAAAAGTGCATACATTTTTAATGTATCGCTAAAAGCACTGTATAGCAGGTCTTTCTGCTGACCCATCCCATACCAATAAGAGGCCACTGGGACACTTTCATTGTGGTAAATGGGGATTGATCTTATCCTACAACAGATTATGGGATAAATAGGTTGTACTCAAAGAGCAGTTCAAATAATCTCATTCAGGGTTATTCATTAAAGTGAGATTTCAAAGTGAATTTCAGGCTTTATGCCAGAGCACCCGAATTGGACACTGTAGGCACCATGACCTCTTCAGCTAATTGAAGTTGTATGGGTGCTGTGTCCCTATTGCACTTAGTGCTGCAATGTAAAACACTGCAGTTCCAGAGAACTGTAATGTTTATATTGTAGCTCTAAGTCTGCCCTCAGTGGCTGTCTACCAGACAGCCACCAGGAGTGCTTCCAGAGTTGAAAAGATAGGTTAAATACCTAAAAGGTGTTTTTTTTTTTTTTTTTTAAATGCATTATGTAAATTTGTCCTTACCGATATTCTCATTGATAATTACTAAAAGCATGAATAGAGAGAAGGATGCAGACATATTCATCCTGTTTGCTCTTCTAGTGCATGCTGATTGGATTCCAGCAGCTCTGCTCAATAAGTGGTGTCAGTGGCTGAGTTGTGTACATACACTATAAGGGAAGTGGTTTTTGATTGCAGGGGGTATGGCTAGGGAGGCAGGCTTATAGTACTAAAATTTACCATCAAAGATTTGAGCGGGCAAGTACAGCATCCACGTACTATAAATACAAACATGCCATGGCAGCTCTCTAAAGTTCTATAATACCATGTAGAATATGCCAGTAAGCACAGACAGCATTTCCCTACCATATTTGTGTAAGCTATTTTATGATTACTATTTATGCTGTTGTGTGGTTTTGGATTTTGTTGAACTAATGCTCAGCCATGGGCAGCTGTTTCAACCTTTACAGCTCTTCTGCACTGAGCTGACTTTTAGTTCAATGTTGGAATTTTGCTGTTTCAGGCAACTTGTTAACATTTGGCTCATGATCTACAACATTATAGATTTATTTTTATCTGAGGGAAATGTTTGTCTCCACAAAAATCCATTACCTGTGTTTGTTTATAAATTATGTTTATTGCTAGACTATTCTTAAAATAATAGATGATGAAATGAGATTAAAGGAACACAATATTCTTAACCCTATAATGTTAAAAACACCATCAAGCCCTCCTTACCCCCCTAAATATAGTGAAATTGTACTTGTATTCCAGTCTGCTGCTTCTGGCTCTGCACCTCATCTGCCTATCAGAAGCTATGATCTGAGCTAATTACAATTTTTTCACATAGGAAAGCATTGGGTTGGCCGAGCTTGTCAACAAGGCAGATCAGGGGCAGAGCCAGCACAAGCCAAACTCAGCACTGGCCAATCAGCATCTCCACACAGAAATATATTGAATCAATGCATATCTATAAGGAAAGTTCTGTGTCTCCAGGCAGAGGCACTGAATGTCAGTCACACTATGCCACACTCCCCCAGGAAGCACCTCTAGCAGCCATCTGAGGCAAAGCCAGTGGAGGTATCCCTAGACTGTAATGTAAACACTGCATATTCTCAGAAAAAAAGTGTTTATTGCAAAAAGCCTGAAGGAAATGATTCTACTCACCAGAACACATGCAATAAGCTGTAGTTGTTCTGGTGACTATAGTGTCCCTTTAAGGTTTGATTTGATACTTTATGATTATTTTTATGTAGATCGGAGGTGGTTTAATGTAGATCTCCAGCTGTTGTAGAACTACAAATCCATTTATGCTTTGCTAGCCACCTAGGGATCTGTATTTGGCTACCTCTGGTTTAGATTCTACACTACTTTTTTCAGGTTTGGAGAAAGAGGATACTCCTTTTGTGTATTTTAACTCCACAAACACGATGGCACACTCCATTCCCTAATGTGTTTCGGTTTACAATTCTGTTGAACATATCCTGGTCATGCATTTGCTACAGTGCTTGAACCTGGTATGTAGTGTTTAGCCTAATTTCAGAATCAGAATTTATTTTTTGCCTTTTTTTTTTTTTTTGTTTACCTCTAACTCCCAAGAGCTCTGCAGTGCATTGTTAAAATGTGATATAATTTAGAAGCTTCCCCATTAGTTGTAGTTATTAATATTAATAATACACTGCACAGACCTCTATCTGTTCAATAAATGTTAAGACCAATGTTTTCCCACTCTTTCAGGCGCGGATAGCCTTTCTTCAAGGTGAAAGAAAAGGTCAAGAAAATTTGAAGAAAGATTTAGTACGAAGGATAAAAATGTTAGAATATGCATTAAAGCAAGAGAGGTAAGTGACAAGCATGATTTTCAATATCCCGTCAGGCAGATAAAGTAACCAAATGGTTTATTATCAAGCTACTATGGATGTATAGTTGCATGCCATAAAATTTGAATTCTGTGTTGTAAAAAAAATAGTCCCAGTGACAAAAGCAGGGCCAATGAGATCTCAGATCATCTTTACGGCTGCTTAAATGTGATAAAAGCTGATAAAAATGTTTTAACAACTTATTGTGGGACAGTGCCAGTGCACTCTTGGCACTGTAACTGCAGCGGGTTGTAGTGGTTATGGTTCCTCAAATGTTCCTTTAACACTTTGGCTATTCCTAGCCATGACATGTGCTTATGATGGAATCTATTTTTCTCCACTTTAAATACTTGGTTGTAGACTTTACTATTCATGGTATTAAATATAACTAGAATTAAATGAATATTTGGAATAAAACATTTCTGAAACAAGTACGGTAAATTAAAAGCAAATCATAGCAAGTTATAATATACAGATAGTTCTGAGAAATATGTTTAACAAGATTTCTTTAAGTCGTGATTAACTTTTGCTGTGTAATCAATAGACTCATATGGTTCATCTTTCTCTCTCACCACTTCATCTGAATTATACAATTTCTTACTTTATATACATTAATATGTGTATATATATTTTTTTTTTTCCAGGGCAAAATATCATAAATTAAAATATGGAACAGAACTGATCCAAGGAGACATGAAGATGCCAGCATATGAACCTGGTAATTAGTGTTTAGCCAAATTGTAGCATTAAATTGCTTTAACAATTAAAGGACCACTCTAGGCACCCAGACCACTTCAGCTTAATGAAGTGGTCTGGGTGCCAGGTCCAGCTAGGGTTAACCCATTTTTTAATAAACATAGCAGTTTCAGAGAAACTGCTATGTTTATGAATGGGTTAAGCCTTCCCCCTAATCCTCTAGTAGCTGTCTCATTGACAGCCACTAGAGGCGCTTGCGTGCTTCTCACTGTGATTTTCACAGTGAGAGCACGCCAGCGTCCATAGGAAAGCATTGTAAATGCTTTCCTATGCGACTGGCTGAATGCGCGCGCAGCTCTTGCCGCGCGTGCGCATTCAGCCGACAGGGCGGAACGGAGGAGGAGAGAAGGAGGAGAGCTCCCCGCCCAGCGCTGGAAAAAGGTAAGTTTAAACCCCTTTCCCCTTTCCAGAGCCGGGCGGGAGGGGAAACCTGAGGGTGGGGGGACCCTGAGGGTGGGGGCACCCTCAGGGCACTATAGTGCCAGGAAAACGAGTATGTTTTCTTGGCACTATAGTGGTCCATTAATGTGTCTTAATACTTGGGTACACATGTCTGTTGACAAGTAAATGGTTTCTCCAACCCATTTTCATAGTTAATTGCATAATGCTCTATTTGAGTTACATGTCATCTGTACAGATATACATTTGCTTACACCTAGCATGTAAGTATATGATATCTTATGTTTAGTAGGTTACATGTAAATAGATATTATAATTAAAGACATTACAAAACCTCCCATAGTTTAAGAAATGGGTCAAATGGGGTGTTCCTTTTAAAGTTTAAAGTGGGTTTTTTGTTTTTGTTTTTTTTTTTATTAAAGGAACACTATAGGGTCAGGGACACAAACATGTATTCTTGACCTAATAGTGTTGGAAATCACCATTTAGGTGGCTGGCCCTCTTAGGTTTAAAACTTACCTTATTTCCAGTCGACCGGCATGGGCCCCACCCCTACACCCATCTGCAACTTTGGCTGACATCATTAGAAAGGCAAAAGCATTGGATTGGCTGAGATCGTCAAGGAGGCAGAGTGTGGAGACGCTGAACATCAGTGATGCGCACTATGCAGCACCTCCAGTGGCCATCTGAGGAGTGGCCGCTGGAGGTGTCTCTAGGCTGTAATGTAAACACTGCCTTTTCATAGAAAATGCAGTGTTTAAAACAAAAAAAAGCCAGCAGGGACTGACTATACTTACCAGCACAAATACATTAAGCTGTAGTTGTTTCTGGTGACTATAGTGTCACTTTAATGTTTTTTTTTTATCTGAGGTATTAAAAATATATATGTAAAAAGAAAAATATTTTTTTTAAAGTGCTTAAATTTAATTTCCTGCAGGGCTAAGCTTTCCAATAACATTTATGGTTGTATTTGATTGGACTGGCTCATAGCACATGCGTGTGGCTCTGAGCTGGTGAGGGGAGAGAGATTGGGAGTGTTTTTTGGGGTTGAAGAGGTGGGTGACTGGCAAAGGAGGGAGGGAACAGAGAAGTAAGGCTCCCCCTTGCATGCTACCTGGATGAGAGATGCTCATTGCACCTGTTGCCAACTTGCTTGGTTGAGAACAGGTGTCATTTTAGCACAACCTTTATATTAGGACCTCTATTCTGAGCTGCCTAAGTCATGTGTTCTGATGATGTAAATATCCCCAGCGCACAAGTGCAAATATCTCGATGTGCGGTGCTTCAAGCTAAAACGCTGCACACCACAGATTCCTGCCACCATAACCACTTCTAAAAGCAGAAGTGGTCATGGTGATTGGAGTAACAATTTAATGGTTTTCTGGGAGTCGTAGTTCAGTTACTTCAATTGTAGACTTCTAACATCTGAACTACAACTAATTATTATTATTATTGTTGGTATTTATATAGCGCCAACTAATCCCGCAGGGCTTTACAATATTATGAAAGGGGGGGAAATTTACAATAAATGAGACAATTACACAGTGACACAGGAACAATATTTAGATGAGGACCCTGCTCAAACGAACTTAGAGTCTAGAGAAGGTGGGGTACAAATACAAAACAGGGCAGCAAGGGTGACAGCCACCAAAAAAGGTGGAAAAGTAGCAGAGCTGAAGGGAAGAGACTCTTTAGGAGAGCAAGATTAAGATTTGGATAAGTATAGATAAATTACTCTGGAAGTCCATAAGCATTTCTGAACAGATGTGTTTTGAGGGACTTCTTGAACAATTGAAGACTACGGGAGAGTCTGATGGGGAGCCGCCCGTGAGAAGTCCTGCAAGCGCGAGTTAGCAGTAAGGGTGCAAGCAGCGGACATGAGAAGGTCACCGACAGATCGGAGAGACCGAGAAGGGGCATCTCTGAATCAGGGAAGAAATGTAAGAGGAGCTAGTGTTGGTTAGAGCTTTATAGGTAAAGGTTAGTATTTTGAATTGACACCTATAGGATACAGGAAACCAGTGGAAGGATCGACAGAGGGGCGAGGTATGGGAGGAGCGACGGGTGAGAAAGATCAGCCTGGCGGCAGCATTCATTACAGATTGTAGCGGGGCAGTTTGGCCTTTGGGGAGACCAACTAGGAGAAAATTACAGTAGTTCATGCGAGAGATTACCAGAGCATGAACAAGCTCCTTGGCAGCATCTTGCATTAAAAAGGGGCGAATGTTTTTAAGGTTAATCGACAGGTTTTAGCAACATAGTAGATATGTAGCGCAAAGGTGAGGCCAGGATCAAAAATAACGCCAAGACAACAACCTTGCAAGGATGGACTGATGCAAGTGCCATCAACTTGCAGGGAAAGCGAAGGAGAATCAGCATTATGAGGGGGAAAAATAAGAAGCTCAGTTTTATAGAGGTTAAGTTTCAGAAAGCGGGAGGGAAGAAATGCAAGCAGTGACATGTTGCAGGACCGTGCGGCAGAGATCAGTGGAGGAGAGATAAATCTGCGTTTTGTCGGCATACAGATGGTAGCGGAATCCAAAGGAGTTAATGCGTTTGCCAAGAGAGGCAGTATAAAGAGAGAACAGCAACTCCCACAGACCTAAGTCTCAACATCATATACTGCAGTACATAGAGATAGCAAAGGTGGAAATATGTAGCCATTTAGATGCTTATTATACCCTACCATTTTCAGGCATTCAGAACAATTTGCAGAAAACGGACGCACATGAGTACTATCCGTGTTTATGCAAATCTCTGTATGTACATATCTGATATTCAGTTGGCTAGCTTTAACCAGCACGTTTGTCCTAGTATGAGTGAGCGTTCGTTTAAAGGGACACTGTAGGCACCGTGTAGTGGTTTTGTTGCCTAGCGTTGCTGAGTGTTGTCTCTAGTTTATGTCACACCACTTGGGAGCAGTTTGACAGAAACCAGGCATGTGGAGACCACCCTCTATGGGTAATACAGTTAACACTTCCGCATTATCAATGTTGGCTTTGTCCAACATTTTCTTAATTAGTAAGTAGGTAATGTGAAACCAGGTGTTCCTTGTTGGTTGAAAATACATTTTAAGTGGTTAAGTGTGAAGAACAGGCTAAACTTGTGTTTTTTTAGGGGGGATTGATGTTGATTGTATCCTCTTGCCTTCCAGAAGAAACCAAAGAATCAGAGATTCCCCCGGGGCCTCAAAATAGTCAGCTGACCTGGAAACAAGGCCGGCAGCTGTTAAGACAGTAAGTAAATAAGTACGGACCTGTGTGGGAGATTCGGTTTCAGTCTAGTAACACTTCTGTTGGCATGCTACCAAAAAGGGCTGAAGGAACTGAGCAAGACCAGGCCTTTCATTGACTCATGTTCCCTTGTTCTAAACCACTAGTTAGTAATACTTCAAAATAAACAGAAATTCAGACTAATCTCCCAAAAAAATAATCTGTATACCTAGTTGTGTACATGTCTGAGTATTTCAAAGACTTTTAGCGAATACTTACACACTACAATATACAGGATATTTGTAAATCCTTGCCATGAACATCTGTTAGGCTAGAAAATATATTTTAGTGGGTCAGTAAGGCTTTTGGTTTTGCTCTTTTTTTCTGTATTTGTTTTTCCCCCTCTTGGATTTTAAATATGTCTAATATTGATGCTGCTGTTGAACTGTGTCTCCTCAATTCTCTAAGTATGCAAATAATTGAGGGAGCCCAACATCAACTGGGGGCCCCTCCTGGGTTGGGAGAAACGGTGTGAGCCCCATTGCACTCTCATTTGAATATTGAATTGGGGACGGTTATACTCCGTTGCACTCTCATTTGAATATTGGGTTGGGGACAGGAAGAATGGTCAGACTCTTGCACACTCGAAGTTGAATATTAGGTTAGGAATGGGAGGAACTCTGACTTGTTTGTCAAGCAGTGCTCATCTTCGACATCATTTTAAATTAAGGCAAGTGTTTAGGAAGGGATCGGTTGTACTTAGCATTGCAGTTAAACATTTTCCCACTTACCTATTCTCCATCTATCCATCATCTACCCTTCATTTGTCTTAGAGGACAGAAAATAAATGTTACTACTCCTTCCATGTTTGCTTGGGTTTGAAATCTGTTATATTTAGTGTGCTTCCATCCCAATGCCATGCTTTTCCCATTGAAAATGTTTTTTGGTTAAGCTGATCATTTGTGTGGGAAGAATTTTGTAAACTCGTTCACTGACTAAAAAGTCAACATTGGCTTTAGAATTGCTCAGCATTTTGTGATGTTCATTTTAGGTACCTTCAAGAAGTTGGGTACACAGACACGATATTGGATGTTCGGTCACAAAGGGTACGCTCCTTGCTCGGACTGTCTGGCTCAGAGCCAAATGGTTCAGTTGAAAAGAAGAACTTAGAACAAATCCTCAATGGTGGGGATTCTCCTTCAATTAAGCAAAAGGGACAGGAAAACAAAAGGTCAGTATAACATCCAAACTACAAACCTTACATAGAGAAATGTGACCAGGATCCATTGAATTTAAAATGATACATGTTTTACCGAGCACACAGATAAGTTGGTTCAGTTTAAAGAGTCCCTCCCTCTATTAAGATATAGTCTATGGGTCCAAATTCTCATTCTGTAAATAAAGTTATACACAGGACAGAATATAACCTCATTTTGTGTTATACTGTGTAATCCCTGTCATTTAATTTTCCTTTTTTTCTGTAGGAACTCGGGTGATGTCCTTGAAACTTTTAATTTCTTAGAAAATGCTGATGACAGTGATGAAGAGGATGAAGGCGACATAGTAGAGGATGTCACAGACGGCAAGGACCAGCAACGTATAAACAAAAAGCATAAAGTAAGCCTAGTTTGTAGTATGCATGATCGTTCTCCTATATTAGCAGCTGCATCCCAAAATAAAACCGCCGGCCCAGGGAAACGGAGTTTGTTCTTTCTATACTTGGAGACAGAGTTGTGTGTAAGTTTAGGGCTGGGATTTGGACGAAGGCCCAGAGAACATGAACATGAACATGTTTTTTGTTTCTGCAACTTAATATGTTTGTCAAAAGTGGTTATGCGTGGTCATGCTCTAGTGCTCTAGAAAAGCATGCCGGCCCTGTCCATGTTTCATGTTCCTTGTGCTGAATCATAGTTAGCTGTCATTGACTCACGCATGGGGGATTTACAGTGTGTCAAATAACATGTTTGTACCTGATTGTATTTCCTTTGTATCCTCTCTGCATTTGTAACAACTCTGCTTCGACTTCGACAGAGAATGTTTGCTCCTTGAGTCTTATATGGTATCATTTTTGAAACACATTTATATAAAAAGGGAATATAATAATAAACACAAACCAAAAAACACTTGCTGTTTAAAATGCTTTGAGAAGCTCTTCTCAAATATATGCTTTCCTGTGGTTACTTCCAATGGGGCACCTGGTGTGAAGGAGTGGGGTGTTCAACCCAAAAGGAATCTGGTCAGCACTCCAAATATATATACAGGGAATCATATGGGAAGGCACAACTAGAGCATGCAAAATATAAACAAAATACTGTATTTACTTGAATCTGATAAAGTTTCCAAAATTTTAATGCACATAAAATTCTGGACAAAATTTTCTGGGTCATTCAGGCGCATTTCACACTGGCGAATTTCATTCCTGAAAGAGGGCTTAAGAAAGAATAGATTTGACACGTAACACTAAAATTGAAATACCATCACTGTTACTATGGTACATGGCAATAAACATTTTCATTGTAGCACAATGTTGTATAGTAGTATCTTTGCATTACATTCGCCAACAAAAAACAATTTCAGCTTCCAGGTTTAAAAAAAAATTGAGGTGCGTATTAGAGTTGAATAAATACGGGATGCATTAAGGGAACAGCATGCACACAAAAAATGTTTTAAATCTTATAATGCTACTTAAAAGCACCTATTTTAGCAAGTGGATATGGGGATTTGCCTGTAGTAACAAGACATGTTTCTTTTGTACAGATTGGCAATGAAGGTTTAGCTGCTGAGCTGGCAGATGACACAGAGGAAGCTCTGAAAGAGTTTGACTTTCTAGTGACTGCAGAAGATGGAGAGGGTGCGGGGGAAGCCAGGAGCTCAGGCGATGGGACAGAATGGGGTAAGAGCTAACCTGGCCATGTCGTTGGACAAAGCAAAATCTTTCGTCAGGAACCTTCCATCTCCTCTCTTTTTGCAAGAATTTTGTTTTGCAGACAAAGATGGCCTAGTCTTCCCCGAGTAATGCAGATAAAGCAATAATGAATTAATGGGATTTTGAGTTTGCGTTCAGGTAGTGTTTGTTTTTTGTGTGTGTGCGCTAATATGCTCTTGGTTGAGGTCTGAATTGGCACTTAAGCTGCTTACAGATTTGTAGATAATTGACAAGTAAGATTTGCAGAACGTTTTTTAATAGACCTATAAAACCAAACTATTTTATTAAAACAAAAAACAAACTTGAGAAATCCTGTCTCCACAGCTATCTGAGTTCCCAGCTTGATCCAAAAGGAGCAGTGATCAGCTCTATGGATCATAGCCCATGCTTTTGTTTATTAGAGTATATAGGCAATTATAGAGACAATACTGTTTAACTTTTGATAGATCTATTTACTATAGCTACTTATAGCCAGTGCTATACCTGAGATGTGGTTTATTTCATGTTTTTTTTGTGGATTTAGCTTCACCATATCGGTGCGTTTAAAACCTAGACCTTCAGAGCTTACCATAAAACATCATCTCGTGGTACATTAATAAAACTACAGTGTTTTGACTTACATCAACTACAACTGCAGGGCATTTTGCTTCCTTTCCAAACTTAAATGGTTGTGAATCGGAGGAGGTGATTAACACAGAAATAAAGGTTTCTTTTGAAAACATATTGTATATGTCAGAATATTATATGTCGTCCATACACGACGTGTTCACAAACAGGTCAAACCTTATTCAGCAATTCATACATAACTTGGCAGAAAGATAAATGATATATTACATTACTTATTCCCACAGTCCTATTGATACAATACTCCTACCTTAGCAGTACTTGTGCTTTCACTTCTGCCCAACTACCATCACCGTATTTCCCACCCCCAAAGTATGTGCATTACAGTTGCTGTGAAGACAAGCGGGAATACTTTAAGGAGGTTCTCCTCCTCTTCACCTGTCCGTCAACCTTTGACATACACTCTATGCAAGAATTTATTGGGTATGATCATAAATTCAGAAAATTCTGAGGGGAAGTCTATAAATTTGCAAGCAACCTATTTAGCACAATGTATAGCTGGAATTGTAGCACTCCTTGAGACAATGTAAGGCACGATAAGTACATTTTTTTATGCCTTACTATGTCCTGTCTTTCCTTATATAGTGACTGAATGCATCCTTGCATGCAACAATTGCCAAACCTGTTTAAATCTCTCAAAACAAGCATTGCAATACATCATATTCCATATAATCTAAAAATCGATTCAAATGTTAATGTTGCATTAATTAAAAGGGTTTTTTTTTGTTTGGTTGTTTTTTTTGTTTTGTTTTTTACAATTTTTGTTAAAAATCTGAAAATGTCATTGGGAATTATGAAAATGTTACCTGCATATTTTGAGAATGTAAAAATAACATTCTATCTTTATAAAGAGAATGCCATTTTCTAATTTTGCTTGGCTTCTAGCCCTGTGAGATGTAGGGGTAATTGACCAGAAGTGGGACATCTGCAGTGGATTTGTGTCCTCCTGTTACTCCAATTGTGATATCCCTTATTCCTTGGCCACTCGTTAAAGGTTTTTGGGATTCCAAGCAAAGCGTTAGACAAGATGGGTTTGACAAATTTATACACATTTGCTCACTTGCACTGCCATGTCCCCTGCAGAGGTTGCAATGGGTGTTTTTATGCCCCTACATAGTCAATGTAGTCCAGGGGGAGTGTAAATAGTGAAAGGTGTTTTTATTTAAATTGTTTTAATGATCTATAACAAGGCTCAAACATTCTGCTTGCACACTAGCCACTGGTGAGTGGTAATTAATCCCTACCTTGTGTGCCATGGACTCCTCGCAGCCTGTGAGGATCTTCATTGCTTTTTGAAAGCAGCAGCTTATTATAAATGTGGCATCTCCCACTTCCTTTTCTTCTTCCCACCAGATGGTAACTGTGACATTGCCTGGTGGAAAACGTTTTGTTTTGTTTTTTTTAATTCTTTTTATGTATTTTGTTTTTTTGCAGCTAGTGCACCTGTCACCTACCCTCATCTGATATAAGTACTGCAACACTCACAGAATAGTTGAAAGGCTAAAATAAACAGCCTGCATGCCTCCAATACCGATTTATAGCAGAGGAGAGGAACTTGCTCTAGATCTCTTCCCTATATGTACAGAAAGTATAGATAACAGTGAAATTAGGAATGTATTGAAATCAGACTTTAATTACATTTTAAATCATGCACTGCACAATAGGTCCACTCTACACATTGTCCTAGCCAAATTGCTTGCAAATGTTTATTTTTTATTCTGACTTCCTTAGCCATTGTCATCAGCGTTACTGTAAAAATATTACATTCATGGAGTCCACAAACAGCCACATGATGATCTTTGGCAGATTGTTTTGCAGAAGATTGTTTGCGTTGGACAAATACAATGTATATGTCCAGTTAGGTTTAGGACTTGACAGTTTGAGCCTTGATCTAGATTACAAAACATCCTCCAAAAAAAAGGATGTGCTATTACATATTTATGTTGGAGACTTGCTTAAAGGAACACTCCAAGCACCATAACCACCTCTGCACTAGTGGTTATGGTGCTGTATTTAGAATTTTTTTTTCCTGTACTTACCTTGTGTCCACCGTTTCCCGCATCCTCCCTCTCTACAGCCTCCCGGAAAGCTGGATAGCATCAGCTGGTCGCTATCAGCCAATGAGCTCAGCCCTGCATTACCAGGCTTGGCTCCAGTGGAGAGCTTCCAGCTCCAGAGGCACTCTATAGTGTTTATCGTGCTTGGAGTGCTCGTTTAAGCACCTGATGGACTACATTGTAACGATTCACTGAGTAATGCTTAAAGGGACACTATAGTCACCAGAACAACTGCAGCTTAATGTAGTTGTTCTGGTGAGTATAATAGCTCCCTTCAGGCATTTTCATGCAAACACTGCATTTTCAGAGAAAAGGCAGTGTTTACATGTCCCCTAGGGACACCTCCAAGTGGCCACTCCTCAGATGGCCACTGGAGGGTCTCCCTGGCTCAGTGCTGCACAGTAGACACACCTGCCATTCAGCATCCCCACGCTCTGCATGGAGACTCTCAATTTTCCTCATAAGGAATCTGAATTCTCCTCATAGATATGCATCTGCCCCATGCCGATTTTAGCCTATCCAAAGCATTGGATTAGCAAAAAAGTGGCAATTTTGATGTCACAAAGGAGGCGGGGCCAGCGCCGGCAGAGCCGTGGAGAGTTGAAAATAAGGTGAGTTTTAACCCATTCTGAGGGGGTTAATGAGGGGCAAGCCACTTAAATGGGTGTTTTTTTTACTATAGGGTCAGGAATGCATGTTTGTGTTCCTGACCCTATAGTGATCCTTTTAATAGTCTTTAATTTCTTTCATCCTTGTAGAAGACATTTAACAAGATTCTATTTTTCTTTGCCGTTTTGCTTTAAACTTGTGAATGAAGTGTTTATACTTCCAGTGCCAATTTAGACACAAGTGCTTAAAGTATCCTCTAGTAGCTTAGAAAACTGGGTTAGTTGTGTTGACAGAAGGACAAGCTTTCATCTTTCTTTTTGTAGGTGATCTGAGGAATGTAGACCTATGCTTGCTTTCGTAAAAAATAAATAACTAAAAATAAAAAGAGAAACCTGTCTTATTAAAGAATAATACATTTGGAGCAGCCAGCTTAGTAAAGTCAGGGTAAGACTGGCCTCTGATTCTTGACCAGATAAAAAGTAATACTTACAATAATTTGTGTAAAAAGAATAATAAAGTCAAATACATGGATTTTTATTTTTTTTAACGTTGAAAAGCCATAAATTGTGTTGTAGGTAGAAAATAACGCACACAAGTTGAAAAGTACCAAAAAATCATTAAATCGGCACTAGTGTGTTCTGAGCAGCTAAAAAATATGCATTGTAACTGAAACTGCCCTGCAACCGCTTAAAATATAGGGGCAGTGTGGTTACCACACGGTACTTTCCTACTTCAGAATAGTCCCTTGTCTTCAGACCCTCAGGTAAGTATTGCACACCTTGCAACAATGACGACGAATGCATTTGCATCTTCAATTAGATACCTGCTGTAGTGTTGCAGTTAGGTGTGCTGGAAGACTTAAAAAAAAACTTGTGAGGAACTATGTGTGGGTTTTGCAGGAACTCTGGGAGAAGAAAAGGGACAAAACACCTTCTAAACGGTTATCAGAGTAGACATAAGCCTCAATAACCCATAACGATGTATGAAGGCACCAACAACTAACTAGATATTCTAATTTAATGTGCAAGAACAGCAGTGATGTACTTAATACTGGCAGACAATATTCCTAACCAACAGACTTAGATACGTTAGTGCTGTTCGTGTGCAATGGTCGCAATCTCTCGTTTCTTATCTCTTAGTGGGCAACGGTCTCACAGTGGTGTACGGAGGTCTCACTCTCTTATCTTGGTTAATGTACAACAGTTTTTCATTCTCTATTGCAAACAAAAATCTGCATTCAAAGTTTCAGTCTGCATATAGGGACCTCGTGAAAGATGTAGAAATTAGTAAGTGGTAAATAAAAAGATAGGTAATTATCACATGCACGTTTGTTGTTTAGCAAGCATGTCATCTGAAGTTACAAAAGCATAGTCTAATGGACATGGATATAATTGTGAAATATTAAAAAAACTGCTGTTGGCAGTAAGTCAATATTAAGATGTAACACTATATTGGTCCAATGTTATAGTACAATAAAGCAATTAAATTAAGAAGAAATCTGTGTCTGTTTTATAGTTTCTTTTGTTATCTTTCATTCTTTTTGTTTGTTACGTCTTTCGTTTTCAGGTCCACACATTTCATCTTGGATTTTTTAAAATTAATTTTTTATTTTTCCTCTTCCCTTTTATCTCTCTTTAAGTGTTGTTCACTTTTATGACAAATTGTTTGTAATGATTGGCAGACATACTTGTTGAAGCCTTTATGCTGATAAGCACTTGCATTATTGAGACAACGATAAGGCTTGCTTAATGTGAGATAAGAGGAAACATAAAGGAAAAAAACTATGTGAACTCTTTAGGCTCCTGTTCAACCATACAAACACACAAAAGACATAGTATTCTTCAGATTTACGTAACAAATTGTATTTACATGGCAGTAAGGGTAAATGGCGGTTGGAAAGGAAAATGTGAGAGACCACAACCTGGGAAGGTTTTGCTGGAAAAGATCAGTCAATGGGGAAATCACAAATATCTCAACAATTACAAAGTTCTTCTTCACAGCCAAAACCTTACAATAAAACACATAGATTGTCTGGAGAGATTTTATAATGGCCGATATTCAAATAATAACACTTTGATATTTTTTTTTTTATTATTCCCACCTCCCCGCCCCCCATCCATTTGCAAAAAACATTGCACCTACATTATGAGCCTTGATTTGTGCTTTGCCTACTCCGCGAAGTAGCTTTCCAGTCATGTCATTTTGGTTTAGGGAGTCTGAACTGTTGGATATGTTCAGTTAGGCCTTGAAAAGGTGTAGTGGGAGGGGCTGATTAGCAGATTTCAAAGCACTCTGTGCACAGCTGCTGTGCTGCTCAGATCAGGGATTTGTGGAACTTGCACTTTAAATTATTGACTATCTACTTATTCAAGCTGAAGCTTTGCTTTGCTTCCCGTTACTACTGTGTTATTGGAAAATGCAGACTACAAAAGAGGGACAGAGGTGACAGGGTAAAGGTGCAGAATGCTGCAAATTTGTATTTATTGTACTAATATAGTGTTACATCTTTATTGACTTACTGCACATAGTATGTTTTTTCGGTATTGCACGTTCGCTTGTATGACCATTTACAAACTCATTTGTATTTTCACATGACATACTATCAAAGCCATTTTTTACTGTGTTGTTCACATTAGTGAGAATTTTAAGTGAATTTCACATTTAAGGCCAAGGTAGTGAACTAGAAGCATTTTAACCTGAAATTGCAGTTCGTAACTCTCTTTTTTTAAATAATCACTTTAGAGTTACCCTGTTTCACAGTGTGTCCTCTCCCTTTTTGCTTGTCCCTCCAAAAACAGCCTATTTCTACACAGACTATTGTCTTCCCCGATAACCATACTGCCCTACCAACCATTTTACTAGCCAGTTGTACTTTGTAATTAAAAGAACATTGTAGGGTCAAGAATACCAACATTTTGCCCCCCCCTTGTACTCCTTAAAACAAAAGAAATCTTAACTTAATTCCGGCGCCACGTGGGGGCCCCTGGCACTGGATATGCCCACACTCCGCCCCCTTTGCTGAAATTATCAAAACTGACTAGATCAGCCAATCCAGTGCTTTACTGTAGGAAAGCATTGGGAGGCTGATGCGCACAGGCAGAAAAACTCAGATGCATTGACTCAATGCATTTCTGTGGGGAATGTTCAGCTCCTTGATGTCGAACAGTACTGCATGTTGTGCAGCACTGACCCAGTAAACACCTCGTGGCCGTGAGGAGTGGTCACTTTAGATGTCCCTAGGCAGCAATGTAAATGCTACCTTTTTTTATGAAAAGGCAGTGTTTACAGCAAGACGCCTGCAGGGACATGCCATACTCACTAGAATAACTTAATTAAGCTGTGGTAGTTCTTGTGACTACAGTGTCCTTTAAGTCCTAGCTTACCTGCTGCACCACCCTTGGAAGAAAAACGTGTTGAAGACAAAATGCTTAGCTGCTTATTGATGCAATGTGGGCTTTACTCGGCTTGCTGTGGCTGTATTTCAATTTTGATGCATGTTTATACACTACCTCAGCTGCAATGTATATTCTTTGCTACAGTTGCTCTATAAGGTAATCAGCGTTGCGGAAAAGTCCGGCTTGAGCAGAATTCTAAAAAAAAATATATATATATTTCCACAATTCTTCCAGAACACACTGCTCAACATGCAAATGAGAATATTCAGATTTTGTCATGCATTACAGCACCATGCTGACAGCCCATGGGTTGAAACTGTACAGGCTGTGCTTGGATTGTCATCCTTGGTCCATTTTGATCACGGCTCATATTAGAATTAAAAAGCTGTGTTTTAAACCAGTGCTCTTTGGTTAAAGGTCCGTGCAAATACTTGAAAAAATGAATACATTTTTCTCTCTCCTCGTATTTGCATATATTTAGAATATTATATTTATACAGCAGTTAAAGTATACAAGTTTTGTTCCTTTAAAACATCTCCTACAATTGTCATATGGAAAATACTGAATGGGAAGACCCTGTAGGCTTCCATTTACACTCACAATTGATTGTCATAACAATTTTCATGGTTAAAAATTAAATAAATCCTATTTTCTGTGGAGGTTGGAATATCCAGAATACTCTACTTTCTCGCTGTGTTTGTGGGTTACAAGTATTTTTGTGAGGTTGTCCATGATTGTAGACTATGGTAAGGTCCAGTAAATAAAATATGTAGGAGAAAAAAATTTAATATATGTAGTACTGCTGAATGTTGCAGGTCCATCAGGTGTTGCCTAGTTGTCCAAAGGGCCTTCCACGATTTTTATAGTTACATAGGCTAAGAGACATGTGTCAAACAAGTTCAGCCTTCCTCACGTTTGTTTTTTGCTGTTACATAGTTACATAGTTATATAGCTGAAAAGAGACTTGCGTCCATCAAGTTCAGCCTTCCTCACATTTGTTTTTTGCTGTTGATCCAAAAGAAGGCAAAAAAACAGGTTTGAAGCACAATTTTGCAACAAGCTAGGAAAAAATTCCTCCTTGACCCCAGAATGGCAGTCAGATTTATCCTTGGATCAAGCAGTTATTACCCTACATTGAAAGATTATATCCTTGAATATTCTGTTTTTGCAAGTATGCATCTAGTAGCTGTTTGAACATCTGTATGGACTTTGATAAAACCACTTCTTCAGGCAGAGAATTCCACATCCTGATTGTTCTTACAGTAAAAAAAACCTTTCCTTTGCTTTAGACAAAATCTTCTTTCTTCCAATCTAAACGCATGACCTCGTCTCCTATGTAAAGTCCGGTTTGTGAATAGATTTCCACACAATGGTTTGTATTGGCCCCGAATATATTTGTATAATGTTATCATATCCCCTCTCAGGCGATGTTTTTCTAAACTAAATAGGTTAAAATTTGTTAACCTTTCTTCATAGCTGATATGTTCCATTCCTTTTATTAATTTTGTAGCCCGCCTCTGCACTTTTTCTAGTGCCATAATATCCTTCTTTAGAACAGGTGCCCAAAATTGCACAGCATATTCAATATGTGGTCTTACCAGTGATTTATAAAGAGGCAAAATGATATTCTCGTCCCGAGAATGAATGCCCCTTTTCATGCATGACAATACCTTACTGGCCTTGGCCACTGCTGATTGACATTGCACATTGTTGCATAGTTTGTTGTCTATAACAATTCCCAAGTCCTTTTCATGTGTTGTTATCCCTAATTCGCTTCCATTAAGGGTATACGTTGCTTGTGTATTCTTTACGCCGAAGTGCATAACTTTGCATTTTTCAACATTAAATTTCATCTGCCATTTGAGTGCCCAGTCCCCCAGTCTATCTAAATCCCTCTGCAGCAAAGTAATATCTTGCTCACATTGTATTGTTTTACAAAGTTTTGTGTCATCTGCAAACACTGAAACATGACTTTCAATGCGGTCTTCAAGATCACTTATAAACATGTTAAATAGAAGGGGTCCCAGAACAGACCCCTGAGGGACACCACTTGCCACCTCTGTCCAGCTTGAAAATTTACCATTAATGACAACTCTTTGTACTCTGTTTTTAAGCCAATGTTCTACCTGTTGATCGAAAAGAAGGCAAACACATTTTGAAGCACTTCCAATTTTGCAAAAAACTAGGAATACCATTACTTCTTGACCCCAGAATGGCAGTCAGATTTATCCTTGATTCAAGAAGCTATTACCCTACGATTGAAAAAGTATATTTGATATTTTTGCAAGTTTGCATGTAGTTGCTGTTTATACATCTGTACAGACTCTGATAAAACCAGTTCTTTAGTCAGAGCATCCCAAATATACGAGTGTACAAGGGCACATTTCTGTGTAGGGAATATACATAATTGGTGAAATTTGCTATTTTTCCACAATGCAATGTTAGTCACAAGGCATTTTAAATGAAAAGCAGACAGTTAGTCTAACCAGGAATGTGGGAGCTTATTTGGGACATAATGTCCAGATAATCGTACAATAATAGTAAAGTATATTAATGTCTAAATATGTGTAGTTTTACTACTTTATATAGCACAAACGTATTCCGCAGCCCTTTTCCAGTTTGAGAAAGGATGCTCAAACGAGCTGACAACCTATGGTAGCTGGATACACGTCGTAAGGTGTGTTACCCAAGGACACCTATTAATCATATGGCTAATGATGATATGAAATGTTTTTTCCTGTCACTCTTGTACTTTACACGAAGGTCCTCTCTGGTAGGACAGAAAGTGTTGACTATTTTTTTTTTATCGGTTGGATTGTTCCCTTACACAATGCAACTTTTATAATCAAACATTGCAAATCCGTCTGAAAAATCAGAAGGCTGATCCATTGCTGTGGATAAAATGCATGGATGGTATGGTCAGATCATTGGTTAAGATCATGTACGTAATCATTACAGGGTGGATTTTGTGATTCTTAGCTGGTATAGCATAGGATCTATTCGGAATGCAGTGTATAATCCAGGGCTCAGCAAATCCCAGGTCGCCATGGCTCTGAGTCAGGCGGGCGGCTGTGCGTTCTGTAAGCTGGCGGCGAGGGAGCTGTGATTACCCTGCTTTGCTCCCTCGTGCGCCACTTTTGTGATATGACGTCAATCCGGCATCACAAAGCAGCGCAGAGAGATCACAGCTCCCTCTCAGCCAGCCGAATGAGCACTGGTCCCACGGAAAACTGATCAGAAGCTGGGTGGAATAGAATTGCATTAAACAAATAACTGTGTGTGTATGACCGACCAGCAAGCCCCCCCTCCCTCCGTTCACGTGGGAATGGTGTTTATACTAACCTTTTTTTCCCCAGACCGTGTTGATCTCCCCGAGACTGGCTTAGGAGAGCACTGAGAAGCTATTGCACATGCGCTGAAAAATCATCATCTCCTCGTTGAATAAACGCAGTTCTATGGGGAACGTTTAGCGCCTCTGCAGAAAGTGGAGTCACTGAATGTTGGTGCTGTGTACTGTGCATCACTCAGATAGGAAGCACTTGAATGGCTGTCTGAGTGACTGCTACTAGAGGTATCACTAGGCAGCAATGTAAACTATGCCTTTTCTCTGAAAAGTCATTCTTTACATTGAAAAGCCTGCAGGGACGGTCTATAGGCACCAGAACCACTACATTAAGCTGTTGTGGTTCTGGTGATTAGTGTTTCTTTAAAAATTGTGTTTTTGTTATAGAAAATAAAACTTTGTACGATTTAAAAAAAACAAAAAAAAAAACCTGGCTCCTAACCTGTTTTTAGCTGGCTCTTAGATTCAAAACAAATTGGTCAAGCCTTGGTATAATCTAATTTCAATACTTGTTTTACCAATATCTGATATTCTTTTTATTTTAAAATTTTTTGTAGCATTGAGGTCCTTCCATTGCAATGATGAAATATTCAAATAGTGTATTTTATTCTATCTCTTACTGGTATTAAGAGATTTCTTCTCCTGAAATCTGTTCCCCATACCATCAAATTTTCAGAAAAGATGCTGGTAAAAGAGCCATAGGGAGTCTTGGCTGTTGGCAGCTAAACTCTCATCTTGATAATACTTGTTGTTTTATAATGATGGTAGTAGGAATCCCCACTGTGTGTGTATGTGTGTCTCAAACTTACAAGTGTGGATTTGTAGTTGTGTTCTTGGAGAAATGCACACATTGCTGTTTCTCTGAAATGCCCATATTGTAGATTGCCTGAGAAACGGTACATCATCTATGCAGCAAAACCACTGCATTAAGATGTGTACTATGTCACTTAATGAATGACTTTTTTATAAGTTGGAACTAAACTATCAGGATTTTTTTTATTTTTTATTTCTTCCACTTATTGACTAGAAATTGAGAATTAACCTAATTATTTTTCTTCAAATTATTGATATTCAAGATAAAGTCTCGTGTAGGTGTGTAACTTTATTCTTTGCTTGTAAGAAAAAAAAGGAAACCTTAAAGGACCACTATAGGCACCCAGACCACTTCAGCTTAATGAAGTGGTCTGGGTGCCAGGTCCAGATAGGATTAACCCTGCCTGCTGTAAGCTGCTATGTTTACACTGAGGGTTAATCCAGCCTCTAAAGCCTCTAGTGGCTGTCTCATTGACAGCCGCTAGAGGCGCTTGCGTGCTTCTCACTGTGAAAATCATTATGAATGCTTTCCTATGAGACTGGCTGAATGTGCGCCCGGCTCCTGCCGCGCATGCGCATTCAGCTGATGACGTCGCTAGGAAGAAGGAGAGGAGGAGGAAAGCTCCCTGCCTGGCGCTGGAGAAAGGTAAGTGTTTAACCCCTTCCTCTCCCCAGAGCCGGCGGGAGGGGGACTCTGAGGTGGGGGCACCCTCAGGGCACTCTAGTGCCAGGAAAACGAGTGTTTTCCTGGCACTACAGTGGTCCTTTAAGAAAACCTGTATGATCATTCAATGCATAATTATCACACCGTTATCAACTCAAAGAAACTTATATTAAATATATGGTAGGAGTTTGCCAATTAACACCACTCAATTCTGGACACATTCAGAATATTTTGGTTTATCTTAAATAACTGTAAGTAGAAACAATCTTTCATTAGGAAAAGTGTATTGTCCCTAACCTGTGTGTAAATATTTAATTTTCAGCATCTCCATATAATCTATAGGTTGCAAACAAAAGAGAGAAAGCGATCATTATTGTTCAAATCAACAATTATACATTTAAGTGTCTAACGCAATCTTTTTTGGATACAGCTTTGAGGGCTGATTTGTTACTACAAGGAGCATTCTTTCAAGTGCTCTTTGTGTGTCCTTTTTTGGACTAGAGTATGTGGCTTAGGCACATTGCTTTTATATAAAATACATGCTGAAACTAATTTATGTTCATTTGTAAAAGGCACTTTGTTGATAAAGATGTGGGATTGGGTGCTTGGAAGTTTCCAGCCAATCAGAAGTCATCTTGAATTATGATCATTGACGAAACGCCATACATAGGAAATAACGGTAATGACAGCCTCTGGTTTGCTTTAAATAATTTATATCCTGGAGCAACTAATGCAGATATCATCACTGATTACTACTATAACTTTTCTCATTTGAGTTTGAACCTCTCTAAACACCTCGGTGTGGGCCTCTTGTGAGTTTTTTCATCATATACTTAATGACTGTTGATATCGAACTCACTGGTACTGCAACTGCTATTGGCAATATTTCCCATGATGCTTAGTCAGCTGATTTAATACTAGGAACTTGATCTTGGAGACTGCTAGTAGCTATACAGATGGTTATATTTAATCCTAATAAAATGGCAATCCTTAACCCCAGTTGTCCTCATCCTGTAGGAGGTGGTGAGATGATTGTGTTTTGTTCCACTTCAGCAGAACATAGAACATCTCCCTACTGAAAACCATAATATATTACCAATGGTATTGCGTGATTCCTTATTGCAGCACGATCCTTACTGTATATTTCTTAGTATGCTCTACATGTTAAAAACATTATACAATAACAGGTGTTAACGTGTATCTATAATTTTTTTTAATTTTTTTTTGCTTCTACACGAATGAGTTTCAGAGCTCCCGGACGCTAAAAGGTAGTTCCAATTCCTGTGTTAAATCTTCTGAATAGGAAGTTTCCATCCTGTTTAAGGCTAAATAGTTTATTCAGCAGCGTTTCCAGTAGATGCTTTTTATAAATAGCTCTAATTGTTTGCATTGTTACAAACCTACACAGAGCACTTGAGCGTGGGATAGGAGGAAAATATTCCTCGTTGGCAAATCTCACACATTTTCTTACCAGCATATGACCTAAAATGCCAACAAGTGTTTGAAAATGCTTTTATATCCAAGTAATCCTCTTCATGACCATCATATACACTACTGATTACATCGCTGACATTGTTCACTGATGGAATGATAGAAGGTCCACGATGCGTTAACGGTGGTGGGTTTTAAGGTGGTCTTTCTTTGTTCTATGTCACTGTGCTACAGATGTCTAAGATGCCTTACACACAGCATTGTCTCACATTTTATGGTTCGTACATGGCTATTGGTCACATGTCAGTCATGTCAACAGAATTGTTTACCTTCAAATGTCACTGTACCTACAGTAGTGTTTTTCTCAGCTGGTTGACCCAGTTTTTCTCTATGCAGTTTTTTTTTTTTTTTGTACATACATTTAATGGTCCATAATGATGAAGTTATAGACACAAGTCCTCTGGAACAATGTGAACTTATGTTACCGATAACAACTTACGGTTGTGCATGGGAGCTTCTAGCATTCATTTTTAGCACATAGTCACCAGAATGATAAACTTGGGGGTTTGGATGGGTTTATTGAAAATTTTTGTTGGTAAAGTATGAAATTCTATATTCGTGCCTTGGTATGATCAGTAAACATCTATGTGCTTGGCATGTCTGTCTTGGATGGCCATTGGAGACATGCAAATCATGACATTTTAAAGATATCATCTGCTTGTGTCAGATACCTATTTATTTTCGAATGCACCATTTTATATACACATCTTATTGGAGGGTTTCATTTTCTTTCCATGACGCTGGGGATGCTGAACGGCAGGGCTGCCTGCTGTACAGCACTGAGCCAGGAAGCACTTCCAGTGGCCATCTGAGGAGTGGCCACTTGGAGATGTCCCTAGGGAAAATGTAAACACTGCCTTTCCTATGAAAATGCCTGAAGGGAGCTATTCTACTCACCAGAACAACTACATTAAGCTGTAGTTGTTCTGGTGACTAGTGTCCCTTTAAGCATTACTCTGTGAATTGTTACAATGTAGTCCATCAGGTGCTTAAACGAGCACTCCAAGCAACATAAACACTATAGAGTGCCCCTGGTAATGCAGGGCGGAGCTCGTTGGCTGACATCGACCAGCTGATGTTCTCCAGCTTTCCTGGAGGCTGTAAAGAGGGAGGAAGCGGGACATGGTGGACACTAGGTAAGTACAGCAAAAAAATTCTAAATACAGCACTATAACCACTAGTGCTGTGGAGTCTCCAACTGTTCTGGTGACTAGGGTCCCTTTAAAGATTAAGCAAGTGACATCACTATTCAGTTCCATCTAGGCACAGCCAGGGCACACAATGCAAATGAGGAGGAAAACAAACATTGTTTCAGCTTCTCCTCTTTCACAAACTATGTTCAGTTAATGTAAAGTGCAACATTTATGACATTGAGCCAAGATGGAGGCACCTGGTTCCAGGATAGATAGTGTGGTTTTCTACACTTAATTTAAATTTATTTATTTAAACCTCAAACACATTTGCTAAATATAGGAAATATGGAAACATAACACAAAATCCTGGGAAGATAAGTTCCCTTTTAAAAGTTGTCTAATTATTTTCTTCTAAGGTAAACAAACAAATGCAAACTCCACACATGTCTCTGTCTGCGCCAAATGTAACATTGTTTTGTTACTTTGTAAAATGTACACTTGACACTAATTTCACACATTTATGAAAATGCATTTTTTGCTTTTCACTTTTGGAGGAAAGTTCGATCTCTCTCCCTCTCTCCCTCCCGTTTTAACAGTTTCAGAAAAACTGCTATGTTTACATTGCAGGGTTAATCTAGCCTCTAGTGACGGTCTTCCTGACAGCCGCTAGAGGCGCTTCTTTGACACTGAATGCGAAAATCGCATACAACGTGCAGACCGTCCATAGGAAAGCATTGAGTTTGTTTTCCTGACACTATAGTGATCCTTTAAAGGCACCATGACTTAATTAATGTTTTAAGAAAACATTTATTTTACTGCTTAATCTTACTGTTCTGGGATTGTCCGAAATGCCTCTTTTCTTGTAATAGTGTAATGGATCATGTGTGCCGAAGATGACTGTAAAAAGGGTGGTGATATGTTAGTTTCTCATACTGCATTACAACAAAATAGCTCTCTGCATAAACCTTTTAAAAAGAACAAAAATGGTCATGTATAATCTGAAAAGAACATTTATACAGATATGACTTACACCAATAAAACAAATACATAATGTGTATAATCTGTAAAACAAATTTTAAAGGGTTGCAGTTTGTTTATTCTGTATAAATGGTATTGATAGACACAAACTGATAGTTAAAGTCACCAAAATAACTTTAGCTTAATGAACATGATCTATATGCAAGAACTTCTTCATTAGGCTAACGTTGTTATGGTAACTATAGTGTCCTTTTAATTCAATTGACACATCTGGCATTTCTGTAAATACGAGCTATATCCTTGCTGCTTTGTTTGACGCTGTAACTCATTTTACATCGATGTTTTTCTTGCTCGGTGTGTACCTTGTATTATATTTGTAAGGGCCTAGGCAGGTCCCACCTAGGTGATTAAACCTATAAGGAGTGTCTGCTTAAGGATCTGATTTTTTTTTTTAACCCTATAACCAATTAAATGTACTTATCTTTAAAGCACCCCATGACCGGATATTTAACCTATTTCTTTCCTCTTTTAATTGAATGCATTACTAACATGCTGACGTGTGTGTTTTTGTTTTTTTTAACTAACATGCTGCATGCAGACAAGGATGTCCTGTCCCCATCTACTGAGGTTTGGGATGTAGACCAGGGTCTGATAAATAAACTGAAGGAACAGTACACCAAGGAACGCAAGGGGACAAAAGGTGCCAAGAGTAAGTTGAGATTTTGCCTGATCTCATTCAGCTTATTCGGTGGTGCTGCCCATCGCCCTGAGGGCTTTGACCATTGGAGTCATGGAGGGGTATACTTGGCGTTACCTTTTCCTGGCATACAGTATGTTGCTGCCCCATTTATAATGAACGAATTTAGAGCAGATGCTGTTTTTTAAAGTCTAAAACCTTTCAGTAAAAGGTTAAAAAAAAAAAAAGTTAAAAAAAATTGAGTGCTCTGTAGATTGGATAATCAGTATTGACATTTAAATTGATCTATGCAGTTTATCACATTTTATACACTTTCTTGTTACTTCACTGCTTCAACATCCAATGTTTATTTCTTTCCCCAATCACTATCTGTGCATGCGTCCTGTGTGCAGGCATGTTGGCCCCTGCACTTGAATGCACGAAACACCAATGTTGGAATCATACCTTATATTAAAGATGTATTTGTATACGCACGTTTGCTATTGGATCATGTTCTGTTATGAGATAAACTTTGTGTTTCTCAATGAGTTTATCACCCATCCTTAATGCATACTGTAAAGATTAATTTATATACGTTAAAGGAGGACCGTAATTTCTCTTGCACTTATACCATTGAATAAATCATACAATTTGTTCTTCTTTTTTTTTTCACGTGATACTTGGGTATAAAATTTTATATGAAAGATTTGGAAAATGACATCACACAAGTTCAGTCTTGGCACAGTCTGCAAATGAGGAGGAGGAATAGAAACATTGATTATTTTCTCCTTTTCTCTGAATGCTTTCTCTATGCAGACTGCCAGGTGCAAAGGACAGAGCTTATAATAACGATTGACAGGGAGCCAAGATGGATGCGCCCAGTTGTAGGATTAATAGGTGTGGAGTTCTACATTTAATTTTAATTTTACACCGCACGTAAAGTAAACATAATATTAAAAATCCTTTGACAGCATTCTAAAATAAATGTTAATATGAGGATAACTTGTGTGGTGATTCCTTTTAAACAGCTGCTTGTTTATTCGGGACTGTTTCATCTTTGTTAGATCTCCCTATTTAGATTAAACGCTGTCTGCCTGCTCATTTAGTTACTATGCGTTCCAATCATAATGTATTAGTAAGACACTCCTTAAGATTTACGGTTTGAGTCAGGTTTCCATCACCCTCTATTTAGAGACCTGTTTATAAAGTTATCATCCAGTAATTTCATGGCCTTATTGTGCTAAGACTCCATAGAATTTCCGAGGCTACAAAAATGGTTCCTGGTATGTAGATAATTCCTTGGTTTTCCAGGAAGTCTTTCATTGAAGAATGCAGAATGTCTGCCATTTACTGAGCGCGTTTTCCATGCACTGCATACAATAGCCGTGTGATATGTGCTTCTCTGAGATGGTGACAGAACAGATATTTCTACAATCAAGGTGGTGGTCCTCCTACAAATAATCAGTGAAATGAGGAATCACCTGCCTTTTTAGATTCTGTGTTGGATATTATACTTGTGATTTTGTTCTTTTTGTACAGCAGAGGAACATGTTGGCATTTTATAAGTAATAAATGGAATCCAAGATTCGGGTTTGCAACTAGCTGGAAAAAAAGAGAGACTCCTATATTCTCTTACAGTAATTTCTCTGGGGCATAATTTAAAGAAATGATCACCCATCCTTAATGCTTGCTATACCTTCTCCTATGCAAAGGCACATGGTCAGACCTTGAAGAGGATAACTGTCCATCATCTTCCTAGACCAGAGGTAGGCTACCTGTGGCACTTGAGGTGCCTTTGCACACCACTGACAGGCTCTGGCCTATGAGGAGTCCCAGTGGCACTTGAGTTATTGGCTCATGCAAAAAGGTGGTGAAGGACAATCCTCAATTTCCACATTGCAGCATTTAGAGGCAGTGATCTCAGACCACTTATTTCCAGCAGTTGTGAATTGTAATTCACATTGGAGTTTAGCAGCCTGCTGCAGCTATCGCAGCTCCTGCCTTTGACCTGTACCTGGCCAGCACAATCCCCACTGGACCCCAGGGAAGCCACCCACACTGCTAGATATACACAGAGCTGCAGAGTAAGCCTCCCCCTCATACAGATACAGACCTTACAAACACATCACTGACCATCCATATACACACACACACACACACACAACCCCACAAGCAGCATCTCACATGCAATACCACGAGCAGCTCCACACATACACACAACACCAAAAAATACACTATGTGACAGCCACACAAAATTCCACAAGCAGTCACACACACACACACACACACTATGTGACAGCCACACACAATTCCACAAGCAGCCCACATATAGAAAATATTACAAATTACTCCTGAACATATACAATATAACAGCCCACGTGCGCACAAATACAACGCTACAAAGCAGTTAAAGCACCTATAAATAACACAAGCAGAATACTTCAAGATTAACACCACAATTTAAAAAAATAATAATAAATCGGACCGGCACACTAAGGGACGTCAAGATCTTATTTTTGGTACAGTACTAAAAAAGCCTACTCCTGTCCTAGACCTTTGTGCCCCGTTCAATTCCTTAATAATGTCTGCTATTCTAAATAGTGCCTTGTGTTGATTTAATCGACCACTAGGTGGCACAAAAGCCCAAGAACTCGGTAATATTCCGAAATGTCTGATATACAGGTCTTGTTTCATTGTTCCATCGTTTGTGGGCAGTCTCCCACTGTTAGACAGTAGATCATAAACGATTTCCTCTAGAATTATTTCTTTAGATTACATTTATTTGAGCAATACCCTGCATGCATGCTGGCCGTAGCAATGTTTGAGCAGTGAAAGCATGGCTGTTGCAGTATTTTCTCAGTACCAGCATGGCTTTTGCAATATTTATGCTGTCCAAGCATGGCTGTATCAGTAGTTGGGCATACCATCAACATAGCTAGACACCGCACCAGAATGTTGGTCAACATAAAGATTTAGTTATCTGTACTGCATTCTGATAGCGGCTGGTTGGTTCGTACTATTTATATCCAGACATGATCTCCTGTCACCATGAATCCACATGAAACATCTCAAAGATGGTACCTTGGTGGTCTCAAACCTAGCTACTTCAAAACTGGAAGGTTTAGTCATTCGATCTACAAACCAACTCTGGTTTTCATCATCATCAACCTTCCTGCATTGTCTTGGGTATTTATTTAGTAGGTAGTTTTTTCATTTATACATGTTTTTGAACTGGGAAATTATTGGCCATCATTGTTGAACTGAGGCCCCGTTCCCTCTCTATTCACCCCTGTTTCTGATACGCTGGGCAGTTTGCCTGTTTGTTTTTCTGTAGTGCTCTAAAGATATTTCTTGCCAAAAAATAAATAAAAATGGTTAAACATAAACAACCCGTGATGTCAAGCCATTTATTTATTTTTTTACAACAACCATACTGACCTTGAATTGCAAATCACTAACTTGAAGGAGCCAGTCCGAACCTGACTTTTTCATTGGCAAACTTTCCAAGTTTTAATGGATTTGACTTGACCTTTTTCCAAGCACTGCTTGCAATTGGTATCAGGATGTCCATTATTGGCAAGTAGGAGAAATCTCATCCTTCTCCTAGCCCGGGGCTAGTGCACAAGTATAGAATTTTGGCGAGCCAGCAGCTGGACTGATGAGGTTAAGCACGTCTGTTCCAACAGGCTTGGAAGAAATACATTTACAATTAAATGTTTTTTTAAGTCCTTAGCCCCATGATTTTACAAAGAGAGATGGTTGTTGACTAAAGTGAGATTTATTAGTAATTTGAAGCCAATATCCATTTTAGGCAAAAATAGCCAAATTGTACAATGAGTCGGTTATGTTATACGTTTCGATGATGCTGATTAAAAGTGTGACTTCATTATGACTTCCCAGGAGTTTACACTGTGCAATATATGAAACGCAGTGTAGTTCATAAATTTATTTAAAAAAAAATAAAAAATTTCGAGGACATAACGGTCAGTGCAAACAAATGTTTTTACCATCAGCGAAATGACAATTTAATGTTTATTTTTATATTTAAAACAAAAATAAACACCCCTCTCCATTATTTTTGTTTTAGGATGAAATACAAACTATGTAGGTAATCCTACTTTATTTTTATTTTATTTTTTTAAATATCCCTCAAATGTAAACAGAAACAGTACAAACACAGTAAATTGTGAAATCGATAATGACCACTTGGTCAAACGATCGGAAGTTTAACGTAGGTAGCAATATATGGCTTGTTTAAAATACACTCTAAATATGTGTATATACTCAAAAGTGACCAATAAGCACCGGGATGCCAGGAGGTCCCTGGTGCTGCCCTATGTCTGCTGACCCTCTCTGCCAAGTGACACCCTTGGGAAAGGATGAAAGATGGAATTACGGGTCTCCTACCACCATAACTACAACAGTGGGCTATAGGGGTTATAGTACTTAGTGCCCTTTTCCATTTGTAATTGATGTACTCTGGTTTTTAAAATACTATACCCCATTGCTTGCAGCTATTAACAGAAACATTGGCTCAGTTTATTCATTTTTTATTTTTTTTATATATATATATATATATATATATATATAATATATTTTTTATTTTTATTTTTTATTATTTTTTTTATTCAACAATGAGAACTATGCATGGATTTATCAGTTCACAAACTCTTTTTTTTCTAGGGGTAAACAGGACGAAACTGCACGATATGATCGCAGACCTCGGTGATGAGGAACTAGCACACATGCCAGCAGGAATGCTTAACCCGGCACGGTCACCATCCAGAATAACAGATCATGAAGGTGGAAGAGCAGAAGAAGGTATTGATTCATTGAGATTAGATACATGAGTTTGCCAGTATTTATTTTCATTAATTAACTTGACTTTTATATAAATCCCCCTAGAACTGCCATACCCTCCAGAAACCCCCACCCCCAGTCTGCCCCCACTATCTAACCACTCTCTTTTATGTTCCTTGCTTGGGGACACTGCCCAAAGTAGGGTAAACATCTTCCGTGACACTGACATTTAAAGAAAGTGACGTCAGCCACTCCATGTCTTTACTCCCAAGTCAGCACAAACTTTGCTTGGAGAACAGGAGAACAGTGTATGGGAGCGCTTCCTGTCACTCAGTTTTTCAGCACAGTTTGCTAATGCCATCCAGTTTGGATTGGATTGATCATGCTGAATATTGATAATGTGGAAGTGTAAATTCCTTTTCACATTAATGGTGAGATTGAACAGGGGGAGGGGGGGACCTTGGTTCCCAGAGATTCTTGTCAGTGCAATCAGTACTCATTAGCCTCGATGTCAGTCATTTCTGATAAGATAAAATAGATTGTAGAGTTTAAAACATGCTGTTTTTCTGACAAACTTAAAGGAACACTATAGTGTTGGATACAAAGCTGTATTACTAACACTATATTGTAGTGTTTCTCTGTCCCCATGGTCATTAAGGGTTAAAAAAAAGAAAAATTCAAACAAAAACCTTTTTAAACCCTTACCCAATTTCAGCACTGTCTCAGCCTCCTCTGACGTCAACGCTGGCAGAACCTAATACGTATGCACGGCGAGTGCCGTGTGTGCATTATGCCTTCCCCATTTAAAAACTTTGAATCAGTGATTTCCTATGGGGGATTTGAAGACGCTGGACATCTTCACGCACAGTGTGAGGACATCCAGGGTTCTGTGAAATGGCAGGAAGTGCCTTTAGAGGACACTAGAGGAAGTCTTACCACTAATATAAGCATTGTAGTTTCTCTCCAATTTTTTAGATTGCAGGGTTAAGGGGACAGGAACACTGCACCCAGAGCACATTAATGTGAAGAAGTAACTGAATGCCTATAATGTCCCTTTAACTACGTTCCCAAGTTGTCCATCCTGTGCTATGAAAGTAATAAGCATTGTTGCTGTTTAAACATGTACAGCTTCAGTTCACTATTAAAGTAACACCCCAAGCACATTAACCACTTTAGTATGCTGTTGTGATTATGGTGCCAGGGCTGCACCGTCACCCCTGCCCCCTCTTTCAATTATAAGCATTGTTAGAATGGATTGATTTTTGTTGTCTGAGGTCTGCTTTGTTGCCCCCCTTACCTCCATTACAGGAGAAGACAGAAGCTCCTGCTGCCAATGAGCTAACCCTAGAACCGGCTTTGGCTCAGACACAGAGCTTTAGTCTCTCCTATCGCTGAGTGGTAGCACCCATAATATAATCAGGGCTATGTGTAGGCAGTAAGGGGCAACATTAAAAATTCACTGCAGAGTATTTTCAGAATGTATGCAATATATGTATTTTGTATCCGCTATTAGGGAAAAGTGTATTCTCAGTGCCTCGTGGGTTAATGGTAATGGGGGGCAGTGGTTTTCATGGCTTCTGTATTCTTTAAGTCACTCTTGTATTGTGATGTCTTGCAGCAGAGCCAATTCCGTTTCCACCTGGAGGAGGGAAGTCTTTCATCATGGGCTCAGAGGATGTTCTAGAGAATGTTTTGGGACTCGGAGACCTGGCAGATCTCACTGTAACGAACGATGCGGACTACAGCTATGATGTAAGGCGGGTGTCGGGTTGGGGGTAATTAAGAAAGGTTTATATTAACCTTTCTGATGATAAATGGTTATCGGTGATGAATAATTCTGTTTAGGGCTTGTAGAGTTTTTGTTTCTTTGGCACTGGTATGTTCGCAATTTACTGGAAACGTCCTGTTTGTCATATTTTGGAAATGGCCAAGGAGTGGGCATTCAGCTGCCATGAGTAATGGTATTTAGAACTAAAATGGAACAGACGCCATGTGTACAGTGTTTGGCCTGGAATAAATATTAGCCATTTGAATCAACAATGTTTATTTTCATGATATTTTAATGTTGACAGAACTTGCAACCTTCATCCCATCTTTCCTCCAGCATTTACTCACTAGTTTGGTTATTTGGATCTCATGGTAGTTTTCATTAGAACATTTCTTAAGAAAACTTTCATATTTCTTCATATAAAATAGTAAATGAAAGTTCTAACAATATCAGACTCCCCCCCCACCCCACCCCACCACACCACAGTGTCAGAATAACTCACACATAGAACCATAGATACTACCCCTTTTACAGCCTATTATTATTATTATTTTATTATGAAAGTATGAGTACAACACATTGGTCAACTGTTTGTATTTATTTTATCTTACAATGGTCTTAATTTAATAATTTTTCCAAATGATTTATCTACAAAAAGTCCCATAAACATTAATGGTGGCATTTGTAGATAAATCACTTTGAGCATTTTTTGTTACATATTGTAATAATTTGGAAAGCTTCTTAAATCAAAGCCAATGGCAGTAAGTGATGGTTACCTTTTCTGTACTCCATTTCCCATGATGCTTAGTCAGTATAAAGCTACACACACACACTTCCACAAGCAGCCCCCCCTCACACACACAAAACCACACACAAACACACACCCCAACAAACACACTGTGACAGCCAAACACAATTCCATAAGCAGCCCAACAAACACACTGTGACAGCCACACACAATTCCACAAGAAGCCCCACATACACATACATACACACACACCCCCCAACAAACACCCCACACATACATACACACACTGACAAACACACTATGTGACAGCCACACACAATTTCACAAGCAGCCCCACACATACATACACAAACACACACCGACAAACACACTATGTGACAACCACACACAATTCCACAAGCAGCCCCACACATATAAACTTTAATGGTGGCATTTGTAGATAAATCACTTTGAGCATTTTTTTGTTACAGATTGTGATCATTTGGAAAGCTTCTTAAATCAAGGCCATTTGCAGCAGTGGTGCCATTAGTTCCTTAGTCCAGTGATGGTTACCCTTTCTGTACTCCATTTCCCATGATGCTCAGCCAGTATAAAGCCTTCATGAGCATGATGGGAAATTAAGTCTACAAACAAGGGTTATTCTTTTACAAAAATAAATCTCAGACCGTTTTCTTTCTCCGTAGCTGCCGTCCAATAAGGACGCCTTCAGGAAAACCTGGAACCCGAAGTACACCCTGCGCAGTCACTTTGACGGAGTGCGAGCACTGGCCTTTCATCCCGTGGAACCTGTTCTTGTGACTGCGTCTGAGGACCACACACTGAAATTATGGAACTTACAGAAAACTGTACCTGCCAAAAAGTGAGTGATCACTGTAACGCAAGATCACTGTGTGCAAGAATCCCATTTGCCTTATTTAAGAAACATCTGTTTGATACTCTATAGAATAAAATATTGAGTGCCAGAAATAATACTGGTTGTCTTTATTTTCCCCCCTCCCCCCTTTCTTAGGAGTGCCTCCCTCGATGTGGAACCCATCTATACCTTCAGAGCACATATGTAAGTTATTAACGTCATTACATAATTTGTCATTTTGGAATGGTCTTTTAAGATCCGTATGATGTCACAAAGAAGGAACGCATTCAATCAAGTTATAGCAGGCCTTCACAACCTGCGGGCCCCCAGATATTTTAAACAATAACTCCCATGACTCTCTGGCTATCAGCCATGATTCCCCGGCTATCTGTTTCATTCAGAGAAACATGCACGTTATAGTTCAAAACATCTGGGGGGCTGCAGGGTGTGCATCACTTTATGATGTGCAATATTTTAGACTTCACGTTAAATATACACAGTCATTCTACGTAAAAGATTAATATCACACAAACAATTCCTCCTTTCCCTTCTCTGAGAAGCAGCATTTGTGTACTTCGTCCATTGCAATAAGGGCATCAGATATTTCATATTTACTGTCCATATCCACAGCACCATGTATTGCGTTTCTTTTTCCAATGATTGGAAATGATCTAGGAAACATTCAGTAAAGTGTTTCACTCCATCACTTGTTATTAGCAGTTCCCACATAGGTGACATTTAACCCAGGCCACCATTTTGTTATCGTCTCATCCCTGGCTTAGAGGCTCAAATATCCATTTCAGAGTGGCAGGAAAAGTGAAACAGAAAAAATGGCAGATTGACAAATTCATGGTGTACGTGCAAAAATGACTGGATGCAAACGAAGCAGCAGATAAAAGACAAATTTAATAAATGGAGCATAAATCTCCACTTTTGTACCTGTGATAGGAAGATCAGACTAAATATGTTAATTTTCTCTCTGCCTATGGAGTACTATATGTAGAACTGGTCACTGCATCGGCCTTGGCCTTTCATAGAAAATACAATAGGCTGTATACATAGAGAGAGCAGTTCTGGGGGCAAAGTGTTTCATTTGGCTGTCATGGTAACTACAGATCATTGTAACATCATGCGCTAGGAATGAACTCAGACTGTCACGGTTACTCAGAAATAACCATAGCGGCAGATTGGGTCTAATTGTGACTGATTCTCTTCAGTTGATTTTTTTTTTTTTTTTATATGATGTGTTGTTAAATCGTAATTGTATGATTTTTACCAAGATAATTAAGCTGTATTTTCTTTTGGGGCATCCTGTTGAATGTGTTATTTATAGTCCTAGAGTTATACATGTCAGAGCGATTCTGACTATATCCAGCATATTTTAATGTCCTAATATAAGTAGGCTAATCTGATGACTCTTGCTGTATTTTCCAGTGGCCCAGTCCTGTCCCTGGTTGTCAGTTCTAATGGTGAGCACTGCTACAGTGGAGGACTAGACTCAACAATACAGTGGTGGAAAATGCCAAGCCCCAACGTGGATCCATATGATACGTATGGTAAGAAGCGCGATTGGGCCTGCATGGTATAAATATCTCAGTCTACTTTGTCCTAACAGACCTTTTTTTCCTAGCTTCCAGTCCTTTAAGAATCCTGCTAATCTCTCCTTCTGTAACTTGCGTTCCAAACACTGTCACTCTCACCTTACAGATTTCATTATTCTATAAGTTAACTGGCTAGAGATGTCATGCATGGATATTTTTCCTTCCCGCTGACCCTTTTTTTTTTTTTATCTTGTGTAACCAAAATAATCAATTATCTCTTGATTCGATGCCTATTGTAGCAGAGCTCAGTACTCAGGCTGAGTATCTCCGTTATAGTTTTCAGGGGTTATAGCTCCCCATAGACATAAGCTGACACGTAATGCTGGGGACAAGAACTGGCTTTATTGTCACAAACAGCAGTTTATACAGGCACAACAACAGCGGGTTACTCTCTGGAGTGTCTGAGTCTGGGAGATAAACAAATTACGGACTGTTAATTTAATAAAACTGTGTAGAAACACAACTTAAACATAACACAGAAATATAAATCCTACACCCATAGGTTTTGTTTCCCAAAGCAAAGATTTCAAAAAGTGTCCGGACTGTATTTGCCTAGCCCAAGAAATCGGCAACTGAAGTTTTGATCGGGCTAAGATCACATCCTGATAGGGGCTGTTAGCAGTCACCAAAATAGTCAGTTTTCTTTCTGAAAAAAATGGGGGACTCCCACTAACTCTCATGTAGCGATTGTTGGCTAGACCCTCCTCTACCTCCCCTCCAAAAAAGCACTCTCCTAGATTTTAATTTGAAGGAGCTGGAACGTCCATTAGTTTACCAGACAGCCACACTGGACCAGGCCGACAGAGTTCTATGAAATTTGCACCTTGTCCCGCTGGAGGTATTGTGGCTGTCCAGGGCTTCTTGAAGCATTTTATGGGAAAGTAAGCGTGCAGTGGAAAATTGGCTAGAGGAGGGTAGGAGGGGGCCAGGGGTGTTTATCTCTTCTGTAGTATTTAGGAGTCCTGCATTGGTTCACCCACATTTCTGGTGCAGGATCCGTCATTATTCTATTGGCTGTTTAATATCCAAAATTTCAAATGCTGAGAAAAATCATTGTTGCCCATTGAACAGAACTTGTAATTCCCTCAAAGCTGCCCCTACAGTGTTAATATGAACTCAGAATCATTGGGAATTAAAATCTGAAAGGTAAAATAGCTGATCTAGAAAAATTCTATAACTCTGCTATATAGTCACGGTTTGATTTATTAGCCCAACATTTGCTGTTTAGTTTTCAGTTTATTTTCATTCAGTTTTCAGTATTTTCTAATTTGCTATCTGTCCTGTAGGTGTCGCTATTACATCGTATCTCACATTCTAAGCATGCTTGCTAAACTGTATTGTATGTTAAAATATAGCATTGACTTTCATTCCAAATTCAAAAGTTAGTTATTAAATTAAAATGATAAAAAACTGAATTTACTGGCTTACCAAGGCTTGGGAATTTCTATATGATCTTTTAAGTGATTCTATTTTCATAACCCTGTATATATGTGGTCTGTGAAACGATTTGCATGCAGAATAGTATCATATATGAAGTCTATACACATTCAACTTGCTGAGGATCCTGTGAGTTTCGATCCAAGCAGTTAAGGATTATTCTCACTAAGATTCTGGTATTATTTCTCTGACACAATGCATCTCTCTACAGAGCCCAGTGTGCTGGCTGGCACATTATTTGGACACACGGACGCTGTGTGGGGTCTGTCTCACAGTGGGATTAAAGATAGTCTGCTCTCCTGCTCAGCCGATGGCACAGTCCGGTTATGGAGCCCGCCAGAGAGTGTCCCTTGTATCGGCACATACAATGGAAACAGAGGTGAGTAATAGCAAGTCAGGGTGTGATCAAGGGAATGCTGCCAGTCTTAACATGTCTAATGTGATTTGCCTTTAGCTAGAGTTACAGTATATTTTATGAATCAGAATACAATGTCTCTGACTCAGCTTCCTGTTGTCAGCATTAATTAGTATTTATCAGAAGTTCTATTAATGGCCACTCATGACTGGGTGTGCCACAGTTTCAATAAACAAAAAATGAAATATGAACTATTCACCTGCAAAGTTCCTGATTTTGGTGCAAATGCCAAGGCCTTACATCAAGCATGTCAGACTTAAAGGCTAACATGGGCCAAATAAACAAAGTTTATGTGGGCCGCAAAAAAAACCAAACGCCCGTTTTCATAAAAACCTAGGTTTATTTTGAAAAGTACAGTATTTAAAAAAGTCCCCTCACTGACACAGGACATCCTCACACTCGTAGGGATTCAAAGTAAACCAAAGAGAGAATTTTTTTAAATGAGACGTGCGTTTGCATATAACCAATGTTCCAGTCCAACTACCTTGACGCATTAAGAAAAGTTTGGTAATGGGACTGAAATGGTGAATGTATGCTGTTGCACAGCTGTAAGAAACAAACAACGTTATCTTGTGGATTTTGAAGTCCTATGAGTGTGTTCTTCACTTTGGCTGAGATCATCAGACTTGATGATTTTACCCAATTTCAACCAATCCAATGCTTTCCCATAGGAAAGCATTGGGAGGCTATTGTGCATGTGTAGCAAAAAGCTGCACGGTCAATCAGCATCTCCATGGGGAGCGTTCAGCGCCTACATGCAGACCCAATCTAACACACTGCCCCTCTTCCAATTCTAATACACTGCCCACAAATCCAATACATTGCATCCCCCCCCCACTCCCCGTTATACACTGCCCTCTTCTCCCAATGTAATACAGTCCCCACAAATCAATACATTGCCCCCTCCACTGTTATACACTGCACCCTCCCCCTATTCTAATACAGTGCCCCCAAATCCAATACACTGCCCCCTCCACCCACTCCAATTTACACACTGCCCCCCAATCTAATACACAGCCTCCCGCAGTTACACTGCCCCCCTCCCCTCCATTCTAATACACTGCCCCTGCTCCCACCACACTAATACACTGCCCCCACTCCCACCACTCTAATTTCATACACTGCCCTGCCTTTAATTTAACACATTTCTCAAATCCCTCCTCCAAATTAATATATTGCCTTCCCCCAATGTAATACACTGCACTCCCGTCCCCCAATGTAATACACTCCAGCCCTATCCCCTATAAAATAAAGTACATAGGAAGGTCCCCCAAGCCCTTCTTCCCCTACTTTAAGATGAGCTGTCCGTCCTCCAGTTCCAGCCCTGCTCTTCTCTGCTCAAGCAGGCCAGACACTCTTCTGGCACTGCGATCTGGAGGAAAGTGGGAGTGGCTGGCATACTCCGCAGACACACTCTGTGCACTTGCGGCCACCGACGCACGCGATAGGCATTGGCAAGGTGTGACAAACTCCCCTTCCTACATGAGTTTGCCACGAGCTCCTAGAGGAGCCTCCTTGCCAGCCTCCTGCCCACAGACTATGGGCCCTGTAATATACACTGAAAAGTCTCAGTTCGTGTATTTAGACTATATGGTTCCGGAACTGAACAGCCGCACGAACCGGAGACCACCGGTTGCTACTTTGTAGCAATTTCCACCGCAATGTTCTAAGTGTTCGTCTGGGTGGCCGCATTTCCTATGACCACGAGGTGGCTGCCATCTTGTTCGCACGAACGCAGGTAGTGGTGTTTGGTCGTCAAGTTCATGGAACTGAGAACGGACACAGAAACTCCCGAACACCGTGGGACATCCAGCATCACCTGCGTTCGGTTCTATGAGACACTGTTCGGTGGAAATGTTCCCACGAATAAGGGGAACAAGCTCCAGTGTAAGAATATTGACTGTGTTCGGTAGTTTGTTCGATTTGAAACTACCAAACTAGACCGACCGCTAGCTCTGATTCTATGGAACTGTTTTGAGCAGGAGCCTTGTGTGCGGTCTGTCAAATTAAAGACTTCCAGGGAATTCCAGATCCCCTAAACCGATCAGGGTGATTTTTGGATATGTTGGTCACCCAAATCGGGATTATCAGGGGATGTAACTTTTAGGGGGATTTTACGTATTTTTAAGGTACACTTGGGGTGTTTGTGAAATGTTTTTTTTGTGCCTGGAGATAATTGAGTTTTGTACAGTTCCTGACTCAATTATCTCCCAGGCACAGGGGAGGGATTATCTTTTTTTGTATGGGAGTGTCCTGGACCTGAGAGCCAATGTAATTGTGTGTCTGTTTTTACTGTAGTCTACTCTCAGGTCCAGTGGGGACCTGCATATAAGGCCAGTTGTGGCTGCCATTAAACGTATGCCAGTTTGTACTCCCAGAACGATGTGTCGTCTGGTTACTGGGAGGGGAAAGGGCTACTCTTTAATCACTGTTCCAGTGTGGCGGATTCAACGAGGAAAGTCCTTGTAAGGTTTACCAAACAAGTGTGCTAAAACTGGTGGTGACAAATCCCCAAATAAAGACAAATATAGTGAAGACTATCTGGATAGTAAAATTTAAATATGGAGGATGTGGGAGGGGGGGCAAAAACTCACATTTACCAGAGCTCTAGCACCCCTGGCTCTGGGGTTGCAAGGCTCCACTTGGTAGTGTCGTCCAGTGCTTGGGGGTGTCAAGAGCGAATTCCCCATTCAGTTCCAGGACCCCAGTCAAGCCACGGCGACTGTAGGTAAGAGTGCTGAGGTTAGTCCCCTGTTCCAGCTAGGAAGCGGTCCTTGGCGGAGGTACCCAGCCAGGGTTACAGGGAGCTCCGTTATACAGGGCACCTGTCTTGCGGCTGGTCGCAGCCCCTGGGCAGGCGGGCTGCAAAAATATATTCAATGTGGGCCGCAAGTTTGACATGCCTGCCTTACATCATTCGCCTTGACCTCTGTCCACTCCAGGAAGTAGCTTTGCCACTCTGGTCTTCAGATCAGGTCATGTTGGAGACAGGAAAAGCTTTAACACAGCACTTCAGGAGTTAAAATGTAGATAGATACTCATTTAATTAGTTAATTATTTTGAGAGAGTAAGATGAATGTGACAGCCATTACCCTGCACTAATGTAGAGAAACAGAATTTCTGAAGACAGATTGGTAACATAGCTTGTCTGGGTTTTTCAAAATATGAATCTGTGGATCATAAATAGTGTCTGCGCAGTGTGTAGGCAACCACAGATTTCAAAGCTCTCTGGACTTCTCAGCTGAAAAGCAGCAATTAACTCAGTCAAATAGTCATGCTTATTGTCTGGCAGTCTCTACTGTGCACCTTATACTCATCTGTAAGAAAGGCATGAAAGCTTGTATTATTTTCAGGAGCTGGTAGATTATGGCACCCTTTAACACTTTGTGATCAAGCTGGGGAGACAGAAATATCTAAATAGTATATATGTAAACTGTGATATTAGGTATGTGTTAGTCCTGGTTTTATCTAGTGTTCTCTGTATGGAGCCTTGCTCCTGCATTCAAACTACTTCTTGTAAACACATGGTTTTAAACACTCTCCTTTCAGAACATGGTATCCCCACCTCTGTGGATTTCATTGGCTGTGAGCCTGCCCATGCTGTGGCCTCTTTCACCAGTGGTTGCATAGTCCTTTATGACCTGGAGACTGCTCAGTCCTTGCTGCAACTGTCTGCTCCCTCGGACTCTGGTAAGCCTCCCATGTAGTACATCTGGCTGACCCTTGCTGTGAGGCCATGCAGCTTGTTCCCACTGTGAAATATTTAGCATGTCTCTCTCTTTACAGGCCCCCCATTTTCCAGCCACATTAATAAAGTTGTGAGTCATCCTACTCTCCCGGTTACCATAGCTGCCTACGAAGACAGGCACATAAAGTTTTTCGATAACAAGTCAGGTATGTTTCATTTAAGGAAGCAGGTTTTTATTTAAAGGGATATACACTGGTTCCAGCAATGTGTGACCATTTCCATTATCTGCTTGTATTGATTCATTCCATGCTGTATCGGCTACACAGAAAGGTGCCTCAATAAGTCTCCCTTGCTGTTGACCTAGAACTCCCATAATACTTTGCTTCTGTGAGTTGTAGACCAACAAGTACTGAAGGGCCTTTGGTTAGTTATACAAATATACAAATCTGTGTGTGGCATGGTTTATGGGGAATGAAATGTACAATCCGTTTGTCATACTATGAATTTATTGTATCTGGCTTTTCTATTCAGTCCCTTGTACATATGCTCAGACTAAACATTATGCAAGTCACAGGAAAGCATTTGACACACTATTCATTTTATCAGCCAGTGTGATTTAGCTTGTATACCTGTAATTACAGCTCACTGGTTTTATTATGTGACATTTACTAATACTCCCTCCTTGACTTTCAGGAAAGATAATTCATTCAATGGTTGCTCACCTGGATGCAGTGACCTGCTTAGCAGTGGATCCCAATGGAATCTACCTGATGTCTGGCAGTAAGTAATTCTCCGTTTTCTTCTATGGAGACTGACACAATAAGGTCTTAGCATGAGATTTGTGCTGTGATACAGAGTTGTGTACCTAGTCTGAGAAAGCCATGTGATCATGTAAGTGTAGGATAAAAAACAAAACTGGTATGAATGGGAAACATCTATGACTCGTGCATTCTCTGGGCCTGGTCTACAGATGCGTTCTGTAGCATGTAGTTTTAGATTTGAATTTTGTAGAGAATTTAAAGCATATATTGTGTATTAGAACAAATCTGACCCCTTCGTGTTTTCTCTCAGGCCACGATTGTTCCATCAGACTGTGGAACTTGGATAGCAAGACGTGTGTGCAGGAGATTACTGCACACCGCAAGAAGTTGGACGAGTCCATTTACGATGTTGCCTTTCACCCATCCAAAGCATTCATTGCCAGTGCTGGAGCCGATGCCCTAGCCAAGGTCTTCGTGTGACTTACCCCCCTGAGAGCTGCCAGTGCATTTGGGACACACATTGAGAAGGCACTAGTGGTATTTAAATAAAATGTTAAAACATCACTGCCACCCACTCACTGACACTACAAGGCAGAGCTCCCTCTGCAGGACAGGGAGATACTGGTTACTGAGCAGCAGACTCTTCCCCATATCCTCTAATATCAGGGCAGCTCAATTCTGGGCTGTAATCACTGTAATTAACCCCTTTTTGTTTTTTAATCTTATTTTACAAGTAACCAGTATTTATAACTCCTGCTCAGGATGTGTGTGTGTGTGGATATGTGTATGCACACATTTAGTCCTTATTTTTTTTTGCATTGTACTTTTTGATTTCAGACCCTAAACCATCATTTTTCAGAAAAGCAACTAACACAGGGATGTGGACTCTGTCATGTCCCATCCTCTGGCATGCACACACCTCCTGCAAATCATGTTCTAATAATGCAGCTGTGACTTTAACTAGGTTTTATCTATTGACAAGTTTCACCAGAACTTTGAAGGACTTGTATCAGCTAGCATTGTCCTATGTTCTCCCAGAATAGGTTGTTGTATATTGTGCTCTGCCGATCTCCACAAGCTGTTATCTTTTGCAAGGATGAACATTTGGCAGTGTTAACTCTCTCAGTGCCTGGCTGCCAATGAAGACATTGTGGAGATTTTTTTTAAGTTTTTTTTTTTTTTTCCTCTTGCAAGGAAGGTTTGTGTGTACTTATATATATATTTTTTTAGCATTAGTCTTGCATATACACAAGGTTTGGGTCGAACTGTAAGATTTAAAGCTTTTGTTACTTTTTTTTTTTTAATTATTATTCAGCGGTCGCAGAATTGCAGTGTTTTTATCAGCCATATTAAAATCTGAAAGTGAAATGAATTTTACAGCTTTTTATACTGCCTCCTACTTTTCACAAGGAAAATTTGTTTTTGTGAACTCCCCTGTCCCCCCTCCCCCCAATCTACAAAGCAACATATAGCCTGGAGTTAGAGTGGACTTACCACAAATTTGCCTTGCACAGCAGACCTTTTATTCAAACAATGGGCCGGCACATGGCTCCTTTGAATAAATAGCAACTACTGTGTCTTGGGTAAATGGGGGGGGGGGAGAAGCTGCCCGTGATTGGGCATTTGATTCCAACTTCCACTGACCACTTTGGTTGTGCTACGACCAGGCAGAAGTTCGGGGTCCTGGCACTCTGCCGTTTGCTCCTTCCCACCTCCTTCACAATCGCAGCATTCTATCACTGTGTGATATTTTGTATCTTTACTTTAACAACGAGTTAATTTATCCGAACGTTTCCCTGATTAGTTACAACAGCTCATTGTTATTTATTTCAGCTTTTTTTTTTTTTTATGTGACAAAGGACTTTTGACGGTTTGTGGCCCGTGTGACAAATTCCAGCAATGCAGAGAGTACGTTGGTACATTCGCTTTCTTTACTATAGAGTTTCATTTTCAAGGATGAACAATCGATAACCAAACCCTCATATTTCTTTTCATATAACGCTCACCCAGTCAAGGCAGGCTATCCCTGATATTAAGTGAAGTTAAGTTGTAGAATAAGGCTGAATGTCACATGGATTGCCATTTTAGCCTTTTTCTTGCAGTTTGAGATCTGCAGGTGATTCATTTGACATTTGTCTAGACTTTTTGTCTAGTCCCCACCTGCACCCATTTTCACCATTACTAAAACACTATTAGGTTTCTGGTGTAGCTAAATAATTTTATTTTGTGTTATGCATGGCTAAGACCGTTTCACATAATTTTTCTAGTCTTCCACAAAAGAAAAATAAATTTCTGATCAGTTTGAGAGTTTTGTAAGGTTTTTCGTTTTACAGACTGCAAATCGGCAACTTTTTAAGATTGTACCACAAATGCAGAAGTACAGTTGTTGAAAAATAATGTATATAAAATGCATATAATAAATATTAAATGGTGTACCTGTATACCTGGTTGAATCGATTTATTATGAACTTAACATATTCAACACAGACAAAAATACAAAGAAAGTGATCTGAATAAGTTTCTAGCTCCTAGGCCAAGTTTAGGGTTTTGACTTCACTACATTAAAATACATTTAGTTTTTTTTAGAAGGAAAGAAAACACAGCTTTTTATAGTGTACATGGAGAACAGCAGCGCAGGACTCCGTATTTTATAAATGCATGTGCTTTCACATTTCAACTCAGAAAGTTTAGGATTCAATACGAGAAGTATTTTCATGTATACAATTGATTTTATTACAAGAATAGCCTAGACATTGTAACCACTAATTGGCTGTGGGTTTATAGTTAAACCATTTTCTAGTAATTTAGTCCGACACTCACCAGAACTGCGCAAATGGTTTCATTAAGAACAATGACAGCATCTGCAGCCTAGTGGCACCATAACCAATACACCAGTAATAAAAAATAAAAAAAAAGACTAATCTGAATAAATGGTGTAACAACCTGAGGCTGATGTAGTGTTTATGGTGCCATTCTGTTTTTGGTAAAACAATTTGAGCACTCAGGGGGTCACCAAAGCTCAACAGCAGCCGTTCTGGTGAGAGGGGTTGTAGACAAAGAAAATCTAAATATCTTGCTTTGTGCATCTTGGGACAGTTTAGATTTTGTTAGTGCATAACACGTGTTGCTTAATTCTGGGACTACACAAAATCAACTTCAAGCCAGGGAATAATGTACATTGCTCAGAGCCACTGTCTCCTTAACCCATTTATCAAATCTATGCATCAGTTATGATACAAGTATATACACACACATTGTTTGCATGTTTTGGCGGCTAGAAAGATAGACATTGAATGTGAGTGAGAAAATGAATAGAATCATAGTATCCCTGACAAACATCCACCTGCACAGACCATACGTATATATGTTCATTCATTCAGTCTTTGATTTGTAGGTGAAAATGTAATGTATCTTTTACATGAACTGTTATGCTGTTCCATGTGAATGATTTCTTAGTGTTCTGAACTGAAAACGTTAGAATGTGGGTGAATTGGGTACAACACTGCCACCCTGTGGTTTTGTTTTAAACTTCTATTTATTTTTGGGTTGGTTTCATCAACATGTACTGCAAAACCAAAAGAACATCATTTTCACAATTTACAGTTATTTGCAAAGTTTTGGCTGTCGGGAATTCAAAGTAAATTTTAGATTGTAGACCAAAATAGGTCGGTTGGAAACGTTATCTTCAGATATTTTGACCTACAACCTGAATTCCACCTTAAATTCCTGACAAGTCGCCTTTTAGATAATACATTTGTAGTCTATCAATATCATACTGGGCAAGCGGGAAGCTACACAATGATAGGATCTCATTAATGACACAAACGAATAACTGAAGTGTTTTATAAAAAAATATATATATAGTGCCCTTTTCCTGTTATGAAGGTCAAAGCTTTTAATGGATTTATTCCTGTTTGCTAATAGATTAAAAGCCATAACAGCATACCCTTTGAAACTGTATAGAAAACTGTCTGAGTAATCCAGAATTTGAGCTGATACATTTTAGCAGATATGCTGTGAAAAGTAGCTAAAATGATATTGAACTCTCTCAGTGTGGCAATAACAAAAGGCTATACCTCTAAGCTGTCATTTGTTGTTCATCCCTGACACGTTGTTAAATGCACCTCTATCTGATGTGCCTGGGTACTGCATTCACCCTGATTCCCCTGATACAGAAAAGACAGCTTGTCTATATCTTAAAACTGCCACTCGCAGTCCTCTCATAGGGGCTCTGCCCGACTTCCTTACTTCTGTGCATCCAGGTAATCTCTGCAGATCCCACGAGTAATGCTGGGTGCAATTTGCTCCAGGCCTGGGAATTCTCTTGTGAAGAATGTGTGCGAGTTCTTGGGTTCAGAGGCCATGTCCTTGATGTCTTCTAGAGGTGCCCATGCTACACCAACAGAAAACACTGTTACCCCTGCAAATAGAAAAATCAGGTTAAACTCTCTCGTAAGGTACAAACTAGAGAAAATAAACTTTGGCTTTCTAGAGAAATCACCCACCTGCTGACAGTCTTAAAGGCCTTTCCAGAGCAGCTCCACATAATTGCAAAAGCCAAGATACAGAGAGTACTCTGCGGTATAGACGTTTGCACAGATGTTTTAGCTGATACGAATTAATCAGATGCCCTTTTAAGCTGTGCCCAGTGAATTGATCCTTCTTGGATTTACCAATCTCTATCAATAAATAAGACTCCACAGGTAAATTCCAGTAGGATCAATTTATACAGTTGCAGATTAAAAGGCATTTGATTTGTTCGTACCACCTGAAACACATCTGTGCAGGGCTACTCATCGCTCGGGTGGTGGTGGTGATTTTTATGTTCTTGCAAAGCATCAGGGTTTGTTCTGCCCAGATTCAGGTATACATGACAACCAGTTGGCCAAAATGAAAAATGTAATTGCCTGGTTTAATGTAAACTGAATTAATAGCTGCCTTGGGCATGTAACTTGTATAGGTTGAACAATAATGGAATAGGGGGAAATCAGTGCCCTACCTGCTCTATGGGCAGCTGCTGCTGGACCTCTGACATCATCATAGGATTGACCATCTGTGATTATAACAAGGAAGTTCTTGTTGTGCCCATCCTTAATTGGTTCAAAGAAGTTACGGACAGCAAAATTAATAGCATCTCCCGTGGCTGTACCACCGCTCATGTAGCGGATATTTCGCAGTGCTTGCATTACTTCTTCCTTTGTGGCAAAGTCATTCAAACCAAATTCAATGCGTTGGTCATAAGTAAACTGGAGAGCTCCCACCTTAGCGCCCACATCGGAGACCTCAAAAGCACGGATTATACTCATTATAAACTCCAACATGATGCGAAAGTTCAGGTCCCCAACGCTGCTGGAACCGTCAATCAGGAATGCGATGTTAACGGAGTTGTAACAGGTCTTGCTACACAGAAGATTTTCATGTGAACAAAGCTTCTGTACAAGAGGTTTTGTATACTTTGTGGTGCCAAACCAACTTTGCATGGTGTAGGAGAAGAAGCTGTTGTTTCGGCAGACAGCCTAGGAGAAACCCAGAGGCAGTAAAAATAATTTAGCACACATGAGGAACCATAGCAATAAATGTTTGACTATGAAATGGTTCATATATTTTACAGTAAGAAATTCATATTTAGAAGCAGTATTTGTCAATTTAATTTAAAGCATTCTCCTTTGGAAATACTCATAATGTAACCTAGACGGGGCTGCTCTAGACATTGTGAGGCTTTAGGCGAAACTCAAACATGAGGCCCCCACTAACAACCATAGTTTTAAAAATTAAAATAAAATAGGGGTTGCTTCTTGTGTGTATAAGGAGCTGTAGTTATATTGAAGGGCGGTCTTTCAACACTGGATACAGAGAGCTGGTCTTTGTATTCAGAGTTCAGAGGCTTGCAGTGTTGCGGCTCCCTGTGCTGCTGCATTGTGAGCTCTAATGACAATAGTTCTGGCATAACTTGCAAACAAATTCAATGTGCAATTATGCTTGTCGTTTATACATGATTGCAGGGTTTTGGTTGCATAGCCTGGCAGTCGTGAATACATAAGTGCCTGCGTAAACAGGTTATTGAAAACAAACATTACATACTTACAGATAAGAAAAGTCTAGTTTTCCCCACATATTCTATAATCCCTAAGAATATATATTGTCCTATAGAATATATATGTGTTGTTCCTTGTATATGTGTGTACACACATGCGCGCTCTCTCTACAAGGGGTGTGTATCTGTGTGTTTGTATCTAGGGCTGCAATGTGAGGATGTTATGGTATGGGCAATGCAAAGGTCAAGGGCCCACAAGAAAAATTAATTCTATAGTGTCACTTGACCTTTGCATTGCCTATACCATACCTACCTCACATTGCAGCTATAAACACAAACATGACTGTGTGGGCATGGTGAATGTCTTTAGCTGGTAGCTGTGACAGGGTGAGTAACGGGGAAACTGTGGTTGGGTGTTGGTGAAATGATGTAAGGTCAGTATTAGAGGGCTGGGGGGGGGAGGTGAGTGTGACAGGGCAAGTGTGGCATGGTTGGGGGATGAGTGTGACAGGAGGCATTATTGTGACAGAGTATAGCATGGTTGGGGATGGGGAATTATCACAGAGTTGAGATGAATGTGGCATGGTTAGAGGAGGGAGTGTGACAGGGTTAAGGGGGGTTAAAGTGACAGAATGAGTGTGGCATGGTCGGGGGTGGAGTGTGCCAGAACAAGGCGAGTGTGAAAGGATTAAAGGGGGTTAAGGTGACATAGTTGTGACATGGTTCCTGTCATACTCCCTCCTCCAACCATGCCACATTCACAGTGATATTCACCCCCTCCTTCCCGACCCTAATGTTGCCACACTTAGGATAAGTGTGGCATGGTTGGGGTCGGAGGGGGGGTGAATGTGGCATGCTTGGAGGAGGAACTGTGACAGGATTAAGGGGGATAAAGTGACAGTACTAAGTGTGACGACTTTGGGGTCGAGTTGGGGGGGTTATCACACTTAGTACGTGATACTCACCCCCCAACCATACCACACTCATCCTGTCCCTTTAACCCCCCTTAATCCTGTCACACTCACCTCATCTTGTTCTGGCACACACCGTCCTCCAACCAGGCCACATTCACCCCAACTCTGTGGCAACTTTGGGATCGGGTGGGGGGGTTTATCACAGAGTTTGGGTGAATGTGGCCTGGTTGGAGGGAGTGTACCGGTACAAGATGAGGTGAGTGTGACAGGATGAGTGTGGTATGGTTGGGGTGTTAGTATCACAAACCAAGTGTGGCAATGTTGGGGTCGAGAAGGGGGTGTAAATGCGGCATGGTTGGAGGAGGGAGTGTGACAAGATAAAGGAATGTTAAAGTGACAGATTGGGTGTGGCATGGTTGGGGGATGGAGTGTGTCAGAACAAGGTGAGGTGAATGTGACAGTACATGATACTTGCCCCACAACCATGCCACACTCATCCTGACACTTTACCTCCCTTAATCCTGTCATACACACCTCACCTTGTTCTGGCACACCCCCACCATGTTATTCTCACCCCCCAAACATTGCACACTCATCCTAAGTGTGGCAACATAGGGGTTGAGGGGTTATCACAGAGTTGGGGTGCATGTGCCAGAAACAGGTGAGGTAAGTGTGACAGGATTAAAGTGGGCTAAAGGGACAGTATGAGTGTGGCATAGTTTGGGGAGAGGGGGTGTTTGAGTATCAAAGGGTTGGAATGAATGTGACATGGTTGGAGGAGGGAGTGTGACAGTTTAAAGGGGGGTTAATGCAACAGAGTGTGGCAGGGTTTTGGGTGATTTAATGTGATATGGTAAATGTGACAATGCAAGAGAAGGAGAGGGATACAGGACCTGGGGGAGGAGGGGGTTAAATGTGATAGGGTGAGCAGGGCCAGCGCGTTCTATAGCCGACTTAAGCAGTCGCCTAGGGAGCACCGGCCCGGGGGGCGCCAGTTTCAGTGATCCGGTAGGAGGGAAGCGCACAGTACTCCCTCCTACCTGTCACTTAGTGTAGCGTGGCCGGGTGATACAGGAGTGTCTATTTCCTGTACCCGATCGGACTGAAAGGAAGTGTTCTCTCAGTGAGCACTTCCTGTTAGTCCGGCCGTTTACAGGAAACAGACGCACCTGTACCGTGCCACGCTACAAAGAGGTAGGAGGCACAAAAGGGAAAGATGGTGGGGGAGGAGAGGCCGCTTAGGGACAGATAGTTGTCTCTCCTCCCCCTCCAAAAGGAAAGATTGGGGGGGAGGGAGAGCACGGAGGGACAGGAGGGGAGAAGAAAACACTAAGGGACAGGAGGGGAGAAGAAAACACTAAGGGACAGGAGGGAGGGGAGACCTCTAAGGGACAGGGGGAGAAGTGGAGATGAGTCCACTAAGGGACGGGGTAAGTGGAAGAGATCATTAAGAGATGAGGGGAGTGTAAGATACACAGAGAGGCTGAGGAAGTGGTGAAAGAGAAGCACAGAAGGCTTGTGCTGGCTCTGCCTCGATCTGCCTTGTTGATATTCTTAGACAATCCAATGCTTTCCTATTGGAAACCATTGTGATTGGTATTGAACAACACTTCCGATGATGTCAGCCAAGCAGGTACATCAGGAACTGCAGCAGCAGACTGGAGTAAAGGTAAGATTATACTATATGTAGGGAGGAGGGGGGGTGGGGGAAGGGACTAGTTGGTGTTTTTAATACTATAGGGTCAGGAATACATGTTTGTATTCCTTGCCCTATAGTGTTTCTTTAAGGTGTATTGGGTTGTCAACTATGACATGTGTTTGATGATAGTATGGATGCATGATGGAGGAGAGATAAAAGCTAACTCAACTGTATGAGAGGCTCACCATTATGAAATCTTAGTATGGTTGTGTGTTTATCTTTAGCTGGTGCCAAACAGCATTGCATTATTTGGGAACTCTCATCCCACTGATGTAATTAAACCAGTATACTAAATATATTCTTTATCTGACCTATAGTGTAGCCCAATCAAGATTTGCCAACCAACATTTTACCCATGTTCATAGTTTAAATTAAGAAACGTTCAGGCCATATTGGCTTTTTTTTTTGTCACCTTGTCAATAAATGCCACGTCTTGCACCATTCCTAGTTCCTCGGGTGCGGGAGGGGCCACTGACACAATGAAGACGTTGATTCCGAACTCTCTGGCCACAATTCCAGCCTCCTCAATGTTATCAGAAGGCCAGCCATCTATAAACACCACCATGACCTTTGGGATGCCTTTCCTCACTCCATTAGCAGTAGTAAAGAAGCTTTGAGCTGCGTGCTTTATCGCTTTGCCTGGCAGTGTGGAGAGGAGAGACATAGAGGTTCGGTGTTTTTTACGATTACCAAGGAGGAGGGTGAAAAAAAAAAACTGTACTGGTTGCGTTATCCATATCTACTTTGTGGACTCTTTTACAGTTTTAGAAACGTACACACCAATATGAATAACATACTACATATCCTTTGTACAGTATTATAAAACTATTTTAGCACAAATTAATTATATATATATTTGTCCTTTTGAGAAACAATATTTTTATTCACCTATGTTAGAGTTCCCCCCTTTAAAGCTGATCTCCTTCACAGCAAACGAGACATCTTTTGAAGTAGCAAAATCTTTGAGAAAGAACTCTGTCTTGGGCTGTTCACTGTGAATGAGAAGACGATAAGTTAGACCAGTATTTGACTGTATGAAACAGCTGCTGCCACTCAGAGAGATAGGAATCATTACCTTGCTTGCACCAGTCCAACGTGGGGCCCATCTGTGCCAATTCCCAGCATCTGCACTACCTTTGTCACAAAGAGCTTCTGCAAGTTGAATCGCCGCTGTCCAATATTATTACTGCCATCAATAATGAAGGCGATGTCAGCCTTACAGTCTGCATGAAGAGAAGAAGGTGAGGGGAGCACAGAATAGATTAATATATGTATTTACTGTATCAGAGATTCACTGTATTCCCTTTTAGTGACAACCCGCAGTTATTTTAGTTATAATATGAAGTGTTTCCTTTAAAGAATTAGTAGCTCTGCTCTGTGTACATGGATGAAAAACTCTTCCCACATTGTGAATTATCAACAATACGGCCTTTTACTCCAGGATTGTCTACACCCTGTGATGTTGGTTCTTTTAATCATACACTGTACCTTTGTTTCCTGTTGACTTCTCGGGTGTCTTCTTCTGACGTCTACCTGTAACCCACAAAGAAAAATATGTGAATAGCCGCAGGTATTTATCCTTGAACATTTTATCTCAACACCTACCCAACACTATATATTGTGCTTGGACACCTAACAATATATATATCAGTCTTCCTCCGATCCTCGGACTGTAAGTTCATTTGAGCAGGGATTTCTTCAAGCATTACAGAATATGTTGGCTCTACCCAAAATGTTATTACCCAAATAATCTTCAAATACAATTCACACCTCCCTGGTGTGTTAATATTTCCCCCAGAATAATCTCACTGCTACACCATCAAGTTTTCTATATTCACATCAACCTTAATGTACAATGTATGGACATAATCTGCCTTAACCCCAATGGCTGTGGCTTAAAATAGTAATATGATTTCTACATGCCCCATGCAAGTGAAAATTAGTCTACCCCTAATAACCACCTGTCTCATACAAAGATATTCATCAATTCTGGCTTGGGTGTACCTTATAGGAGAAGACTGAGAGGCTCAGAACCTCTCTCTTCTACAATTTAATCAGAGTCCCCACACTATTAACAGCAACAAACCTACAAAACTCAACAACTGAATTAATGATACAACCCCAAGTCAAAATAATCAGCACAGGCTAATACATTTAAAACCCCCAACTTCACTGAAACTGGAAGAGTAATAGAGATGGGTTCACAGTAATGTGGCGTGACCAAGTTAAACCTTCAAGAGAATATATGGAAACAACATAATACTCATATAGAAAACAGGCAGCGGAGAAGAAATGGCATGTGTCAGCAGGGAAGGCTTCCCCAGCACAATAAACATCGCCAACAACATCTCTTTAGAATCCTTTAAGTACATCATCAACAAACAAGACACTTGGCAATGTCACAAGGATATTATCCACGAGGACGATTAGGCCTTCACTGGCAGACATCCAGGAACACTGGGGCTACATGACTAGAGCAGGAACTATCATGGGATATCTTAATATACACATGGATAAACATTAAATATCTCAATATCCACAGCATCTAACTCGGCCATAGAAAGACTGGATTTCATCCAACTGATTAACCCCTTGAGGACCAACAACTTAATTCCACTGCAGCAAACCAGCCAAAATCCTACAACAAAATTAAATTATCCATCACCTGACAATTGCGGGGATGTACAGAGCTACTAACGCACATTAAACAGAACATTCCAGTAATACAGGATGTAAGGGGACCAGATTGGATTACGATCTTCAATGGGTTAAGAACCCCATCAAAACATAGTGGCATTCTAAGTCAGTAGAACTGCATAGCACGTAAGATCAGTAGAAACACAAGCAATCATCAGGCAACAAAATAAATACTAAATGGAGAACAACTTAAAAAGAAAGCTCCCAGACAGTACAAGACCAGCATTATCTCTTCACCAGGAATTCTCAAAATTATTTACTCTGGGTTTCAAAGATAAGAAACAAAAATAGTGAACAATGGGCAATAGTAACCTTCTCAGTCAATGGATCCATTGACTGAAAAGTAAGAAGCCATCTTCGGTGGCACAAGTAAATGATGTTGACAGTAGACTTTTATGGTAGAAGGAGCCATGTATATTTGTACAGTCCAGATTATTTTGTTAGCGAAGGTTCATAGCCATAAGGATAACCCATTTACATATGATTCGGGAGAAAGGGATGGATGTACCATGTACGAGTTATGCAGCTTATGCGAGGCAGGTATTTGCAGCAGTCAATGCAGAAATTATTTTTCCGGGTGGCTAAGTTTCTTAGAGAAAGTTTCTTAGGCTTTTGTTTCTTAGAAAAACTGCCCAATGAGCATCCAAATTTTGGGTTAATAGTTTGGGAACATTAAACTGTTAGGGGAGGTGCAGGTGTTTAAAGTTAACTTAATGGGGGTTGGGTGTCTGCAATCTGCCCTCCAGAAGAGAGTTAGAGGGGAGTGGAAAGGGAAAAGTGGGGAAGGTAAAGCATAATCGCATGTTGTCCAGGGTTTGTAATCGTGAGTGCGTTTTATGTGGCTTAGTATGCAGAAGAAGAGTGTTCCTACCACAGTAGAGAGGTGTCTCCCTTCAGCTAATGATCCCAAATCTTATGAAAAGTCTTCAGGGTATCATGATTTTGTGCTGTCAGTTTATCCAGGTGCAAACGGTCTTGGAATTTTTTGTAGATTGATTTGGAGGAGGGGATTTTAGGTGTCGCCCAGTGTTTTCGCATGGCTCTACGTGTGGCTTAAGTGATTCTGGCTGCAAGTTTATTTTAATTCCTCGTAAGGAAATCCACAGGTTTTTATAGAAATAGTGCCCATGGATCTAATGGGTAGGGTCTGTTGAAAAGTCTAGATATTAAGGACGTTATGCTTGTCCAGAGTGTTCTGAGTTTGGGGAAGCTCCACCAGCAGTGGATGAAAGACCCTGATTCTTTGCATTGTTTCTAACATAGGTTAGAGGGAAGAAGTTTCATTGCTGCTAGACGTTGGGGAGTTAAGTACCACCTAAATAAAGAGTGTTTTATACGCTTGTTCTAAATGAGTTACACAAATACTGATGAGGAGGTGGATTCACAGATGTCAGACAAATCTGTAGGATCATTCGGTACGCCTAGGTCTGCTTCGCAAACAGCAATGTAAGTGAGTAAGAGATGAGTGGAAAGCGCGGCTATAGAAAGATACTTGTCCGAGATTTGCCCTTTCCAAGTGGGTGATTGGACACAATCAGACTCAAAGGAGGAGAGTGTGGAAGTACCTCCTTCATGTATCACCTGGGAATAGGGCTGTGGTGTACCACCGCCACTAAGTACCATGCCCACTGCTTATTTGTGTCTTTTTCCCTGTGTATTGTGTGATTCCCTCTGTGTTTCCCCATGTATTTGTATGCATTTCGTGTATTTTTCCTGTTCCCCATTCGGGAGAGCTCATACGAACAAAATGTTCTAAACCGCAGGGGAAATCATTAACGAATGCTCCCCTGGGGGGCTGCCGGTTCGTGTAGCCGAACGCCAACCTAGGGGGAACTTCGTATACCGAACATGCCTGCCCGTACTGTCCCAGGTCCCCGTGTCGGAATCGCCCTACCTGCTCCTAACAGAGCTATAATCACTTCTTTCCCTACCCAGGAGCTGCAAGGCCAGGCTTGTAGCTGCCCGAGGGCAGTCTCCTCAGGGCTGCCTAAGTGGAGGTAGCCCCGGAGAAAGGCGCGAGCCAAGTGGAATCCCTGGGGCTGTGAGTCTGCTTTACAGCCACAGGGGTCCCTCTGGCCGCCTGGAAGTAAGTGCCGACCAATAGGAGGAGCACAGTGAGAAGACGCCAGCGTCCATAGGAAAGCATTGAGAATGCTTTCCTATGGACTGACTGAATGTGCGCGCGGCTCTTGTCGCGCATGAGCATTCAGCCGATGACGACCGAAGGAGGAGGAGAGTCCCCAGTGCCGAGGGAGCCCGGCGCTGGAGAAAGGTAAGATTTTAACCCCTTCCTCCCCCTTCAGCCCGGCGGGAGGGGGGGACCTATTAATACTACAGTGCCAGGAAAACGAGTTTGTGGTCCTTTAAGGGGCATATGTGAAAAGAAAATTTGCCTTGTATGTGTTGTAAATGGTATTTGTCCAAATTTAGTAGAAGTAGGTCTGATTTGGTATGGTTCAGTTGATACTATGAAAGGGATGAGTAACTGTGCAAGAGGTCTAGGAGGGCTTCCAGTGAAGATTCTGGGTTTGTGAGTGTCATAAGGACAAGGTTGGCATAAATCGCGACCTTCTCTTCTTATCGTTAGTCCCTACTCATCCCGGCTGGAGTAAATTGCCAGCAACAGGGCTTCTAGGGAAAGGGCAAATAGGAGGTGGGGGGAGAGAGCAACCCTGTCTTGTTCCACTGTATATGGGCAAGGAGGGAAGAGGGATTTATGTGAATAGAGACCTTGATTGGCTTGTTTTACATATGTTTGTGTAGCTTATTAAATATGTATGTGGGAGGCAGCACACACATGCAGGACAGCACGTTACTTACTTGCAGGGGACGCCTGAGTGGATACTGGTTTTCCTGAGACCTCCAACCCTCGACTCTTGAACTCTGCAGACATAATTATTTTTCAGTATCGGTGATATGTGCATTATGCTGCACTCACAAAACGTATTAAATTATTTTAACACAATCACCAGAGAAATGTTATAACCGGGATATTTTTCCCACTGACATCTATGGGAACTTGCTACTCAATAATAGTGATGTCCCGAATGGTTCGCTGCGGACTCATCATTCCAGCCAATCAGCAGCAGACCCTCCCATCTCCTGGACAGCATCCATTTTGAAGCTGCATTCTTAGTGAGTTGTCCAGGAGGTGGGAGGGTCTGCTGCTGATTGGCTGGAATGATGAGTCCGCGGCGAACCGTTCGGGACATCACTACTCAATAACCATAGAACATTAACATAAAAACAATCAAGGCATTTACCACCAGTTTCCATCACAACTTGCAGTTATATATTTTATTCTCACTGCTGTGTGGCATTTTCTAAAATACCTTTGGTACAGTAATATTCTGCATGCAGAGGGGTTTCACACTTTTTGGATGTGACAGGTCAAATGATATGTTATTGTAGATTTCTACAGTTATTTTACTGGGCCAACCTGTGCACGTTTAATAGTCTACCATTAAAACCAATTGGTTAAAAAGGTTATTTTTTTTGTTTGTTTGTTTTTTTCTTTTCAAGCACTTATTGTATAACTGATCTCTGCTGCTACCAGACCTTCAGACATCTAAAAAATACCTACTCAATCAATATACGAACCATATACATATGTTTTTTACAGCTCTTAACTATTTATTACCTTTACTCTACAGTATGCTTTTTGCCAACATCTACTTAATTCCACACTAGTCATAAAAATATACCCACAGTGGCGCATATTTATATAAAAAAAAAGGTACAATATTGATACTGCTATACTGCTCTTTTTGATCACTGCAAATATAGTGACAAAGGAGTTACAATATTTGTATTTAAAAAAGAAATTAAATCCACAAACCGTTGGGCTCACCCAGATCTCCACTAGTATGTTATGTCATTTAAAGGGACATATGTGGTTTATCACACTATGCTATACATATGGCCCTATCTGATAATAGTGTGGACCCACACCTTGGGTTCCCTTCTCCTCTAACCTTGCAGATTTCAGCATTGGCACTGCTGAGATTATATCCCGAGAATGTTACTTTGTGCAAGCTGCTGGAGAGATAGAAGTAAGGTCAGTAAGAAGTGAATCCTAGCTCGCTTATGATCTTGACACTATCAGCGGAAAGATATTGTCAACTTGTTCTTCAATTTATTTACAGTGTTATTTGCACTGACAATTCTGCCTTATATAAGTTATGATGTATAGAGGGACCTTGCCCTGTCCACTGCATTCACTCCCACCTGCTGCTGTTTGCAAAAAGAAAATTGCCCCATCTACAAGCCCACACCATCCTTCAAATACTGCAGCCTGGCCGGTAGCTTCTCTTATGTCATTTAAAGAGACTCACCAGCACAAATACTACAACTTGACAGACCACTCCAAATATATAAAGTACGTCAGCTTTCTGGGTGTGGAGTGTCCCATAATGACAGTTTATAAGAGTGCTGATTTCTATTAGGCACTTTTATAAACAATTCATGAAGAACCTCCCTGGCTGTCAAACAGCTTGGAGAGGTATCGGCCTGCTTCCGTTAGTTCCCCATAGCTAGCAGAAGTGGCAGGCATGCTCTACATAAAAGGACATTGTAGGCACCCAGATCACTTCAGCCCATTGAAGTGGTCTGGGTGCCAACTCCCATCACCCTTAACCCTGAGCATGTAATTATTGCAGTTTTTATAAACTGCAATAATTACCTTGCAGGGTTACGTCCTCCTCTAGTGCCTGTCTACCAGAGGGACTTCTGGGTTCCACTGGCCACTAGCGACTTCAGAGTTCTTAGGCAACTTTTGGTCGTCTAAACGACGCTGGACGTCCTCACACATTGCATGAGGACATCCAGCATCGCCGGAATCCCCATAGGAAAGCATTGAATGAGATGTCGGTGGGGGAGGAGCGTGGGAGGAGCTGAGCCAGTGCCGAGAGGTGGGGGGGTGGAGGAAGACCTTGACAGAAGGGGAAGCTACAGTGTCAGGAAAACAGAGTTTGTTTTCCTGGCAGTATAGTTTCCCTTTAAGCACACATGTCTTCCTCCCTGCATACCTCAGACCAGTGTCCAGACCTTAAATCAGTAGCCCATCAGAGCTTCAGACCGTCTATTTCCCTGTCTATTTCTTCCGGGGAAAAAGGTCTTGCAAAGGCTGCAGTTCATAAGAACTGCTGCTTTTGCAAACTGTTTTAAGATATACCCCCAATGAATACATTGTGCTTGAAAATGCATGCATGTATTGAATAAGAGTGATTTCAATTTATTGCTAATATGGCCAATGGAGTGCTCCTTTATGTCAGGGGTTTTGGGCTAAATATACCTTCACTGCAGTCTCAGCAGTGCAAATGCTGCTTTTTCCCGAGAAAAGGCAGTGCTCACATTTCTGCCTAATGCCACATCTGTTGGCTGTCACTCAGATAGCCACAGAACGGATATCCATAGCATCTCTGTTAGGTGATGCAGATTGTTGCATTGAGGAGATTTTCCGCGCATGCTCACTAGTCTCTAAATGCTTTTCTACTTGGAAGCATTGGATTTGTTAAGATTATCAACATGAAAGCCAGAGAGGTTATTATTTTTTTCATTTTTTTTAGTTCTGGGGCCCCAATAACTCAAATAGGTAGGTTAACAGTTTAGCATTACATGTTTTAATTCCTAAAACTAAAGTATGAATCTTTAATGCGTGAATCTGATGCCAGAGCAACAATACATTCCCCATAAACATATACTAAGCAAAGGTTTATGAATTACTTTACATTTTCTCATATCATTTTATGACAGGGAGGTCAGGAATATATTCCGTAAAAAACAAACATTAACCTAGCTCAGGCTTCCCCAAACTCCAGCCCTCCAGATGTTGCGGAACTACATCTCCCATGATTCTCAGCCCATTTCATTCAAAGAATCAAGGGAGTTGTAGTTCAGCAACATCTGGAGGGCCAGAGTTTGGGGAAGCCTGACCTTGAGTGAGCATGCCCTTTAATATGCTTATAGTAAATGGTGTAAATAATTATTCTGAAATTGCTAAATCGTTCCATAAAATTAAAATAAAAAGATATACTAAAGAGGAAGGAAGTAAAAACAAAGATTCTAAACGTATTTATTTGCTCCCTGAAGCACACATCTCCCCTACTAACTTACTGGAAACTGAGAATGAAGACGACCACTTGCTGAGGGTCAAGGATTGCACTGCATTAGAGAAGACCGATGGGTAATTTTGTTGACCAGGTAGTCTACGCAGGGTCACTTTTCCACCATTTTTGGAGATCACGCCTCTGTCAAAACAGCAACAGACCGCAAGGTGATCTTATACTGCTAACACAAGAAATCCCCCAACCAGTCCAATGTGCATACAATATTATAAAACACTCCGCCCAAAAACTATAGAAAACCAACAAACAGAAACAATTCAGAAATTGTACAATACCAATATAGTCACAAAGCTGCTCAATCACCAAAAGCGGAGTCTCTTATTCGATAGGGGGTAGGATAAAAGTTTTAACATACGGGAAATGTACCTAGCAAAGACACACATGGAATTAATAAGGGGCTCACAAGAACATATCCCTGAAAGAGGGCCAGAACAAGAAAGGAAATGTACATACATATTGAAGAGGGGGGCAATAAGAAAATATAAACAATGGAAAAAAATAAAGCACAAAGTAAAGAATGACCACAAAAGAAACACAGAAAAGCATGTGGGCGAGGGTGACTAATAGGGCCAGAAAAACATAAGAAAAAGTCACACAAGGGGATGGAAAAGGCACACGAGGGGATGGAAAAGGCACACGAGGGGATGGAAAAGGTATAAGGGTATGAAAAAGGTACAAGGTTATGGAAAAAGTACAAGGGTGTGGAAAAGGTACAAGGGTATGGAAAAGGTACAAGGGTATGGAAAAGGTACAAGAATATGGAAAAAGTACTAGGGTATAGAAAAGGTTCAAGGGTATGGAAAAAGTACAAGGGTATGGAAAAGGTACAAGAATATGGAAAAGGTTCAAGGGTATGGAAAAGGTTCAAGGGTATGGAAAAGGTTCAAGGGTATGGAAAAGATACAAGGGTATGGAAAAGGTACAAGGGTATGGAAAAGGTACAAGGGTATGGAAAAGGTACAAGGGTATGGAAAAGGTTCAAGGGTATGGAAAAGGTTCAAGGGTATGGAAAAGATACAAGGGTATGGAAAAGGTACAAGGGTATGGAAAAGGTACAAGGGTATGGAAAAGGTACAAGGGAAAAGTCCCGTCATATGGAGGACTCATGTTTTTCATAGCAGTTTTAGTACATTTTGTGGGATGATACACTAATTTAAATAATCAAAGGGTCCAGGCACTCAATGTATCAATGCAGACAAGGCCTTGCATAATGCTGCATTAAATGGCTGTCTAGGTTTAATACGTTGACTGTCTGGACCCTTCTTTTTCACCAGAACATTGTAATTGGGGGTTGCAATCAACCCAAGGCCTGGATCACCACGTGCATACTGCAATTCGTTACCTAAGGAAGTAGTTGATGAAAGGAGTGCAGTTCCCTTCACTGTATAATGTATATTCATACTGCATTATATCATGATGATATTAACATCCTGCATGCAAATTGTAACATCCTTTGTCTCACAAAAAGCAATTTGATTTATTTGCCAATGTTGGAGTGCTTTTTAATGTCTGATCAACTAGTTCTGCTTTGACCAGGAATTTTTCATGGAGTAATAGAGCCCCAATCGATACACACAAGTTTAGAATTCTTAAAACTAACTCGAGAATTATTTAATGATCAGAAATTGGTTAATGTCTCCAAGTACCTGTGTATGGCTGCGCCACAAACGCTGGACACGGCTGCGTAGATTTTGTCTCCGTACACAGAAAGCTGTTGCTCCGTGCAGCCGGGGGGGCACAGAACATGAGCAGACTCCTTCTTTAAATCTAGACCCCTCATGGCACAGGTCACAGGAACTGGAGCTGGGAGAGATAAAAAAAATAAATCACAACTTTTTAACAAAAAAAAAAGGTGCACACATTATCAGTCTCTCTCATTTACAATGCACCTACATACTCCATATAACAAGATTTACCAGTAACTGATGGTAGTGGCAACAGAGGCCCTGCTCAAGAACAAGCTACAGTCTAAAAGAAGGTTCAGTATGTAATGTTTTCAGAGAGTCAGCATGGCTATCAGGTGATTGTATTTGGGGGGAGTATACATAGTTTTTTTTATTTTTCATTACAAAGTAGAGGGTACATAGTCCACATATGACGCACTGAAATACTAAAAATACATTTTTTAATTTTAGAGTGTTTCTTTAATATAAGTTATTAAAGAAAAAAGCATGAGTAAGTAGCCTTTTATAGATTTCTACGTTAAGGAATTGGTATTGTTACAGATGTAGATCATTATAAAACACTAGAAAGAGAATCAGAGCTATAGCAGCTTGAACAAATATGTGGTAGACAGTTAGTTGAAGGACCACATTAAATACAAAACCAGAGAATGTTTGTGCACAAGGAAAATATCCAAAAATAACTAGCTAGCATTGCAAGGTAACAGGGCCAGGAGAAATGATCATGTCAGGATCTGGCAATGACAGCCAAAAAAAATAGTAAAAGGGAAAGAAGGAATCATTAAACGGACACAAAAGATAACCAGAGCACTTCACCTTAATGGTCTGGGTGCAGTGCCCCTGTCTGTTCAGGCTTGCAATATAAAATATGGCCAGTTGAACACAACTCTTAGTGGCCGTCTTCCTCTAGAGGGCACATTTGATTGACGCAGAACATTATGCCGCACACTAACCTCTCAATGCTCCCTTATAGCATTGGCTGCGATCATCAATAAAGGCGAAGCGGCCGCAAGGAAAGCAGGCTTCTCTCTCACCTTTCAACCTCTCCCAGGGCGGGAGATAGCAGGACACATAAGCGTTAGGAGTACATGTCTGTATTCTTAACGCTATAGTGTTCTTTTAATATTCAGGACATATGCACAGGTTCATGTAAAGCCGGATATTGTATACGTGAAAATCAGGTCCATTTTCACCGGTACAGTTATATAATTTTGCGATATTTGTCCTGGTAGCACCAGGCTAATTTATGGTATATGTTGCCAATTTCTATGTGTAAACTATATCGTCTTAATACTTGTGTTTTATGTTTTTTTATATTGGGAGCGTGTCATAGCAGCTACCAAGACAAAAGTTAAAAGTATCTTTTGAAATATACGATTTGTATTTTATAAAATGAACAGTGGTTCTCTCAATGCCCATTCTCCCAAACTGTACTTTGCCTATAGCCAGCCTGGCATCACCTATATTGCTAATGTGGGTTGTTTCCTGATATTAAGATCCATTGAGTGGTGTTAGTCCTTAGTTTGGAAGCTTTATTTGCAAACAGTGTCCGTTGAGCTGGAAATTTGGATGAAGAGAAAGAGCACACCCTTGTGAATCACTACTTCCAGAGAAAGCTAGGAATGGTAGGTTATCATCCAATAATTGTGTTGTAAAACAGAGGATAACATAAACACGAGCATCAACGAAATCCAAATAAGAGGCTTGGACAGAAAAAAATAATATATAATATATATAAGAAGGGAAGAACACATGACGGTTTTGAAGCTGGGCTTCAAGCACGCGTGTAACCGCATAACTGAGCACCTTGTGGAGATTCCCACACTGATTTTTAGGGTGAACCTGTACTAGGGGGGCACATGGGGGACACAGGAAATCGTTGTACCACCTAGATCATTCAGCCAGTGTCAACAATGTCTTCATGTCTCCACTGGTTGTTTTTAACAATGCACTGGTTACGGATTTGCGATTTTACTTCCACCTTAACCCAAATAACTTTATATAGTCCCTGTGTATTTTATATCCAATTACTTCCAAACAGCAAGGAGCAGATGGCTTTAATGGAAAATAAGTTAGTAAGCAGATGGTTCTGTGTATTTCGTTATTGATGGATTGGGATAAAAAATGTTTTGATGGGGGCGGGGCCGGACCGCCATGCTGACCGGTCGCATGCAGGAAAGGATCCGGAGAAATTTGGCCTCTTAGGCAACTGTTATATGTATATGCACTGCAAAAATAAAGAATAAAAAAAAGAAATAAAAATGTTTTGATGTGTTTTACTCCAGGGCGAACTGCATTGAATATTTCAACGTAAACGTAAAAGAAGCAGGAGGTAAGGGGTCACTGCATATATCATGCCAACCGCAACTTGTTCAAGCCTGGTGCTTCACGTTCTTCTAATCCGTCCACATCAATAATGCAGGCAAAAAAAGAGGCTGTATCTGAGTAAATGCACAGCAGACATGCAATGTGTTTGTGGCTTTTTCAGCATCCTATAGTTAAATATATATATTTGTTTCCTAATACTAAAGTAACAAAATAGGGAGTACAATAAACAGCATAAAGACAGGTATCTTGGCAGAACTTCTGGCTGTGGGCAATAACACGACTTCATGAAGTTAATAGCACCCTTTTGCGCACTCTAGCATCTGCTTGGAAAGTGGCACATACCAGCATGCACACCCAGGTATTCCATTTAAAGGATATACAGACTGCGGTAATTCTTTGCTTGACTTATCTTTATGTGAAGTTTTGATCAGAATCAAGCAGTCATTGAGCTGATGCGGTCAGTCTTTTCTCCACATGGCTGTAAGGCACCATTTCCTCCTTCCCCCTGCATCAGCTTAGAAATCTCCACCATCATCCGTGAGTGGTGTATTCGCAGACAGTAGATCATGCTGCCATGTGTCCCAGGTAAAACTGTAGCCACCATGGTGGAACTATGGATTACTCCCATCGATCTATAAGGGGCAGAGGGTGGGGACTGCTAGTCCTGTTCTGAGCAAGGAACCTCAGCATTAAAATGTGGATTGCTGATAAGGCCTGGAAGGCAGGAGACCTGGATACTGCCATTGAAGATAAGCACCACAACAGTACTCTAAATTCTACATTTATTTGTGTAGGTCTGTGAGGACCTCAAGGACAAAGCATCTGCTAAAATCCCACCCCCTGAGGCAGAGCATTATTAATGTAGTCTTGCCATATACCATAAACAAAGCATGAGAACAGTTAGGATTTAACCAGGGGTTACGTTTTCATGGGGTCTGGGATTGTTGGCAAATTTGATAAAGAACTTTTAACACCAAAGCCATTAAAGCATGAATATCCAGGAGCACAACACTTCTGTGCAAACTTCACTCAACAGGATTGCATCCGCAGTGGAAAATTGAAAATAGAATTAACAGTCACTATATATACATTTTAGATCCGTAGCCAACTCTTGATAGAGACTCCGTTGGCACATTATAATTTTAAATGACAAGGCATATTGTTTCGATTTATGATACGCACAAGCTAGGCCTGTCAAACATACAATTGTGAACGTGTAGAACATTTATTTAATACAATTACACAGTTAGCTTCCTGTACTGGGTCTTCAGAGCGCCCAAGCAGAACTGGTTAAAGTACATCATGGTTTCAGTACTTGATTTATGCACTCTGTTAACATTTATAAAGTATTTAAACACAGACCCAGGGGCAAGTATTCAGAAGAATTGAAATATGTAACTTTCAACTGCCAAAGGTGTCATCAGCACACAAGTATCTGCTAAATGGCACAGAGGTGAACAAAGCACTCATATAACAAAAAGGGATCGCATCAGAAGACTCCACACATGTGCCACTAGACATCCAGCTGCATAAGCTCTCTCCTGCCAATTGCTCCAAACTTTCTCAGTGTTTTTAAATACACATTGGACTTTGCGTGGAAAGAAACTCTCTCCAATCCATTTGGCTTTTGGACATGCACATTTACACAAGAGTTGAGGGCTTCTAGCATTCCCCAATATCCTATTAGCTTAATGGCGTTTCCTGGACAATATTTGGAAAGCTGCACGCATATTCCAGATCCCTTTATGGAACAACTGAAAAACAGATGGATACAGAGATGGGTGAATACAGTCCAGCAAGACGTCTGACCACCCAGGACTGGCAGAAAACTGCAGTGCACACCAAGGCTAACACATTTTGCTAAAGAATCTATAAACATTCTGCTGTACCTTTTGTAACTTCCTGAGAAGATGTTTGATTCCACTTCAAATTACTTAAGTAGAGCACGAAAAGTGTAACATAAAATGTGTTATCAGCTTATGTTGATATGCAGTAAGAACATCATATGTATTCTTTTAGATTAGCTCATCCAACGTTGGCTATCATCATGGGTGCCAATAATCATGGCGTTCTATGACAACATTTATATCGGCAATGGGAGATTTTAGTTTTGGTGAATGGCTAAGAGAAACTTGTCCCTCACAAGGGCTAGGATAACAATATAGAAATATATACACGGAAACTACAAATGGCACTCTTGCTACCTTTTAATTAACAGGACTGTACAAAGGATGAGAAGTCATGCATAGATAACGGAAAGGAGATTTTGCTAACAGTACAGAAAAGGGTTCATTACAATTTACAACTTTATGATTTTTTGATGGACTTGAGTCTTTTTTTAAGTACTTTTTGGTATCCATGCCCTCTTAACATGTGTGCCTGAACACTAACCAACCTTTCATTCATTGTAACTCAGGGAGCTTTGAAAAATTCCATTACAGACACAATACAGAGCGCAGTCAAGCAAATCATACCTAAATCTCCTGAATCCCATTGGACACTTGGGCATTTCTGCCACAAAAAGGTTGCTTCCCCAATTGATCTATACCAGTGGATCCCAAACCTCATGGCCCACCAACAATCCAGGATTTATGTATTTCCCTGTTTTATTCCAATGGAGATACTGGCAAAACGTGGACTACTGTTGGGTCTTGAGGACTGGTTTTGGAAACACTGCTCTATACATTGCATTGTCTTGAGACAAGTTGCAAACAGTCCTCGCTTTCACCGATAGGTGCGTGAATTACTTACACTGCCTTATGCAAAGTCTATAATCTGGGCAGGGTGCCAGCTGGGATGAGGCTCAGATTGATGGGAGAGGAGTTCTGAAACATTAAGTTCTATTTAATTTAACATCTGCTGGCCAATTTCTCTTTAAAATACCTTGTTACAGCTTTTGAGAGTGACGTATCCTAGTAATCTTCACGAATGACTAATTTGGAGTTTAATTTCAAGCTTCATATATCCCTCAGTGCTTAATACATAATTAATCAAATGCCACACTTGTCATGAAAGAGCACAGGCCAGTCCTTTGAATAAAGTAAAGTAATTATTTTATGTTTATCATTTCAGACAAGATACTCAACTGTTCTTGGGTTTGGTACGTAATGGAAGATATTGGTCAAAAAAAAAAAAAAACCTCTAGTAAAAAAACATTTCTAAGCATCTTACTTTGTTCCATTTATTTGTCATACTATATAAAGTGGATCAGTTTAACATCCATGGCTAGTATAGTACTGGTACACTGTCCGTGTACATCTGGGATGGTGTTCAAAGGCTCATCTATGTAGCAAGGATGCAGACTGCAGTTTTTTCTCCCCTCTCTCCAGCTGTGCTGCTGATTTCTTTATAAATAATCTGTCTCCTGCCGCGGTATTTATTCCCCTTTTCTAAAAAAAGCTGTTGGCAGAGAAGGAGCATTGTAGGGCTTTTTGTAGCTTTGCATTCCTTTTCCACCCTTTACGTTGGAAAGTAGATACCTACGATAGAGTTACAGTCTACTGTGAGCGAAGAAAAAATAAAATAAAAATAAAAATAAAAAAAATATATATATATATTTCACCCAATTTAACTAGACATATCCTACATCTGAATAGGAGACACCTATATATCTACTCTCAGTACATAAAGCGTTCACGTAATACCAAAACGGTAAAAATGCATGAATATGAAGATCAATAGACAAAGCAATGAAAAGAAGACATTAGCCATGTATTGAATACTCAGTGAAGTAACATGTTAGTTTTAGCGGATGTATTGGTACTGCTTTAGCCATAACTAACCTTCCTGAATCACATACTATAACAAAAAATAATGCAAAAGCTGGAAGTGTGAATGTGTCATAAATAAGGGCTGTATTTTAGACTATTACATCGAAAGCAGCTTATTTATACATAGTACCAAAATTAAACTGGGATAAAGTTAAATAGAGTCTCAAAGTCAGGAAACATATTTTGGAGAGACAATCTATAGTTTATCTGGCCACAATAAATATGAGGAAAGCGTTACTTCAGTACCCAAAATTGAAAAATTAAACAAAACCGTTCCTAGAGCTGATAGCTCCAAGCCGGGTTACCACTAACAGAAGTAGAAAGAAAAAAATGAGGGCAGCGCTATCAATTGAAAGTGTGCACACTAAGTGCTACATAGATGTGATGAGAGCAATCTCGCCACATTGCATTGGAGAAGCCTGGTTGCTCGCCTGCTACCTTTGGATCATGGCCCCATGTTAAAAGACTTTGTTTCCCCTGCAGAAAAGACTTATTCGTGCTTTTCTGCCCGGTGTTCGGTAGATTCAATCTACCGAACAACCGCACGAATGACTAGACCACCTGGGAGCTGGAGTGTGCCGGCAATTAGCCTGCCAGAAGCTGCGGTTAACTGCAGCTTAATTGACGAATACTGGGTGGCCGCCATTCGTATAACGAACACGAGGTCGAGGCCATTTTAAACACTCGAACGCACAGCGGTGTTCGACGCTTAACTAATAATTATCTTCAGGGCAGAGGGGAGGAAGCCAGGATGCATTGTGGGAATATAATGTGACTGTGTGTCCTATTTTTCTGACTGTCTGTCTTTTGTCACAGTCTCCCATTTGGTCCCCTAGGGGAGTGTCCACCAGGTGGGAGACCTGCATAAATACTGGGCAGGTAGCCCTCATTAAACGGACCACTGCTTGACTCTCAACACGGAGCTCTGTCTCGTCTTTGGGGGGATTTACTGTATGCTGTTAGAGACTGATTGCCAGGAGTGTAAGCCACTTGGGTGCTTTTCCTGTTCGTCTGCTAGCAGCTATTCGTGAGGTTACAGTTCGGGAGTTTGGAGTGCTACTTTGTATGCAGTTTGGGAGTTTGAAGCATTCCCTTGTATGCAGTTCGTGAGTTTGGAGCATTCCCTTGTATGCAGTTCGTGAGTTTGGAGCATTCCCTTGTATGCAGTTCGGGAGTTTGGGGCATTCCCTTGTATGCAGTTCGGGAGTTTGGAGTTCTGCAGTAGCTGTACCTGTATCTCTGGAAGTGGAAGATCTTCTAAATGGCGGTTTAACCCTTTTATGCTGAGGGTGCCGTTACAATAGACATTTATTGGAAGGACAGAAATACAAACGTTTCAGGTTCTCTCCTTTCTCATGCATTGGCACTGGGTGACACGACACTAAGAGCATGCAAGGAGAGTGCCGCGATTGCTTTAGCCTTGAATCAATGCTTTCCTTTTGGGCTTTTAACCAACACTGGAGTTAACCCTGCAAGGTAATTATTGCAGTTTCTCAACGTAATAGAATAACCAGTCACAAGCCGAGATCAGGAATACAGAAAGGAACAAATACAGTAAGAACAAAGCCAAAGGGTCAGGAATACCAGAAATATGGGAAGTCAAGCCAAGCCAAGATCAATAACCAATAAACAGTATCCGGAACGTACTCTTGGATAACCAACAGGATAGAAACCACGACAGGGCACTGAAAAACTGCAGGTTTTGGTTTAAATAACCCAGTAAACCCTACTATTTGCTAATTTGGATCCTGTGACCCCAGAACGTGCGTGCATGGTGAAAACGCAACGCCAGACACACATTTAAGTCACTAGTGATGTCATTGTGGGCAGCACCATCATATAGCGCCGCCTTGCAGCAGCCGGCATTATTCCTTACATTGGACCTGGCCCCTGTATTAGGAGCTGCACATAGGGAGAGGCGCTGGAGGTAAGGTGCGGTCACATCACGGTGCCGATCGGGCATTGTGATGGTGTGACCACACTGATCAGATGCGGTTACATCGTGGTGCTGATCGGCCACTGTGATGGTGTGACCACACTGAGGTGCCGATTGGGCACCGTGACAGTACCCCCCCACACAAAGGCTGCCCACCGGGCATGCAGGACCAGGCTTATAAGGCTACAGGGCATGGAAACAGCAAAGAAGGCATCCAGCATTAATGTTAACAGCAGGAACCCATGAGCGTTCCTCAGGACCATAACCCTTCCAATTCACCAGAGTAGTAGTAGTAGTAGTAGTAGTAGTAGTAAGGAGTAGTGTATCTATTGTATATAAGTGGCTTCAATAAAGAAACATGAAATGTACGAGGTATACAAAGATTGGCAGGGAGGTCAAGGACATAAGACACTGGATTGATTCTATGTGACACATGGAAAGGTCCAATGTATCTAGGAGCGAACTTCATAGAGGGTACCCGCAGTCTAATGTGTTTAGTGGACAGCCAAACCCTGTCCCCTACTTGATAAAAAGGTACAGCACTATGTCTATTATCAACATGCTGCTTAAAACGGGAAGCAGTGCCAGCTAAGGCAGTATGAACCTGATCCCATGTTTTCCTCATAGAGGTCAGATGCTCATCCAGAGTGAGGATATCTGTATCAGAGAACACAGAAGGTAAGACAGCAGGGTGGAGACCATATACAACATAAAAAGGACTAAGTTTGGAAGAGTCATGCGTAGCGTTGTTCCGAGCAAGTTCTGCCCAGGGCAAGAGGTCAAACCAATCATCCTGGGTAACGTTAACGAAACAACGTAGAAATACTTCCAGTCATTAGTGACGTCATTGTGGGAGGTGCTATCATATAGTGCTGCGTCCATCCTAACGCTTTACCTGGCCCCTGTATTAGGAGCTGCATGGAGGGAGAGACGCTGGAGGTAAGATAAGTAACCTCTCCCTCCTTTAGTGTAACCGCACCGATCAGAGCTGAAGTGGTCTGAGTGCCTATAGTATCCCTTTAACAGATACATACGATTTCAGAGTGAATAACACCCAAGCCAGCTTGAGTAAAGTTTGTTAAGCTGTCACATCTCTCACTGAGCTACAGTAAGAAACCCTTCAGGGTAATATACTAAAGTTCAAAGGGAATTTCAAATTCAAGGCCAGAGTAGCCAAACTGAAAGCGTAGCATTTAACATATGTATTTACAATTTACATATGCATAAAAAGTACACACGTAAAATATATGGATTGCCATCAGAAATTCTGCACAGCTCAGCTATGTAAAAAATGTTTCATTTACATTGTCTCTGAAATATCTGAAACAGCAGCCTTCATCTGGGGATAAAATAAGAAGTTTATAACATTGAATGGAACTGGACATTTTGGAAATGGGGAATGGGGTTAGTAGTTGATCAGGAAAACAAGATTTCAGAAAAAATTAGCCCTCAGGGATGTATTAACTAACGATGAGTTAAGATCACAAACAAAAAATGGAAATATGTTCATGCTATTAAATGCATAGTGTTTATGCTATTTTTCCAATATTTAGAACCAATTTTGTCCTATTTCATAACTGTCATCACAACTCAAAATCTAATCATTAAAATTCTTTGACATTGACAGCTGTAAACCTCTCTGTATGTTGTAATATGGGGAACATCTTCTAGACAGAGCTGGGTTTAATATGCAGCAGCAATTATGGAAAGATCACTACATTTGCAGTTATTGTTACTTATCAAACTCTTCCAATGCAGCCACATGTTCTACTAAATACAACAAAATGGAAAATGTTTGGCTTCTATTTAAATACCACCATGCATTATGTAAGAAACGTATCTTTTTATTATTCCTGTTCTAAGTTATAACATCTCACAATCTATGAATTCTTTTTTCTTTCTTTTTAAAAGAAAATAAAAGTACATATATTTTTTTCCCTAAATGAGACAATGTGTCTGGACTGTAAGTTCGTTTGAGTAGGACTCTCATGATGTACAACTCAGGTTCTTCAATTTACCATGATTTCTTTGGATCTTTGTAGAGAATTTCAGAGTATTTTGGTGCTTTATAAATAAAAACAAAGTGATAATAAATGTAGGCAAACGGACATGCCTATCGCACACTACTAATGAATGCCACTATAGAAGCATATTTTAGATAAAAGATTTGAAATACACTTACATTCTCCAGTGCTTGGATCCAAGGCCACAGAACGTACAAAGATGCCTTAGAACAGACAAAACGGAATATTAAGAGTTAGAATTCCTTTAGAAATTTTCACAAAACTGTTTAAGGCCATTTAATAGATTAACAATGTTTCCACATATCCCAGGGCAGTCAACGTAAGCACTATAACTGCTGTGCACCGCTGTGAAGGTAATGATGCAGTAAGCACCCTGCTCCCTAATAAGAGAGACTTACTAGTTAACGAAGGTGATTGGCAAAAAACCCTGCAACTATAAGCATTCCCACAAGCTCTAAAGGAACATTTGAAGCCACCATAAAATTCACATTTTAAAAGAACATAAACCTATGAAAATAAAATGTTACATAAATTATAAATTAATTTCAATGTTTTGTTCAACGGTATGATTTTCAGAGAAGTGACAGTCTCGCTTAAAAGGAGGAACTATCCTTCAGAGTAATGGTGGTTGTTCACAGCATTGACCGACTTCCACATGCTCAGATTTTTAACATGAATGGGGGTACATCAGCGAGAGAGAAAGAGAGGGGGGGGTAGGTATTAATGCTGCATTGCATCACATTTCTTGTTCTCCGCACCCCACCCGTGCTGTGTTTATTTTGTGGATTCAATGTTGGTGCCATGGTGGAAGGTTGGATGGTATGAACTTGCTACCTCTTCCATGAGGTGTCTCAAGGGTAAACGTGTCATACATCCCATGTAGTTATACCTTTTTTGGTTACCTCTATGCCCTGCGGTGCAGTAAGGTAAGGGGAGAGGGGTATAGATGGGTGGGGGGGGGGATTTAACTTATGTACACAAGTGGGTGTTATCGCGTTTATTCGTATTTCATCCACTTGGTGTGGGTTGATGATTTGGTTGGTTGTCTCGCCCGCTAGGTGGGCATTCGGTATTACAGGTTGCACCTGGACCTTTACTTTTTCTCCCCTGTGCCTCTATTCACTCTTGGTAGCCGCTTGTGGTGTCTCTATATATAATATGTTCTTACTCGACACCGGCTATCTGAGGTTTCATCATATTCCAGTATGTTTCCCATATTTGTCCCACCTCTATTGTTGCCCCTCGTATCCCAAGCTTTTGAGTTGCCATGAGTTCGGATTTGGTTTACTAACATGGTTTTTGTGGGGGCTACTTGTGTTTTCCAGGTTCTAGCTATGAGGTTGCATGCCGATATTATCGTGTGGAATAATAGTTTGGTGTGGACTTTGGACATGCCTTCTGGCCATATGTATAGGAGGCACACTGCTGGAGTTAATTCTATCTGCATGGGTAGTAAGCGGGCAAGGATTTCGCTCACCATGGTCCAATAAGACGGTTGCACGTCCACCATATATGTAATAATGATCCTTTAACTCGCATCGCCAGCATTGTGTAGAAGTGCCAGGAAATATGTGAAAATGTGCAACATTTCTAAGTGGAATGCAAGCAGGAACCCACCCAGGAGTCCCCATCAGAAAGTTTTAGGGACAGAAAGGAACCCCGAAAACTCAAAATAGGGAAATCAGTATTGAGAGACTAGATGGGCAGTTTGGCAGTGCTAGACTTCACACAGGAAGATATGGTACGAAAAACCTTGAGGGCCAGTTACAAAGTTGCAGCAGGGCCACCTAGAACCAGAAAGAGGGAGTGATGAGAACTGCTACCAGGGGCAGACCTTAGTTAATCATCCTGTACACAATAACCCCAAACAGGAAACACATACATTGTAAACAAGGAGGCACCAAAAGGGAATCCTAAAAGCATCTTCACTGAATCCCTTATAGTAGCACAGTCGTTCCCTCTCTAAGAACACAATGCTGTGCCCAATGGGTCCACTACCTCACAGCTAGAAGAATCCAGAAACCCAAAGATTGAGGACAGGCTTTGCGAGCAGGTAGAGTAGAGGTTAATAGTATTAATGGAAGAGAAGGAAACTGCTATGGCATAGGGACAGCATCAGAGGCAGTTTGCCTATTACTGTGAACATATTGAAATGGCAGACAATGAGGGGGCAGGCATTGCCAATGCACAAGGCATACAATGTGTTTACATAACTAGCCCACCTCCCCATTCTTAGCTTTAATAATGTGTTGGGAAGTCACAGAATGGCACTGTGCATAGAGTAGTCAACTAGCAGGCAAGCAATGGCTAAAATAGGCAGCAGTTACTAAACAGCACATTTCACTTACAGGGTCTGCTTCCAATTACAAATGCCACATTTAGGTAGCCATGAGTTAGCAGAGTTTCAAATATAGACATATCGTAACCCAATTGGCTGGCCAGGCATAGTTCTCTCCAAGAAAGCCCTGTTGCTTGCCCAGGTCGCTCTCCATCCCATATTCATTTTGATAATGCTTTTCCAGGGTTGACATTTTATTGACAGAAAACCTTGACTAAAGTGGAAAACAATAAAAGTTGCAAAGCTCAATAAAGTCCAATCAGTTCCGAAGGAGGAAGAGCCATAACTGGGGAATTTAGGACTGGTGCTACATCTCCATTTGAGGGAAGCCATATCTCACTAGTGATGGATTCTTGTGGACTGTGACAACACTGAGATGAAAAAAAGCTCACAATATTAGGGTCTCCTGCCCTCATCAATTCCCTGCATACATGGCTATGCCAAAAACACAGGATGAAGGCTAGAGTTAATAGACAGGTGGTTCTCCTGCCCTCCTTTATAACATCTACAGTAGAGGCACAGCTGTGGGATGTAGTTCTGTTACAATTCTCTGCTTGTGATTAGAGGAGTGTTTAGGACATCACCAAAAATATAGGAATTTAGTGACAGGTTGCCAATGCACTGACAACGAAGCTGGCATATAAGTGTCAGGAAGGAGCATCCTGCTTTGAGAAGCAGTGATGTGGGGGCAAGGGGTAGTTGAGGCCTGAAGATGGGTGTCATCAATAAATCAAACAGACTGTAAAAGATTGTGGCCCACTCATGTACATAAAAATACATGATTATTTTGCATAAGGAAATAATATGCACACATGTGAAACAGTTATGACAGGCTGAACAGCATGGTGCCAGAATTTCCCTGGTAATGTCTCACAGATAAGAGTCAAGCCATTTTTGAATACCTACCTGGCTCTTCCAAGCACCCATGGTCACATTGGCAATATCAGTACTGTCCGAGCTTGGGATGAGAATCATTGGCTTCCATGAAATGAATACCATCTAAAGACAGACAGAACTGATATTGCTATTACTTTGGTGCTATCTGTGGAGAGGTAAAAGACCAGAAGGCGGCCAGGTGACCCTAACAAGTGTCACACTGCTGAAAATGGTTACATTGTTGACAGTAGCATGCTGTGATGAATGTGGAGCTTGGAATGTCCCATTAAGCAGGAATTATTAGTAAAAAAACAAAAAAAACTTTGCTTCATGTAACAATATTGGATTTTAGATGAAAAGCACTGAATGTGCCAAACATTATTATTATTAGTATTTCAAAATTGGGCAGACTAGACGGGCCGAATGGTTCTTATCTGCCGTCACATTCTATGTTTCTATGATGTTTTAGATTGTTTCAACTTAATTTTATTTTCGGAGGGCAAGGTAAAAAGTTGCTTACCTAAAATCACCAACGCGTGAGAGATGGAGTTAATCATCTTGCAAAGAAAGGAAGGTTATCTAAATGGAATAAAAGGAAAAAACATTTACACAAATAAACAAATATACAAAAGAAGTATAAAAAAAATACAAAACAAAAACAAACACACATTAACTGAATATAAAGCCAAATGCAAAATGAAGGTGTCTTAACTGCACATACAAATGCGATAAATGTGACTCAATTCAAAGTAGTTCACTAAACAAATTATCAAAAATAATCTGGGACCCCCTGGACTCCAAAATCCATACATTATACACAAAATGTATCAATGTATAGACTGACTGTGCAACACAACCTCTGAAGTACCTTAAAGGACAACTGTCAACTTAAAACGACTTACTAATAAAGGATTTTTTTTTTTTTTGTATACAACTCATCCCTATCTTTAGTATATGACAGGATCCTTCAGCCATATAGCTGTACCATGGGTCAGACAGTGTTTGGAAACCAACAGTTAGTCCAAACACTGGTTAGACACTAACCGGTCGGTTTGCTATTTCTTGTAACAGAAGGTACAGTATTTACAGGTAATTTGTATGAACGAGTAAAGCCGTAAATATTGTATGGTGATGAAAAGAAGGCGCACTTTATTAGCCGACTTTGATTCTGATCTGACAGAGGTATTAGTTGCGGATCTGCCTGCAATGCTCCTGCAATTCGGCTCTTTATTTGCAGTCAGTATATTCACAATATGGTTGTGTCTGTTACTTAACCAGCAAAATTCCACGGGTCAAAATTCCACCAATATCTCAAACTGCAAAAGCCATAATGACCATCAATTCAATGCCTTCAGATGCACCAGACAACTCTCTCCCACTCAAAACCTATGCTATAAACTCTGCATATGAACAGTTAAAGGAACACTATAGGGTCAGGAACACAAACATGTATTCCTGTCCCTATTGTGTTAAAACCACCATCCAGCCCACCGTCCCTTGCCTCCCACTTGCCTTCCTAAATATAGTAAAATCTTACTTGTATAAAGTCTGCAGCTGCTGCTTCTGCCCCTAAACTGCCTGCTGTCTGCGGACATCATCAGAAGTGTTGTTTTGTGCCAATCGCAATGCTTTCCCATAGGATTGGCTGAGACTGTCAAGGAGGCAGATCAGGGTCAAAGCTAGCACACATCAAACACAGACATGGCCAATCAGCATATCCTCATAGAGATGAATTGAGGAAAGTTCAGTGTCTGCATGCAGAGGGCGGAGACACTGAATTGCAGGACTGCACAATATGCAGCACTGCCCCAGGAAGCACCTTTAGCAGCCATCTGAGGAGTGGCCAGTGGAGTTATCCCTAGGCTGTAAAGTATACACTGTATTATCTCTGAAAACACAGTGTTTACTGCAAAAAGCCAGAGGGGAATGATTCTACTCACCAGAACAAATACAATAAGCTGTAGTTATTCTGGTGACTATAGTGTCCCTTTAAGATAGGGCAAAACATAACATTACATTCCAATAGAGAAGTATCACAAACCTAACCTAGAATAATAATTAAATGTTAGGGTGGCTTACAATTTTGTGTTTTTAGTCACAAAAATCTACCTTCTCCCTAACTTTACTCCGAAAAATATGCAGGAGACACTAGAATGTTCCATGGTTTTGGAACAGTTATGCTTTCATATATCTGCTGAGCCACAATTTCAGTTAGTTTTACCTATTTTGTTGTTGACTTTTGTTTTTTCGGTATTGACATATTGTGTCAACGGAAATTACAGGTATCAGTCTTTGAAATCATGTTACCCAATTGCATGCACAATTGTACTATAAATATAATGGTGAAACTACTTTGTAAAGTCTCAAGTGCTATACAACGGGGAACTTTATCACCGTGCTGTGCTCTATAAAAGTCGTGGAAAGATGTAAAAGGGAATGATTTACAAAGAAAGGGGCCTGCTTGTCCTACTGATTTCCACTGTGAACCCCCACCTTTTAGCACTTTGCACCATTTTTCAGAACACACCATTTTGATAAATCTTCCCCCCAAAATGCTGAACACTAAGTGAGGTGAATACCTATGCCAGCCAATTGCAAAACTGACAAAGACCGTGGAGCGTGACTAAATCACCACCCTTAGTCAACCTCTGCTCATGACTTTTCCTTATCTATAACTTTGCAAAAAGGCAAAATATTGAAGAAAACAAATTTTTAAAAAAATGACAGGATAAACAAGGGAGTGAGTAGGCTATAACAGTTATTACAAAGAAGTGACAGAGCCTTTTTATATTGTTATTATTATTTATAAAGCACCAACAAATTCCGCAGCCCTGTACAATGGGTGGACTAACAGACAAATATTGGAAACAACATCAGGTGAAGGCACAGGAAAAGGCAGCATTGAGGGCCCTGCTTACTTTAAACAATTTTATAGTGGTAGTTTCTAGATATACAGCACAGACTAAAAGGACCTGAATACATTAAACAAAAAACAATGTCCAATATCACTGATCTTTGATCTTTATGGGCAGCTTCAAGAGGCAATGTGGCTTTCCAACCTTCATTATAGTGTTGACATTGAAGATATGTAATGCCAAGATTTCATGTTACATTAATGGGACACTCCAAGCACCATACACAGTTTTGTGGCTTTCTACAGTGTTACTCCACGCAGAAAACAATCTCAACGTTAGATGTATGTTGAGCGTGTACTCCGTGACATTCCAAGTGACTGCCACTAGGCAGCAATGGTTCTGGTGACTATAGTATCCCTTTAACCTTTCCTTATGTGAAGTGCCTTAAGACTTTAAATTACAACGTGACTGTTCTGATGTTGAAAGATCATCAGGCTTACTTGGCTCAATGTCTACCAGGATCAGCTAGGTCTTATCACATGTGGGAAAGATATATATTTATATTTATAAAATATTTTACCAGGAAAGATACATTGAGATTTCTCTCATTTTCAAGTATGTCCTGGGTCCACAAATCATTGCATTGTTACATTAGGGTACAATAAAATACAAAAACAATATTAATACACAATAAATACAAAATGTAATATATAATCAACCATGACAGGTGCATTCTGTTTTTAGGTATGTAGAGAGGGATCTCTTAAATTACTTTAGGCTTAGGGAAGATTTTAAATTGTACGGGAGGTCGTTCCACAATTGCGGTGCTCTGTAGGAGAAGGAGGATTGGGCCGCTTTCTTTTTGTATTGAAGTAGACTAAGTAAAGTGTTGGTACTGGATCGGAGGTTATAGGAAGTGGGAACAGCTGGGGAAAGCATTTTGTTCAGGTAGGGTGGGAGTTTCCCAGAAAAACTCTTAAACACAAGGCTGGAAAGATGAAGGGTGCGTCTGGATTCCAGCAACAGCCAGTTTAATTCTTTTAGCATGTCACAATGGTGGGTCCTGTAATTACATTGTAGCACAAATTGGCAGAACGAGTTATACAATGTATTCAGTTTATTAATGTGGGATTGCGATGCAGATGCATACACTACATCCCCATAATCAATGATTGGCATCAGCATTTGCTGTACAATCTTTTCCTTTACTGTAGGGCTTAGGCAGGATTTGTTTCTGTACAGGGCACCTATTTTTGGATAAAGTTTAGATGCAAGCTTTTCTATGTGCAGGCCAAAAGATAGATTGGGGTCTAACATCATACCAAGTATTTGAAAGAGTGGACTGCGGACAGTGTGCCATTTGAATTTGCTTTGATGGATAGGTGGGAATTGTGTAATTTGTGTAATTTAGGTACTGTTACAAAGATCATTGTGATCAGACAATCTATATCATGTCTGACAAGTCGTCATTCTTTAGTTCCCCAGCACTGCATAAAATAGTCTCATAAAACTGCCTGATAACATTGCAAATCTGTATGAAGTTTGATCCATACATCTCTCTCATACAATAAACTCAGAGCAAAGCACTCTCTCCCAAGTCATTGTTCGCATCTCCCTCCTGACCGTACGCTAATCATTACCTGAAATAATTGATCAATAATTATAATTTAAAGACAGGTTAATTTTGTATACCTGTCTGAATCTCTGTTCCTTCAGTCTCTCCACCAACATCAGGTTCCTGTGAGGCCCACCAGCAAGCTGTGTGACTTCTTTGCAAGCTTCCCTTATGGTCTGTGATTATGGCACATGCTCCTTACTACCTGTATGCCGCCAGGTATCTGTATCTCAGCCATTACCGTGGTCAGGATGTAAGAAAAGCTGGGAACCCTTGCACCATTTCATCCACTCTGGCCAGCTGCCAATTTTGCCTTTTCAATAATACGTGACAGTCAGTATCACTTTCTATGTGCCCAATAATACCACAAAGACAATACTGGAGTAAGCTCATATGAGCAGGGTCCTCACCTACCTATTGTTCCTGTGTCACTGTATAATTGTCTCATGTATTGTAAATTTCCCCCCTTTTCGTAATATTGTAAAGCGCTGCGGAATTAGTTGGCGCTATATAAATACCAATAATAATAATATATGTGATCAATCTTACCACACACCACTTGCAGCAGCAAACATGGACAGTTAAACCGGAAGCATTGTATGTACACGTGAAGCTAGTATAACGCTGTATGCAACCAGTTACACCACACTTGCAGTGTTACAACCTACATGACCAGTAATACTGCACAGACAGTATTGGATATGCTCAGAAATATCAGTCACACACCAAACATTCAAAGGCACAGATATACTTTAATTTGAGATAGTGGCTGAGGGTGTGGCTTGAGATATTTTAGGTGATTTTACTAATAATTTAAAAACTAAAATGTAATTTAGAACAAGAACAATGTATCGTATTTACACAGACTGATTTCTAAACACATTTACTGTAATATTGCTGTGGAGCTCTGTTATACACTCAGACACACCAGCAATAAAGGGATTTGTGGCCAAAATTTGGGACAGTTGGGAGGTAGGCTTTAAACATCTTGGACTACTTCCTAGCAAAAATAATTATAGGAATTGTATATTATAAAACCAGTAACACCATACAGCCAGTGTTGCAATGTACATGGCAAGTAATACCAAACAACTATCACTTCAACACATGTATACAGTAAAGCCAAACTAAAAGTACTGCAGTGTGCATTTCTCCCTATACCAAACAGATAGTACTTGTAGCGGAATGGGCTTTGCCACAGTACCTTCCTTTTGCTGAGGGCTGTCCAACCACCATATTTGTTACTATATTTCAGTTACTTGCCCTGTTGGTTACATGAAGATCCAAGTAACACTGTAATATTAACTCTCATTCGTCTGGTTGTTCGGTAGGAATCCTATTTCAACTATTGTACACCATATTGTTCGACAAACAAACAAACTCCCGAACAACCAGGCCACCCAGGAGAGGAGAGTGGCATCAATTGACCTCCCTAACTGTATTCACACTACTTTAATTGCCAACCGCACAAACTAACTAGGTGTTCCCTGGGTGGCCGCCGTTCAGCATATGAACACATGGTGGCGGCCATCTTTACATGCGAATTGCACCAGCGGTGTTTGGTCGTCGAGTGTCTGGAACCCAAATCGGACACACGACAGCACGAACATCGCAGAGACTTCCATCCTCGCAAAAGTTGGTGGGAAATCAAGAGAACAGGGTTGCGTTCGGTGAAAAGAGTCATACGAATGAGGGGAATAAATGAACAAAGATACAAACCATTCTGTTATACATTTTCATACATTTCAAGCTCAGTAATGGAGACCGAATCCACGGCCAAAACTCATGGAACTATTCTCGGCTTACACCTCGTGTGCGGTCGGTAGAACGGTAAAAGACCTCTATAAAACTTTTGAACCTCTGAACCGATCTGGGTGAATTTTCAGTATGTTGCTCCACCAGATCGGGGCTATCAGGGGATGCTGGAATTATGAATGTATGATATGTTCTTGGAGTGTTTTCAGAAAAGTGTGAAACGTATGATTTTATTTATTTTGGGATAACTGAGTTGATACAGTAATTAACTCAATTATCCCCTGAGCAGAGGAGAGGGATTGTATACAGTGTATGGGAGTTTCTTGTGACTTAACTCTGTTTTTACTGGTTGATGTATATTTTTATTGGTGCCCCACAAGGTCCACCTGGGTGGTAACCTTTAGGGCAAAACCTGCATAAAAGGCCAGCCTGGCCATTAAAGGATCAGTTCTGCTCCTAATACTGAGTGTCGTCCAGTTATTGGGAAGGGTGATGGGATATTCGTGGATTATCTTGTATTTATGCCTGCTGTCTTGAAGTTTCCAGCTTGTTCCTGAATAGCTATTGGTGTAACCAGCGGAGAAGAAGCCCTGCTACCACTGCTCTCCGCTACAGTACTACAATGTATATGTGATGCATAACAGGCAACCTTCCTGTGTTCATGCTCAGCAATACAACAAACCCTGTATTACAGAGCAAATTCCACACCAAGTATTCATATTTTACATGCCCATTAAAAGCACCCATTCAATGTAGCAGTGTAAGTACCCATTAATAGCAGCCATTCAGTGTAGCATTGTAAGAGCCCATTAATAGCTCCCATTCGGTGTAGCAGTGTAAGAGCCCATTAATAGCAGCCATTCAGTGTAGCAATGTAAGATCCAATTAATAGCTCCCATTCAGTGTAGCAGTGTAAGTACCCATTAATAGCTCCCATTCAGTGTAGCAGTGTAAGAGCCCATTAATAGCTCCCATTTAGTGTAGCAGTGTAAGAGCCCATTAATAGCAGCCATTCAGTGTAGCAGTGTAAGAGCCCATTAATACTTCCATTCAGTGTAGTAGTGTAAGTACCCATTAATAGCTCCCATTCAGTGTAGCAGTATAAGTACCCATTAATAGCACCCATTCAGTGTAGCAGTGTAAGAGCCCATTAATAGCTCCCATTCAGTGTAGCAATGTAAGTACCCTTTAATAGCAGCCATTCAGTGTAGTAATGTAAGATCCCATTAATAGCAGCCATTCAGTGTAGCAATGTAAGAGCCCATTAATAGCTCCCATTCAGTGTAGCAGTGTAAGTGCCCATTAATAGCTCCCATTCAGTGTAGCAGTGTAAGAGTCCATTAATAGCTCCCATTCAGTGTAGCAGTGTAAGATCCCATTAATAGCTTCCATTCAGTGTAGTAGTGTAAGATCCCATTAATAGCAGCCATTCAGTGTAGCAATGTAAGATCCCATTAATAGCTCCCATTCAGTGTAGCAGTGTAAGAGCCCATTAATAGCTCCCATTCAGTGTAGCAGTGTAAGATCCCATTAATAGCAGCCATTCAATGTAGCAGTGTAAGAGCCCATTAATAGCAGCCATTCAGTGTAGCCGTGTAAGTACCCATTAATAGCTCCCATTCAGTGTAGCAGTGTAAGTATCCATTAATAGCTCCCATTCAGTGTAGCAGTGTAAGAGCCCATTAATAGCTCCCATTTAGTGTAGCAGTGTAAGAGCCCATTAATAGCAGCCCTTCAGTGTAGCAGTGTAAGAGCCCATTAATACTTCCATTCAGTGTAGTAGTGTAAGTACCCATTAATAGCTCCCATTCAGTGTAGCAGTGTAAGTACCCATTAATAGCTCCCATTCAGTGTAGCAGTGTAAGAGCCCATTAATAGCTCCCATTCAGTGTAGCAGTGTAAGAGCCCATTAATAGCAGCCATTCAGTGTAGCAGTGTAAGAGCCCATTAATACTTCCATTCAGTGTAGTAGTGTAAGTACCCATTAATAGCTCCCATTCAGTGTAGCAGTATAAGTACCCATTAATAGCACCCATTCAGTGTAGCAGTGTAAGAGCCCATTAATAGCTCCCATTCAGTGTAGTAGTGTAAGATCCTATTAATAGCTCCCATTCAGTGTAGCAATGTAAGTACCCTTTAATAGCAGCCATTCAGTGTAGTAATGTAAGATCCCATTAATAGCAGCCATTCAGTGTAGCAATGTAAGAGCACATTAATAGCTCCCATTCAGTGTAGCAGTGTAAGTGCCCATTAATAGCTCCCATTCAGTGTAGCAGTGTAAGATCCCATTAATAGCTTCCATTCAGTGTAGTAGTGTAAGATCCCATTAATAGCAGCCATTCAGTGTAGCAATGTAAGATCCCATTAATAGCTCCCATTCAGTGTAGCAGTGTAAGTGCCCATTAATAGCTCCCATTCAGTGTAGCAGTGTAAGATCCCATTAATAGCAGCCATTCAATGTAGCAGTGTAAGAGCCCATTAATAGCAGCCATTCAGTGTAGCCGTGTAAGTACCCATTAATAGCTCCCATTCAGTGTAGCAGTGTAAGTACCCATTAATAGCTCCCATTCAGTGTAGCAATGTAAGATCCCATTAATATCTCCCATTCAGTGTAGTAGTGTAAGTACCCATTAATAGCTCCCATTCAGTGTAGTAGTGTAAGATCCCATTAATAGCTCCCATTCAGTGTAGTAGTGTAAGTACCCATTAATAGCTCCCATTCAGTGTAGTAGTGTAAGATCCCATTAATAGCTCCCATTCAGTGTAGTAGTGTAAGTACCCATTAATATCTCCCATTCAGTGTAGCAGTGTAAGAGTCCATTAATAGCTCCCATTCAGTGTAGTAGTGTAAGATCCCATTAATAGCTCCCATTCAGTGTAGTAGTGTAAGATCCCATTAATAGCTCCCATTCAGTGTAGTAGTGTAAGTACCCATTAATAGCTCCCGTTCAGTGTAGCAGTGTAAGTACCCATTAATAGCTCCCGTTCAGTGTAGCAGTGTAAGTACCCATTAATAGCTCCCATTCAGTGTAGCAGTGTAAGTACCCATTAATAGCTCCCATTCAATGTAGCAGTGTAAGTACCCATTAATAGCAGCCATTCAGTGTAGTAATGTAAGAGCCCATTAATAGCTCCCATTCAGTGTAGCAGTGTAAGAGCCCATTAATAGCTCCCATTTAGTGTAGTAATGTAAGAGCCCATTAACAGCAGCCATTTAGTGTAGTAGTGTAAGTACCCATTAATAGCAGCCATTCAGGGTAGCAATTTAAGATCCCATTAATAGCTCCCATTCAGTGTAGCAATGTAAGAGCCCATTAATAGCTCCCATTCAGTGTAGCAGTGTAAGAGCCCATTAACAGCAGCCATTTAGTGTAGCAGTGTAAGTACCCATTAATAGCAGCCATTCAGTGTAGCAGTGTAAGTACCCATTAATAGCTCCCATTCAGTGTAGCCGTGTAAGAGCCCATTAATAGCAGCCATTCAGTGTAGGAATGTAAGTACCCATTAATAGCTCCCATTCAGTGTAGCAGTATAAGTACCAATTAATAGCTCCCATTCAATGTAGCAGTATAAGTACCCATTAATAGCTCCCATTCAGTGTAGCAGTGTAAGTACCAATTAATAGCTCCCATTCAATGTAGCAGTATAAGTACCCATTAATAGCTCCCATTCAGTGTAGCAGTGTAAGAGCCCATTAATAGCTCCCATTCAGTGTAGCCGTGTAAGAGCCCATTAATAGCTCCCATTCAGTGTAGCAGTGTAAGAGCCCATTAATAGCTCCCATTCAGTGTAGCAGTGTAAGAGCCAATTAATAGCTCCCATTCAGTGTAGCAGTGTAAGAGCCCATTAATAGCTCCCATTCAGTGTAGTCGTGTAAGAGCCCATTAATAGCTCCCATTCAGTGTAGCAGTGTAAGAGCCCATTAATATCTCCCATTCAGTGTAGCAGTGTAAGAGCCCATTAATAGCTCCCATTCAGTGTAGCAGTGTAAGAGCCCATTAATAGCTCCCATTCAGTGTGGCTGTGTAAGTACCCATTAATAGTTCCCATTCAGTGTAGCAGTGTAAGAGCCCATTAATAGCTCCCATTCAGTGTAGCAGTGTAAGTACGCATTAATAGCTCCCATTCAGTGTAGCAGTGTAAGAGCCCATTAATAGCTCCCATTCAGTGTAGCCGTGTAAGAGCCCATTAATAGCTCCCATTCAGTGTAGCAGTGTAAGAGCCCACTAATAGCTCCCATTCAGTGTAGCAGTGTAAGAGCCCATTAATAGCTCCCATTCAGTGTAGCAGTGTAAGTACCCATTAATAGCTCCCATTCAGTGTAGCAGTGTAAGAGTCCATTAATAGCTCCCATTCAGTGTAGCAGTGTAAGAGCCCATTAATAGCTCCCATTCAGTGTAGCAGTGTAAGTACCCATTAATAGCTCCCATTCAGTGTAGCAGTGTAAGAGCCCATTAATAGCTCCCATTCAGTGTAGCCGTGTAAGAGCCCATTAATAGCTCCCATTCAGTGTAGCTGTGTAAGTACCCACTAATAGCTCCCATTCAGTGTAGCCGTGTAAGAGCCCATTAATAGCTCCCATTCAGTGTAGCAGTGTAAGAGCCCATTAATAGCTCCCATTCAGTGTAGCAGTGTAAGAGTCCATTAATAGCTCCCATTCAGTGTAGCCGTGTAATATATTTTACACTGCTACAGTTACAGGTTACTATACATGTAAATATTTAATTCATGCACGTTTAAATAAATACGTAAATAAAAAATAATAATCATTAACAAAAAAAAACTTTGCACCCTCTCAACAAAAATGAATTTATAAATAAATTTTCCGCAATCACCTAAAGGTACTCTATTATTATTACTCTTTAGTATTGTAAAACACCCAGGATCAGCAGCTTACAGCCTGGGCCAGTTATACCCAACCTGTACCCTGTGCCGTACATAATGCTCTGTAACACCATGCAGCCATCCAGGCACCTCGCAAGAAGAAATATAAATATCTCGAGTTACACTATATTTACTGTAGTCATCTGATACTAGCTTGCTTCATTTTATTGGGGACGCATGGGAAACAAACGTTTCAGTGCTTCAGTAAAGTCATTGCTGCTTTGCAGCCTGTGTGTTTAAGAGGCCATAATTAAAGAAGCAACATGGCCACCTCTCACTGCAGAGAGGTTTATTTAGTACATTTAATATTGTGGGAAAATAAAGATTTTAGGCCTTAGCCTGTAAACAATATCTAAATCTAGCAGAGAGCACTAATTGTGCCCATTAAATGCCACACACTGGTAATGCTACAGAAAGTTTGTGCCAGCACAGCCCTCCCTGTGCCTGGCACATTATCTGCACAGCCCTCCCTCTGCCCAGCCCAGTATTCGCACAGCCCCTCCTGTGCCCGGCACAGCATACACACAGCTCTTCCTGTGCCTGGCACAGTATACACACAACCTTCCCTGTGCCCAGCACACTATCTGCACAGCCCTCCTTGTGCCTGGCACACTATCCGCACAGCCCTCCTTGTGCCTGGCACACTATCCGCACAGCCCTCCTTGTGCCTGGCACACTATCCGCACAGCCCTCCTTGTGCCTGGCACACTACCCGCACAGCCCTCCTTGTGCCCGGCACACTACCTGCACAGCACTCCTTGTGCCCGGCACACTACCTGCACAGCCCTCCTTGTGCCCGGCACACTATCTGCACAGCCCTCCTTGTGCCTGGCACACTATCTGCACTGTCCTTCTTGTGCCTGGCACACTATCCGCACAACCCTCCTTGTGCCTGGCACACTATCCGCACAGCCCTCCTTGTGCCTGGCACGCTATCTGCACAGCCCTCCTTGTGCCCTGCAGACTATCCGCACTGTCCTTCTTGTACCCGGCACTTTATCCGCACAGCCCTCCTTGTGCACAGCACATTATCTGCACAGCTCTCCTTGTACCTTGCACACTATCCACACAGCCCTCCCTGTGCCCGGCACAGTATCTGCACCACCCTCCTTGCGCCCAGCACACTATCCGCACAGCCCTCCTTGCACCCGGCACACTATTTGCACAGCTCTCCTTGTGCCCGGCACACTATCCGCACAGCACTCCTTGTGCCTGGCACACTATCCGCACAGCACTCCTTGTGCCCAGCACACTATCCGCACAGCCCTCCTTGTGCCCGGCACACTATCCGCACAGCCCTCCTTGTGCCGGCACACTATCCGCACAGCCCTCCTTGTGCCTGGCACACTATCCGCACAGCCCTCCTTGTGCCCGGCACACTATCCGCACTGTCCTTCTTGTACCTGGCACTTTATCCGCACTGCTCTCCTTTTGCCCGGCACACTATCCGCACAGCCCTCCTTGTGCACAGCACATTATCTGCACAGCTCTCCTTGTACCTTGCACACTATCCACACAGCCCTCCTGTGCCCAGCACAGTATCTGCACCGTCCTCCTTGCGCCCAGCACACTATCCGCACAGCCCTCCTTGCACCCGGCACACTATCTGCACAGCTCTCCTTGCGCCTGGCACACTATTTGCACAGCTCTCATTGTGCCCGGTACACTATCTGTACAGCCCTCCTTGTGCTCGGCACATTATCTGCAAAGCCTTCCTTGTACCTGGCACACTATCCACACAGCCCTTCTTTTGCCCAGCACATTATCTGCACAGCTTGTACCCAACAAAATCCATGCACAATAATTCCTTTACTTCGCATTATGCCAAACTCCATGCAGTTTCTTGTACACCAAATCACAACTACAGTGCAGCTCCTGTACATAATATGCAACACTCTGCTAGTGAACAGTACATTCTATTAATAGCGCTGTCAGTGCCCAGTACATTTTCTTAACAGTGCAGCTTGTCCTAGTACATTCTATTAACAGCGCAGTTTTTGCCCAGTTCATTGTATTAACAGCGCAGTGTGTGACCAGTACATTCTACTAACAACGCAGTGTGTGCCCAGTACATTCTACAAACAATGCAGTGTGTGCCCAGTACATTCTATAAACAATGCAGTTTGTGCCCAGTACATTCTATTAACTGCGCTATTTATGACCAGTACATTCCATTAGCAGCGCAGTGTGTGCCCAGTACACTCTAATAGCAGCCCAGACTGTACCCAGTACATTCTATTAGAAGAGCAGTTTATGCCCAGTACATTCTAACAGCACAGCTTGTGCCCAGTACATTCTATTAACTGTGCAATTTATGCCCAGTACATTCTATTAGTAGCACAGATTGTGCCTAGTACATTCTGTAAACAACGCAGCTTGTGCCCTTTACATTCTATCAACAATGCAGTTTATGCCCAGTACATTCTATTAGCAGCACAGTTGTGCCCAGTACATTCTGACCGAGCCGCTTGTGCCCAGTACATTCTAATTTCAGCAGTTTGTTACCAGTACATTCCATTAATAGCACAGTTTATGCCCAGTACATTCTACTGACAGCGCAGCGTGTGCCCAGCACATTCTATTAACAGGCCAGCTTGCGCCCAGTACTTTCTACTGACAGTGCAGCTTGTGCCCAGAACATTCTTTTAACAGCGCAGCTAGTGCCCAATACATTCTATTAACAGCACAGTTTATGCCCAGTACATTCTATTAACAGCGCAGCTTGTGCCCAGGACATTCTATTAACAGGGCAGTTTGTGCACAGTACTTTCTACTGACAGTGCAGCTTGTGCCTAGTACATTCTATTGGCAGCAGAGTTTGTGCCCAGTACATTCTATTAACAGTGCAGCTTGTGCCCAGCACATTCTATTAACAGGGCAGCTTGCGCCCAGCACATTCTACTGACAGTGCAGCTTGCGCCCAGTACTTTCTACTGACAGCGCAGCTTGTGCCCAGAACATTCTTTTAACAGTGCAGCTAGTGCCCAATACATTCTATTAACAGCACAGTTTATTCCCAGCACATTCTATTAACAGGGCAGCTTGCGCCCAGTACTTTCTACTGACAGCGCAGCTTGTGCCCAGTACATTCTATTGGCAGCAGAGTTTGTGCCCGGGACATTCTATTAACAGCGCAGTTATTGCCCAGTACATTTTATTAACAGCACAGCTTGTGCCCAGTACATTCTATTAACAGCGCAGCTTGTGCCCAGCACATTCTATTAAAAGGGCAGCTTGCGCCCAGTACTTTCTACTGACAGTGCAGCTGGTGCCCAGAACATTCTATTAGCAGCAGAGTTTGTGCCCAGTACATTCTATTAACAGTGCAGCTTGTGCCCAGTACATTATATTAACAGCGCAGCTTGTGCCCAGTACATTATATTAACAGTGCAGCTTGTGCCCTATACATTCTATTAACAGGGCAGCTTGTGCCCAGCACATTCTATTAAAAAGGCAGCTTGCGCCAAGTACTTTCTACTGAAAGTGCAGCTTGTGCCCAGTACAAACACATTCCACGGGCAATGCCGCTTGTGCCCAACAGCACATCCCATTCACAGTTTTGCTTGTGCCCAGAAAGCCTTCTGTAGGCTCTTTGTATGGTATTGTTGTGCCCAGTAAACTTCTTGCACAAACTAAATATACAATACTGCATGTATGTACCCCACAAGCTTCATATAGAGTGTGAATTGTGCGAAGTCAATGCAACACAGAATAACTTGCAACCAGAAACCGCAAAGCACAACACTGATTGTGCCCAGTAAATGTAATTTACGAAACTGCTTGTATCCAGTAAATATCATAAAGAGCAGCGGTGATCCAAAGCATATCCATGATGTACCAAGCAATACCATAAAGGCAGTCACTTGTCATCGCTCTACCTGACAACTCACACACCTATCGGGACAAATACAAGCACACATGCATTAAAGGAGTAACTGCAGTTCCACAACACTCACACAGAGAATTAGATCTTTTTTGCTTATTCGCTCAGAACCATGTATAAAGTCACCCACCGCTGTAACGACCCTGCTGCACACAATATTTAAGGTCTGCTCTTCTGGTCTCAGCGCTGTCTCCTCTCTTCTGCACTGAGTTCTGCGCTTCTTATAAGAACATGAAGACCAGAATAAGGAGGGCTGAGAAGGAGGAGGCACTTTAATGAGGAGGAAGGGGGGGTTAGGAAGGTGCAGTGTATCCCCCAAAATCAAAACAAGAGAGTTTCAACCCAAAAGGTTTAAATTACAATCTAAATGTAGCTTTTCTTAACCCATGATACATACCCTGCTTCAAATTCCAATGTGTACTCAATAAATATTATATTGATGCAACAAACTAAACTTAAACATGTTCTCTAATTCAAAGACATGTCAAGATAATAGCTTAAGTGATAACGTGTTGCAATGCTCTTAGCAACAAAAAACAAAAAAAAAAAAAAAAACTAAATGAACAAAATTTAATCTTTAAAGTCCCAAAATATCAGTCTCCATTGACTGATTAATCTGAAAAGTTGTGATCATGTGTAATGTAACATTGTCTATGTATAGGACATTATACTGTAAGTGGAAGGTTTAAATAGTAAAAATGGTTAAAAATAAAAAAGGGAATTTTTTTTTAAAATTTACCTAGGAGAATTTAGCTGGGCAAATCTGTCTGGATGCAGACATCATTGCAATTTTTGTTGTTGTTGTTTTACAAACTGCAATGTTTTAATTGCAGAGTTAAATCCACACCTAGTGGCTGGTAAAACTCAGCCACGTTACAGTGAAGCCCCCATAGGAAAGCATGGATTCAATGCTTTCCTATAACAAAGCTTGAATACACGTTTTGCGGTACTTACTGCGCATGCATATCAGGTCATCAATGCTCCTCTATGAAGAGCATTTGATTGGACCATCACAAACGCTAGGTCACCTCTGCGACACCACCGGAGGCATAAAGGCAAGCAGTGAGTTTTTTTGTTTTTTTTATTGCACACGTGTGTGGGTGGGGGGTGTCACAATATACCTAGGAACACTAAGGCGTTAGGAATACAGATTTGTATTACTGACACTTCAGAGTTCCTTTAACAAAGAGCATCACAAATGAATAGGAACCTTTTTAGTAAAGATAATCTCCTGGCTCAGAAGCATTAGAACACAGAACACATGTGCGGCACATTGCACTGCAATGATTGTCATATAGATGCATTGGATTCAATGCTGGGACACAGAAAGCACTCTCCAGGCTGTGTTATTTATAAACTGACAAGCAGGGGACACTACGCGAACCATTATAGCACGCCAGCCAGGTGAAGTACTTTAGGGGTTTGTAGTGTTCTTTTAAATCATCGGTCCAGTTGACTTTTGTCCAATAAAATGTGTCTTGTAGAGGAGAAGCATGTTGGAAATAGGATACATGCACAGCAATGCCACACTCCTTCAATCCAAAGTTTCTTAGAGAAGCACTGAATCGAATGTTTCTATATGAGAAGCATTAGGTTCATTTGTCGTCATAATTTGTACATGATGACGTTGTACTTTTAGATCTTGAAAAATCTAAATACTTAAATGAACACTAAAGTGTCAGGAATATTAACATTTTAAAAACATACCTTTATTCCAGTGTCATGCGGGTCTGCCATAGCTGGCTCCGCCCATGCTCCACCCCCTTGGCTGACTTCAACAAAATCGACAATCTCAGCTAATTTAATGCTTTCCCAGAGGAAAGCATAGAGAGGCTATTGCGCATGCACTGCAAAACATCACGCTGCACTAATCAGCATCTTCTCAGAGATGCTTTGAATCAATCCATCTCTACGGGGAGTATTCAGCATCTACATGCAAAGCGTGGTCAGGAGGAATAGCACCTGCTACGTTCCACAGCTAGCCATCCTCTATGCAGATAGGTAATACTCGCCTATCTGAGGCCGAGAGACAGTACAGAAGAAGGGAGGATCTCTGTTTATACTGCGGGCGGAGAGGTCACCTACGTCTTAATTGCCCTAATCGCCCGGGAAACACTCGCACCTAAGTTCCCCTAGAGGACGGGCCTTGGGTGTTTCTATATTGTCCTCTATGTATAATGATAAAGACCATAGGCTTCTGATTCCTGTCTCTTTAGCTTGGGAATGTGGCGCTATACCTACGATGGCTTTGTTAGACTCTGGAGCAGCAGAAAGCTTTATAGACCAAGCTTTCGCTAATAAGCATTGTCTCCCATCCCAACTGAGAGACACACCCTTGGCCGTTGAGGCCATAGATGGTAGACCTTTGTCGGAACCAGTAATATTCCATGAGACCAAACCCGTTAAACTAACCATCGGTATCCTCCATGAGGAGATGATATCCCTCCTGTTAATATCCTCCCCGGCTGTCCCAGTGGTTCTAGGATATTCTTGGCTCAAGAGACATAACCCCCAGATTGACTGGGAATGTGGAGAAATCGTTTCTTGGGGAACTGGTTGTAGGGAGAAATATTTGCTGAGAGTCACTTCTGTTTGCCCAGTAAACTCCTCTACCAACTCTTCTCAATCCACAGACTTGCAGATACCATCTCAGTATCTGGATCTCAAGTCTGTATTTGACAAGAGTAAGGCTGATACTTTACCACCGGTCTTATGACTGTACTATTAGACTTTTGCCTGGTACTACGCCTCCTAGGGGTACGGTGTACCCTCTGTCTACCAAAGAAAATTTAGTTTTAGAGGAATACATCAAGGAAAATCTAGACAAAGGATTTATTAGAAAGTCTTCATCTCCGGCGGGGCGGGTTTTTTCTTTGTAGAAAAGAAAGACGGTACCTTACGTCCTTGCATAGACTATCGGGGATTGAACAAGATTACCATCAGGAATGCTTACCCCATTCCTTTGATTACTGAACTCTTTGACAGACTGAAGGGCTCCAGTATTTTTACCAAACTTGACCTGAGAGGAGAATATAACTTGGTGAGAATTAAACAGGGAGACGAATGGATGACAGCATTCAATACCCGTTACGGACATTAAGAGTATACCGTAATGCCGTTTGGGCTATGCAATGCCCCGGCCGTCTTCCAAGACTTGATTAATGAGGTCCTCAGAGAATTTCAACACGAATGCGTGATAGTATATTTGGATGATATACTAATACATTCTAGGGACCTTGACTCACATCACAGACAAGTCAGAAGGGTGTTACAGAAACTTTTACAACATGGATTGTATTGTAAATTGGAGAAATGTAGCTTTGATCAATCCCAGATAACTTTCTTAGGCTACGTAATTTCCAAGGACGGGTTTATGATGGACCCGATTAAACTAAAATCGATTTTAGATTGGCCTTTACCCAAGGGACTCAAAGCCATACAAAGATTTATTGGATTTTCTAATTATTACAGACGCTTCATTAAAGGGTACGCCTCTGTTATTGCTCCTATCACTAATATGACTAAACAAGGAGCCAATACCAAAATGTGGTCTACTGAGGCTTTATCTGCTTTCGAAACGCTCAAACAGACTTTTGCTTCAGCACCCATACTAGTTCATCCTGATACCTCTCTGCCCTTTCTACTTGAATTTGATGCTTCTGAAACAGGGATAGGCACGGTATTGTCCCAAAGACAAAGTTTAGATAGACCTTTACACCCATGCGTTTTTTTTTTCCAAGAAATTATCACACACAGAAAGGAGATATGATATTGGTGACAGAGAACTCTTAGCTATTATTATTGCATTAAAAGAATGGAGACATCTGTTAGAGGGCACTGTTCTCCCGGTTACCATCTTGACTGATCACAAAAATTTATCTTACATTGGAGAGGCCAAAAGATTATCTGCCAGGCAAGCACGTTGGTCTATGTTCCTTACACATTTCAATTACATACTTACTTACAGGCCTGGTTCTAAAAACACCAAAGCAGATGCATTATCTCGTCAACACGAACCTAATACCATCACGGAAGACACATTGTCTCCTATTGTTCCTGAACATAACATTATCGCCAACACCAATGTCAAAATACACTCTCCATTGCTCGCAGATATAATGAACGAACAATCTCTTGCTCCCGAACGTACTCCTGAGGGACGGTTCTTCGTGTCTCCCAAATTCCAAATGGACATAATTCGATGCTTTCACAATAGCAAGTTTGCCGGTCACCCCGGCATCCACAAAACTTACTGTCTGATTTCCAAAGACTTCTGGTGGCCTAGTTTACGGAGGGATGTGGAAGACTTTGTCAAGGTCTGCGATATCTGTGTTAGGAATAAACTACCACAGGCCCTTCCTTGTGGTCTTTTGCAACCCTTAGTCATTCCCAACAAACCTTGGGCTAGTCTGGCTATGGATTTTATTGTTGATTTGCCGGTTTCCAATAAACACACAGTTATTCTCACGGTTGTTGACAGGTTTACCAAAATGGCTCATTTCATCCCCTTGCCTAAACTTCCTTCCTCACCCGAATTGGCCTTGATATTTGCTAAGGAGATTTTTCGCTTACATGGTATTCCCAATGAGATTGTGTCTGACAGGGGGTCCCAGTTCGTTTCCCGTTTTTGGAGATCCTTCTGTTCCCAGTTGGGCATCAAGCTGAATTTTTCTTCTGCCTATCATCCTCAATCTAACGGGGCAGCCGAACGCACTAACCAGAAAATTGAGCAATATCTATGTTGTTTTGTTTCTGAACACCAGGACGATTGGGTTGGTCTGATTCCTTGGGCGGAGTTTGCTCACAACAACCTTGTTTGTGGTTCCACTCGTAATAGCCCCTTTTTCTTGAATTATGGCTTTAACCCTACTATTCTTCCATCAGTATCACCTTCTCATGGTTTACCGTCGGTTGATGTCCATATAGCCAACCTGAGAAAGTTGTGGGATCGGACTCGACAAATTCTTACTCGTAGTTCCACGGTGTTTAAAATGCATGCTGATAGGCGTAGACGGCCCACCCCTGTCTTTTCTCCGGATGATAGGGTCTGGTTGAGTACAAGACACATTCGCTTGAAAGTTCCTTCCATGAAGTTTGCTCCTTGTTACATAGGTCCTTACAGGGTGTTGAGGAGGATCAACCCGGTTTCTTATCTGCTGGACCTGCCTCCTACTCTACGTATCCCTAACTCTTTTCATGTGTCTTTATTGAAACCTCTTGTTTGTAACAGGTT